GAAAGGTCTGGAGATCTAGGAGGCCAGATGTTAGTACTGCCACGCCCAATCCACCTATGACGATACTCTTTTCAATGTTCGTCGTACAAGTATCGAATTATGTGGAGGAGCGCCGTCGTGCTGAAACCACATATTCCGCCGTACATTCAAAGGAACGTCTTCCAACAATGCCGGAAGCTTTAGTCGTAGAAAATTAGCATATGCATCCCCATTAAGGCGATCAGGTAACACAAACGGCCCCACCTAAAAAAACAGGAACGGAGTTTAGTGATAATTTTATCAGATGCATTAAAATTTTTACCACAGTTGGTACTACTATGATTCCAGCCCATAGATTAATAGTAAATCGCTCCTGATATGCTCTCACCCTAGTGAGATGTGGATTTTCGTGTGCCCAGAAATGCCAATTGTGTGCATTAAACATTCCTTCTCGGGAAAATGAACATTCGTCGGTGAAAAGAATGCGCCGTGTAAAATCAGGATTTAGTTCATTTTGTCGCAGTAACCATTGAGCAAAATGTACTCGTCGCGGGTAGTCGGTTGGTCGCAGATGCTGCACTCTCGTGTAATAATAAGGATGCAGTCTTCTCTCTTGAAGGATACGATGAGTGGTCGATCTTGAGCATCCACTCATTTGCGCTACGTAGGGGAAACTTCTCCTAGGATCCGCTTCCATGTTTTCTAACACTTGCTCTTCAGCACCTACACGTACATTCCGTGGAGCCCCAGCACGGCCTTTCCGACTAGGTTGAAAAGATCCATCTTCTTTTGCTCGATGTAACAATCGGTGAAACACATGTTGGTCTGGGTGCCGACGATTATTCACGGGGCTCTACGAAAATGACTTCTAATACCTGCTCTTCGGTAGCTACTCTATGTAGAATAGTAATAAATGTATTATTTGCCTACGATGAAATGAAACAGCTTCTCTTATGACATGTGCAGCCCAGTTAAACACAATTTAACTAGAATGGCAGCAGAAATAACTTCTGTCCCGTGCTACTTGCCTTAAAGTAAACCTTGATGTCTCTGTGTACATTAATCAGTCATCTTTGGCGCAGAAGCGTCTCTTCAGGTCAGTGATAAACTTCGTGACAGTTTATGACAAACAATTGTCAAAATGATTAAATTTATAACCACACTTCTGTTTCCTTTTGTTGTCGGAGGGGGATTCGGAAAAAATTCATTCAACTTTAGTATTACCCGATTTTTTGTTCTTGGCATAGGTAACTTTGAACATAGAAACGTTCGGATATAAAAGCAGCCTCTCTATTGGTCAACTTAATCGCCTTCCAGTTCTCACACGGTTAAAGCCTGGACAATTCTTTTTGCGAATTACGGCACAGTTCGGGACAGGGAACATGTCATTCACGGGAATGGCGCGAATTCTGGGACACCCTGTATACCATTTTAACTATAAGTTTCTTGTTGTCAAAAGATGGCTATGGAGATTAACAAAAAAAAAGGCATAATATTAGCCCCGCCCACCCGCCCGATCTCAATTGTGATGATTTTTTTTATACGTCGTGAGGCAAGGGGGCGGAGCTTAACTGCAAAATCTTTATTTCTCAACGATAAATTAAAAACATGTTTTTGAGTATCGTGTTATTCGAAGAATTACTATGTATATTAAGAAAAAAATAAAGCCAAAGATTAGGCCCCACCCATGTCCGCTCCGATCTTAATTTTCAATCGTGATGAATTTTTCATTCGTTGTTAGATCGAGGGGCGGGGCTTAATTGCAAGATCCATATTTGTCTACAAGAATTTACCATTTTAAACATATTTTAAGTTTCTTGTTCTGAAACAACGACGACGTGTATTAAGAAAATGGGAAAAATATAAGCGCCGCCCACCCGCCCAGTCTCAATTGTAATGATTTTTTTTATTCGTTGTGAACCAAGAGGGCGGAACTTAACTGCAAAATCCTTATCTCTCTACGAGAAATTAAAAACATGTTTTCGAGTGCCGTGTTTTTCAAAGAATACTATGTATACTAAGAAAAAATTAAAGCCAAAGATTAAGGCCCATATTGCCCTGATCTAAACAGTAATGAAGTTTTCATTCGTTGGCAGACTTAGGGGCGGAGCCTAATTGCAAAATCCATATTTTCTGACAAAAATTTTCCATTTTAAACCAGTTTTAAATTTCTAATAATAAAAAAATCATCACAATTGAGATGGGGTGGGTGGGCGGGGCTAATATTTTTCCCTTGTTTCTAAATATATATAATATTTTTTGAACACGATACTCAAAGACATGTTTTTAATTTCTTGTAAAGAAATAAGTATTTTGCAGTTAAGCTCCGCCCCCTTGCTTCACATCGAATAAAAAAAATCATCACAATCAAGATAGGGTGGGTGGGCGGGCTTACATTTTCCCTTTTTGTTTTAATATGTGTAGACTTCTTTTCACAACATCGAACTTAAAAGATGTTTAAAATGAAAAATTTGTATAAGGAAATATCGATTTTGCAGATCGAGGGGCGGGACTTAATTGCAAGATTCATATTTGTCTACAAGAATTTACCATTTTAAACATGTTTTAAGTTTCTTGTTCTGAAAAGACGACTACGTATATTAAGAAAATGGGAAAAATATAAGCCCCGCCCACCCGCCCTGTCTCAATTGTAATGATTTTTTTTATTCGTTGTGAACCAAGGGGGCGGAACTTAACTGCAAAATCCTTTTCTTTCTACGAGAAATTAAAAACATGTTTTAGAGTATCGTGTTATTCAAAGAATACTGTGTATATTAAGAAAAAATTAAAGCCAAAGATTAAGGCCCATATCGCCCTGATCTAAACAGTAATGAAGTTTTCATTCGTTGGCAGACTTAGGGGCGGAGCCTAATTGCAAAATCAATATTTTCTAAAAAAAATTTACCATTTTAAGCGTGTTTTAAATTTCTAAGAATAAAAAAATCATCACAATAGAGATGGGGTGGGTGGGCGGGGTTAATATTTTGGCTTTTTTTCTTAATATACATGGTATTCTTTGAACAACCCCCTACTCAAAAACATGTGTTTCATTTCTTGTAGAGAGTATTTTGCAGTTAAGCTCCGCCCTCTTAGTTCACGGCGAATAAAAAAAATCATCACAATCAAGATAGGGCGGGTGGGCGGGCTTACAATTTGCCTTTTTGTTTCAACATTTGAAGACTTCTTTTCACAACATAAAATTTAAAACATGTTTAAAATGGAAAATTTGTATTAGGAAATATCGATTTTGCAATTAGGCTCCACCCCATAATTGCAAAATCCGTATTTCCTTGCAAAAATATACCATTTTAACTATAAATTTCTTGTTGTCAAAAGCGAGAGCCAAAGGAATGGAATTTAATTGCAAAATCCTTATTTCTTCTGTACAAGAAATTACCATGTAGGACATGTTCATTGTTTTGAGATGGGGTGGGTGGGCGGGGTCAATATTTTGGGTTTTTTTCCTTAATATACATGGTATTTTTTGAACAACACGATACTCAAAAACATGTTTTTAATTTCTTGCAAAGAAATAAGTATTTTGCAGTGAAGCTTCGCCCCCTTGGCTCACGGTGAATAAAAAAAAAATCATGACAATTGAGACAGGGCGGGTGGGCGGGCTTACATTTTATCTGTTTGTTTTAATATGTGTAGACTTTTAGGCTCCGCCCCATAATTGCAAAATCCATATTTCCTTGCAAAAATGTACCACTTTAACCATGTTCTCAGTTTCTTGTTATGAAAAAAAGGCAAATTATAAGCCCCGCCCACCCGGGCTATCTCAATTCTGATGATTCTTTTATTCGTCGTAAGCCGAGGGGCGGAGCTTAATTGTAAAATGCTTAGTTTTTTACGAGAAATTAGCATGTGAAATGTGTTTTTAAATAAAAGAACTTAAAGAAAACCAAAAGGGAAGCCCCACCCATCCGTCGGGATCTCAGTCATGATACAATTTCATTGATTGTCAGACCAAGGGGCGGAGCCTAGTTGCAAAATCGATACTTTCCTAGAAAAATTGACCATTTTGAACATGTTTTACCTTTCTTATTGTGAAAAAATGTAAGGCCTTGTAGTTTAAATACCTAATCTGTTTTTGACACGAACAGCAATAAATCGTCCTTTATTGAGTTTTTTTATTTCTTTAATGGACACAAGTTGTTTGTTTCAACTTCAGTGACAAAGAAATTTCTGTCTAAAAAACTTTAGACTATTTCTTAAATTTATTATGTTAGTGTGGTGTCCTGATTTGAAATTTAAATTTTCGCGCTTAGAAAAAAATCAATGGCGCGGACACACATTTGAACAAAAAATCAATGTTCTGAAGCGCAGGTAGAATTTTTGGTTTGTAGTTTGTAATTACACGCAAAAGGGGCAAAATGAGCTGGATTCGACGCCACAGTCCTCTTACAACAACAATAATAATTAGGGGAACATCAAGTTAATCAAGAAGTTTCTACTCTGAAATGTGTGAAATTTTGACAAGTGTTACTTTTGTTTTATTGTTTGCGAATTTTGGAATATATGGCATTTAAACTAATCTAAAGCATTACCCCATTTTGAGAGAAAGGACCTTGAAAATTATCATCAGTTAAATTAATATTGTGGCGTCTAATTATTTTCTCACAGCTTGAATTTGAACATTTATTATCGAATTATTATTTTAATTTTGACCGTGTTCAATGTATTCTTAATTAATTCCATGAAGGTAGAATGGCCTTGTCGCCTCCACGATTATGCAATACATAATTTAACCTCATGCAAATTCTTCGAGTGTGACTTAAATCAACGTTGTTTATTTCCGTTCTTGTAATTATAACACTCAATTTGCTATTGTCAAAATTCAGGCTTTAACTTAACACCCAAATTAAAACCTTTTGTCTGTCTCATTGCCGTTTTCATGTGAATATTCATCTTCAGGTTGGCTGCGTCCTTTGCGTGAATGACGGTAAGCCTCAAAAATACGAGTATTTCCAGATCTAGAACTACAACAGAAGAAAAATATGGGGTGGAAATAATCCGCATACACATTATGCTCGTTTATTAAAGAAGAAGTAAACAGATAAACAACTTTCTCCAATATGTACAGATATTAAGAGAAAAACCTCCTAAGGCATGTCATTGTAGAAGTCTGAACACTTATTTACAGATCGGTTATCAATTTTAGTTATGAAGTTTGGAAACCCTACACTCAAAAAGTGAGTACGATTACGTTACAATATAATAAAGTGCAGCAGGTTCGGGATCCCGCCTGAATCACAAAATAACCAGGAACACAACGACTGAATATTGCTAACTTTCAAACAGGAATCTACGATTTCTGCTTATTTTAAAGTCTGAAATGTTATGTCTATGCAGCACGGTTGCCAACAACACTCCAAGTGATTCAAAATCATCCTTAATACTATAACACAGATGTCGGAATTAGGTTGAACCCTAACTTTCCTGAGTGACTTCTAAAAGAGACAAGAAAAACAAGAAATAGTTCATTGATCCAGCTATTACAACACAGACGACACTTCTATTAATAGCGCCCAGTTGGCTTTCCACATTTCCAATATTAAATTTATTGTGTTGGCTTAATTCCATCGCAAAATAAAATACAGACAACATTTGGAAGCTTGCGGGTCAAAACGACCCGCCTTTGCACAACCTTTGAGTGTATTTATTGCTAACGATTGTCCAACTGCCCAAATTATTTCAAAACACGTATAAATAAAATCCAAAATTCATAACTAAAAAAGCGCCACTTTATTTCTGGCATTACGTGTCTACTTTACAATCTTCTTCATCCTTCGGTCTTCTGAATAGCAGCGGACACATGCCTAAAATACACCCTATCGTGACTCCAAAAACGCGACCGAAGTTAGCGGCGTTTCTGGAACACGTCATGTCCATCTGGATCGGTGACAATTTCGGTGGTCTAAAACCGATTTTATTCGCTAGTCGTTCCACGTAAAAGGCCGTGCCTATGCCTAAAACGTCCGAGAAGGTGTTGCCTAAGGCCGCCGCCGCCATGGTGGTCATGCAGAAGTAAGACCCGAGGTACAGGTCGATGTAATCTCCCTAGAGGTCGCAGTTTGTGATTTAGTTTATTGTGATTTTTTGTTTTTACTTACGAAAAATAACATGAAGAAGTTGTCCAGGAAGCCAAAACCAATAAATGGAATCGAGTTTGCAATAGCAACTGTAATAAGTGAGTTAGGTTTGTCGACGCAGGTAATGAAAGTTTGGGTGAGGTGGTCTTGGATACTTACTATCACCTAATTCCCTATTTGTTGGACGTGGTACCGATTCGGCTAAAATGGTGCAATCATGGTTATTATTACGGTACTAAGAATCTAGGGCTGCAATTTATCGCACGTTTACTTCAAACAACCAAAAATGAATATATATTTTTTTTTTAGAAATTACACTAAATTACGAGTTTTTGGTTATTAAAAATAAACCTATTCTATAATGCAAATATCTTCCACAATTCTAAAGTTTTAGTTGTATTAAGATCTAGTGCGAAGGTATCTACATGTAAGGATCTACGAAGCGCACATTTCAGTTATTATAATAAATAATTAACGTACATTAAGAATGCCAAAACTTAGTTAGGTAGAAGAAAAATCATTTAGTGTCTCCGGTCACAACTCCTAAAACAAAACAAGATATGTCAAAAAAACTTTTCTATACAATGAAAGTACGACTACTTAACACACTTTACTCAATATTTTAAAATCGTTGTGTATTAGTACAAAATACAATCGTTAATGTAGATTTGGCTATTGATAATAACTGAAATGATCTATTACTTAAATCGTAGTAATTGAAAAATTTAACTAAAAATAAATTCATTCCAAATATCGGAAAGACTAAAAAAGCACTTAGAAAAAAACAAAAATGAGATGATTCATATTTGGAAGTGAATTTTGTGAAAGCATAATGGCATGCAGAAGCCGAATGTTAGTAATGTTAAAAACGAGAAACAAAATAGACAAACAACATTCCAACAAGTTCAAGTAGTTATTTTTTTTAAATACAGTTCATTTTGATGAGGGACTTTTATGTTCAACAATTAAAAAATAGGTGTATTTAAAAGTACACGTTTACACACGATTAATTCTTACCCGTATGTAGCAACAAAAACAAAAACTTGATTATTAAAAATCTCATTCTTCAATGTTCGCAGGCAATCTGCTAAGTTAAAGTGGACAATTAATATAGGTGGTACGAAATTTTAATCGTGCCAATTCCTCAACGTCAACATGATCCGACTGATCACCTCTTCACCCAAACTCATTTTTTATCGTTTATTTTAGAAATTATTATTAATATTTCAGCTTTTCTATTTTAATAAGAAACAGAAAAAACTAAAAATCGGTTGAAAAACCGAAAGATTGGGACATTCAAAATTTTTTTAATCTTTCAATTTTTCGTTTCTTCAATTTTTGAAAACCGTAAAATTGAAAATGCAAAAGTTGAAAAATCGAAAAATTCAAAAATTGGCGCCAAATTTTTTGTGCTCTTGGACGCGAAATCGCAACTTACGTTTAAATTCGTGACGACTTCACGTTCAAGGCTGATTCCATCACAAATACAATAAGCACACGAAACGTGTTTTAGTAGATACATAATAAAGCTGACGCCATGACCTTTCCCGCCAATTTTTTGAATTTCACCAACCAGAATCGTGCATTTCGAAGGCGGGAAAATCGATACATTTAAAATTGGATATTGTATTACATCGATTCTGCCCGGTTAAAATTAAAACGGTTTTGTTACCCAGACAATAATTGCGTAAAAGATAAGTTTAATGACAAGTTAACTATTTACTCCAAGTTTTAACGCAGAATTGAGTATTACATATATTTTCAACATACTATACTAAAAAAAAATTATATATAATTGGATATGGAAAGGAGAAGTGGAATTAAAAAAATATGCATTTAGGTTACATTTTCTGAAAAAAAAAAAAAATCAACCTACAAAAAACAGCTAAAGCAACGCTACAAGCTTGCGAAATAGGGAACACTACTTCAAGCTAAACATTGGGGGGGGGGGTTATGTTATTTAATTATTAAGTGGGATTTATAAACTTGCTGTTGACCTTGACGTTGTTTTTAGAGCTAAAAATTGTCATTTCATGTTTTAAATTGCTTGTTGTTGACGTAAGTCTACACATATTAAGAAAAAAGGCAAAATATGGCGATTAACTCTTCAGTACGTCATGTACGATTTTTTTGATAATTTTTTGTAAAAGTAAGCTAAGTTTAGCTTTTTTTTAGTTTTATGAACAAACAGTAGACACGCCCACCCACCCCTTCGTCATTCCAATGACTACTCTTAATATTGTTCAGTTCTATCTTAGCAAGTTTTAGCCCCGCCCACCCACCCTTTATTTTCTTGGAAGGTATGTGATTTGCCAAAATCATTCTTATCTTATCAAGTACCTGCCCCGCCCACCCGCCCTATATTTGCTTAGAAAGTATATCATTGGCACTCAGTCTTACCTTAGCGAATACTAGTGCCACCCACCCGTTGTTTTTTTAAAGAGTATGTCATTTTCCAAAATCAGTCTTACGTAAAGAAGTACTAGCCCCGCCCACCCGCCCTCTATTTTTTAAGAGGGTATCTAATTTGCCACAATCAGTACTATCTTAGCAAGTAAAGTCGCGATCTTTTCTATAGAACCACTCCCTAGTGTAAATTTTCAAAATTTGTTTGGTGTAAGTGACCTTGACGGGTTTCTGGGGGAAAACATATGTGTCAAAAATTTGACAGGTTAGATGGCCCCATTGTCAATGTAGATATTTTATTTTAATAAATAGATGAACAGAACATACAGTCTGCACGGGATACAGTGCGGCATAGCTGAGGGCAACCGAAACATTCGTGTTGTGCTAGTTTCGATTGCCATGTCAACTACCGCTACCAACCGCGTTCGGCGTAAAGTACTAGGTGACAGGGCTACCAACTTGACTTTTTATCGAGTGGTTCCGTAGAAATGACCGCTACTGTACTAGCTAAGATAAAACTGATTTTGACAGATGACAGTCCCTAAGAAAAGTGAGGGTGGGTGGGCGGGGCTAGTAACTGCTAAGATAAGACTGAATTTGGCAGATGATATAGTCCCTAAGAAAAGTGAGGGTGGGTGGGCGGGGCCAGTCACTCCGGTGACTACACTTAATATTGTTCAGTTCTATCTTAGCACGTTTTAAGTATAAATATAAACCCCGCCCACCCACCCTATCTCAATTCTGATAATTTTTTTATTCGTCGTGAGCCAAGGGGGCGGAGCATAACTGCAAAATCCTTATTTTCTGCGAGAAATTAAAAACATGTTTTTGAGTATTGTGTTGTTCAAAGAATACTATCTATATTAAGAAAAAAATAAGGCCAAAGATTAGGCCCCACCCATACCCGCCCCGATCTTAATTCTCAATTGTGATGAATTTTTCATTCGTTGTCAGATCGAGGGGCGGGGCTTAATTGCAAGATCCATATTTGTCTACGAGAATTTACCATTTTAAACAAGTTTTAAGTTTCTTGTTGTGAAAAAATGACTACACATATCCAGAAGAACAGGCTAAATATAAGCCCCGCCCACCCGCCCTATCTCAATTCTGATGAATCCTTATTATTTCTCTAGAAGGAATTACCATGTAAGGCATGTTTTTGAGTATCGTGTTATTCAACGAATATTATGTATATTAAGAAAAAATTAAAGCCAAAAATTAAGCTCCACCCTTACCTGCCCTGATCTAAATAATAATGGAGTTTTCATTCGTTATCAGAGCTAGGGGCGGAGCCTAATTGTAAAATACATATTTCGTTAGAAAAATTTACCATCTTAAATGCGTTTTAGGTTTCTATGACTAAAAAAATTAATCAGAATTGAGATGGGGTGGGTGGGCGGGCTTTATATTTCGTCTGTTTTTCTTAATACACATAGTATTTTTTGAGCAATACGATACTCAAAAACATGTTTTTAATTTCTTGTAAAGAAATACGTATTTTGCAGTTAAGCTCCGCCTCCTTGCTTCACGGCGAATAAAAAAATCATCACAATTGAGATAGGGTGGGTGGGCGGGGCTCCATTTTACCTTTCTTGATACTTAGTTTTGCAACTTTGGCTAATAATATACTATTTTGAGTGTCGTCTTGTTCAAAGATTACTTTGTATATTAAGAAAAAAATTAAGTCAAAGATTAGGCCCCACCCATACCCGCCGCCCCGATCTCAATTCTCAATTGTTGTGAATTTTTCATTCGTTGTCAGATCGAAGGGTGGGGCTTAATTGCAAGACCCATATTTGTCTACAAGAATTTACCATTTTAAACATGTTTTAAGTTTCTAAGAATAAAAAAAAACATCACAATTGCGGTGGGGTGGGTGGGCGGGGTTAATATTTTGCCTTTTTTTCTTTAATACAGGCAGTATTCTTTGAACAACGCGATACTCAAAAACATGTTTCTAATTTCTTGTAAAAATAAGTATATTGCAGCTAAGCTCCGCCCTCTTGGTTCACGGCGAATAAAAAAATAATCACACTCGCGATAGGGCGGGTGGGGGGGCTTATATTTTGTCTTTTTGTTTTAATATGTGTAGACTTCTTTTCACGACATGAAACTTAAAATATTTTTAAAATGGAAAATTTGTATAAGGAAATATCGATTCCGTAATTAGGCTCCGCCCCATAATTACAAAATCCATATTGTAATGTACCATTTTAACCATATTCTAAGTTTATTGTTGTGAAAAAATGGCTATGTATATTACGAAAAAAAGCCCAAAATATAAGCCCCGCCCACCCGCCCTATCTGAATTGTGATTTTTTTTATTCGTCGTAAGCCGAGGGGCGGAGCTTAATTGCAAAATCCTTATTTCTTTACGAGAAATTAAAAACATGTTTTTGAATGTCGTGTTATTCAAATAATACTATGTATATTAAGGAAAAAAATAAAGCCAAAGATTAGGCCCCATCCATACCCGCCCCAAGCCCAATTTCAATTCTCAATTTTTCATTCGTTGACAGATCGAGGGGCGGGGCTTAATTGCAAGATCCATATTTGTCTACAGGAATTTACCAGTTAAGTTTCTTGTTCTGAAGAGAAGAAAGGCAAAATATATATATCTCAATTCTGATGATTTTTTTTTATAATCGTCTAGAGCCAAAGGAGCGGAATTTAATTGTAAAATCCATATTTCCTTACAAAAATTTTCCATCTTAAATGTGTTTTAACTTTCTAAGAATAAAAAAATCATCACAATAGAGATGGGGTGGGTGGGCGGGGCATATATTTTGCCCTTTTTTGTTAATACACATAGTATTCTTTGAACAACGCGATACTCAAAACATGTTTCTAATTTCTTGTAAATCATCACAATAGAGATGGGGTGGGTGGGCGGGGTTTACATTTTGCCTTTTTATCTTAATACACGTAGTATTATTTAACAACACGATACGCAAACACATGTTTTTAATTTCTTGTAAAGAGGTAAGTATTTTGCAGTTAAGCCCCGCCCTCTTGGTTCACGGCGAATAAAAAAAAATCATTACAATTGAGATAGGGTGGGTGGGCGGGCTTACATTTTGCCTTTTTGTTTTAACATGTGTAGACTTCTTTTCACAACATAAAACTTAAAACATGTTTAAAATGGAAAATTTGTATAAGGAAATATCGATTTCGCAATGTAGCCCATAATTGCAAAATCCGTATTTCCTTGCAAAAAGATATCATTTTAATTATAAGTTTCTTGTTGTGAAAAGATGGCTATGGAGATTAAGAAAAAAAAAGCCAAAATATTAGCCCCGCCCACCCGCCCTATCTCAATTGTGATGATTTTTTTTTATTCGTCGTAAGCCGAGGGGTGGAGCTTAATTGCAAAATCTGTACTTTCTTACAAAAATTTACCATTTTAAACATGTTTTACGTTTCTTGTTGTGAAAAGAACCCTACACTACACATATTAAGAAAAAAGGGCAAAATATAAGCGGTTTTAGTTATAATACCTAACCTGTTTTTGAGACGGACAGCGATAATCCCGTACTTCAGGGGATTTTCCTTCAAGTTGACAACACCGCAATTTGATTGGTTGCAAACCTAACGTCAACGGCAACGTCAACGGATGATACAAACAACGCATACTTTCGATGCGTATTTATCTTACAACAGCAATAAATCGAGCTTAATTAGTTATGCGGAAAGCGTTTAATTCACGATGACAGCGTATCCACAGTTTGTTAAATTATGTCAGAACAAAGTTATTGTCTGGGAAGCAAATCCATCGAATATTTTCACGTTGTGACAACGCATTAATTTTTTACACAATTCCAAAGCATAATTTGCTAAAAGCTTATTTAATGTTGTTAGGTCGATTACAGCGAAGCGAACGTTAAAAATATAAGCACTTACTTAATTAGTGTTCGCACCGAATGCCCAAAACATGCGTTTCTAGTAAAATACTGGCGCCCAATCAATAATTTCCAAAATACGCTACCTCCAAATTTCTAAACTATTTTACATGATGTTAGTAAATCATGCATAAGCTCCGTTCCACACAAAAGACATTACAAAATAATATATGTTAGTCTGTAAAAAAGCAACGCTGCGTACCATACTTCTTCATTAACCAATCTTCAGGAACTGGACAATATGATCCAGTAGGATCTACATCTCCTAATCTGGGTAATTTGCTTGGACGCCCAAACTTACTTCTCCATCGTGAAGCTGCTAGCTGACCTTTAAGCGTGGATATCGGTAGTAAAAAAGGGGAATTAAGCATAACTTAGGCAGCACTAATTATTATTAGGCAACTTTGCTTGATGATGTCTTATGAACTTCTTCGGCTTGTACGCGCAGTTACAACAAAAAGAAAATTTTGATTTTTTGAATAGAACGGTAAGGTGCTGCCTGAAAATTAAAAAGTTTATTTACAAAATCGTTTTTAATTTTGAGGCAGGACAAAAATACACTATTTTGAGTTACTATAATAATTCAGTCCATTTTTCCTAGGCCACTTTTCCCAATGATCTGATTTACATAATTATAGACAACTGGAACAATTAAACGAATGCGTTAATATTTGTCTCTGCAAGTGAAAACAAGTCCTCAACTTCCTACTAGCAAAATTTTACGTGACACATATGTAAGTGTGGATGGTGAGCTTTGCACGTACTTTAGCAAAATAAAAACAAGCAAAATGTAATCAACTCAAAAAAAGGATGACAATAATGAAGAAAATACAACACGTCAACACGCAACTACCACTTTACCTTCATATTCGTCTTTGACTAGTTTTGATTCGTACTCCTGGAGTGCAGAGATCAAGATATTTCTCTCTTCTCCGTTCAGTCGTAAAACCAACTCTTGAGCTTGCAGTTTCGACAGGCCTTGAGTAGTGCTCGTAGTTTCTGCATGGCCTCCACTTCCACACAGCACATCGTTTGTGCTAAAATTACACCTGTTCGTGTGTAACTTATTGTTAATTTCACAACGACTAAAATTGGTTAGTTTGGTTTTGGGTACGGCGAAAATAGACTGCAGGCGACTATTTACTAATTTGGACGTAAAGAGATACTTCATTATTTTAGTAGCCATGTCGGGAATTTACGAAATTACATTACTCTGTAATCTTATCTAAGAGGAGTTATTCAAAAGGTAGCGTCAATCTCGATTTTTCAACTAAAATCACTTGTTTCTTGTGTGGAGTCATCACCAATCCATACTTCATAACCTCTTCACAGTGTTGATGTTTTCATCGAACGTGAATCTTGTTCAGAAACTATCACTGATGGATTTTAAGCAATTTTGTGAATTATTTTCATTATTGTTACATGTTCTTTTTCGAAAAGAATCGAATGACTCACTGACACAGATAACCAGTCAAGATCTGACCAACTGACATGACACTTGAGATGACGTAATTGTGACGTAACCACCCGCGCAGATATTTACTAGTTACAAAAAATTAAAATTAAGAGCAGCTTTGAAACAATCATGAACGAATGACTTTTTGGACTTTTGGACTGTTTGAAAATACGACAGTCTTAGATAAATTCACGTGATTCATAATCATTAGTCACAAAAGTGCTTAGGGGCTATTAAACAAATAATACATTGTTCCACAAGCAAGTCTTTATCTATATTGTTATTATCACGTACTTAATAAATTCATACAAGCAATTACATTATCTTCCCTGTTTAACAATAGTTTAGTACAAGTTTCCATTACATCATCAATAATATATTATTTTTATTTAAAGAAGAACATGAAATGTTTGTAGGCAACCAACAATACACCAAACTGAATGAAAAATTGATAATTTGTACTAAAAATATGACAGTTTGGGAGTTACGTATAAATTATAAACTGGATGCAAATACTGGCAGCCAACAAGAACACAAAATAAGAGTGTGGCGAACGAACTATATCAATTTCATTGTACAGCACAGCAAAATTACCGATAGGGAGTGTTGTAGCACGAGCGAAGTTTGGGGCTCCTGGTCGTGGCTGTTCTCCCCCCACGACGGTGATTCCAGCAAGCAAACAAAAAATTTTACTGGTTGCTTAAAACAATTAGCTTTGAGAGTTTATATTGTGGACTGTCCCCAACTTATTCCAAACAAAACACATGATAAATAAACATAAAATGCATCCAGGGTTGCGTCTCGGTCATATAATTTTCAACGTCGTGAGAAATAAAGGCGTGATTAAACACTTCACATCCAGAAACTTATTTATAACTTGTTAAATAAAGAATTGTTATCGTGACTAAGTGAATTTCATGAAGTCTCCTAGCAAGTACTGTATCTAAACAATCTCAGGACCGTTAATTTGTGTTGGAACCAGTTAACGATTAAAATCTTAACATGAACTGTGAATTTGCAAACAATAGATCAAATTTACAACACGTGTTGGCGTCGGTCGAGAATTCGCCTATTTCCGCGTGGAAAAATCGCAAGAATTAGCTACGCGTGTTGGGGACCCCCTGCCAAGCACGCCATCTTCTCGCCACCAACCCTCTAACTAAAATTCCCTAGTAGAGCTACCAACTACCAGAAAAGAACTAAACGTGCACATGTTTAGATTTTTTTGATTGAATTTTTTTCAATTCAAATTATTCAAATTCGGTCACCACGATGTTTAAAATTGTAAATTTTTGTAGGAAAGTATCGATTTTGCAATTAGGCTCCGCCCCTCGGTCTGACAACGAATGAAAAATTCATCACGATTGAGAGCGAGACGGATGGGTGGGACTTTTCATTTAGTTTTCTTTGTATAACACGATTGCTTAAGAACATATTTCGCATGGTAATTTCTCGTAGAAAAATAAGAATTTTACAATTAAGCTCCACCCCTCGGCTTACGTAAAATTAAAAAAAAAAATCATCAGAATTGAGATAGGGCGGGTGGGCGGGGCTTATATTTAGCCTGTTTTTCTGAATATGTGTAGTCATCTTTTCACAGCAAGAAACTCAAAACTTGTTTAAAATGGTAAATTCTTGTACACAAATATGGATTTTGCAATTAAACCCCGCCCCTCACAACGATTTTTTTTTTGTTCTTAATATACATAGCTATTTTTTCACAACAAGAAAATTAAAACAGGGTTAAAATGGTACATTTTTGTAGGGTAATATGGATTTTTCAATTATGGGGCGGAGCCTAATTGCAAAATCCATATTTCCTTATACAAATTTTCCATTTTAAACATATTTTAAGTTTCATGTTGTGAAAAGAAGTCTACACGTATTAAAACACAAAGACAACATGTAAGCCCGCCCACCCGCCCTGTCTCAATTGTAATGATTTTTTTTATTCGGCGTGAACCAAGGGGGCGGAGCTTAACTGCAAAATACTTATTTCTTTACAAGAAATGAAAAACATGTTTTTGCGTATTGTGTTGTTCAAAGAGTACGATGAATATTAAGAAATAAAGGCAAAATTTTAACCCCGCCCACCCACCCCATCCCAATTGTGATGATATTTTTATTCGTAGAAACTTAAAACATGTTTAAAATGGTAAATTTTTATAGGGAAATATGGATTTTGCAATTATAGGCTCCGCCCTTCACTCTGGCAACGAATAAAAAATTCATCACAATTGAGCCTGGGATGGATATGGGTTTGGCTTAATTTTTTACTTGTTTTTTTCTTAATATACTTAGTATTCTTGAACAACACGATACTCAAAACACGTTTTTTATTTCTTGTTGAGAAATAAGAATTTTGCGATTAAGCTCCACCTCCTCGGCTCACGACGAATAAAAAAATCATCACAATTGAGATAGGGTGGGTGGGCGGGGCTTACATTTTGCCTTTTTTTTTCTTAATATGCGCAGTCATCTTTTCACAACAAGAAACTTAAAACATGTTTAAAATGGTAAACTTGTATAGAGAAATGCCGATTTTGCAATTATGCTCCGCCCCTCGGTCTGACAACGAATGAAAAATTCATCACGATTGAGAGCGAGACAAATGGGTGGAACTTTTCATTTAGTTTTCTTTGTATAACACGATTGCTTAAGAACATATTTCACATGGTAATTTCTCGTAGAAAAATCAGAATTTTACAATTAAGTTCCACCCCTCGGCTTACGACGAATAAAACAAATCATCAGAATTGAGACAGGGTGGGTGGGCGGGGCTTATATTTTGCCTTTTTTCCCTTAATATACATAGCCATCTTTTGACAACAATAAACTTAAAACATGGTTAAAATTGCAAAATCGATATTTCCTTATACAAATTTTCCATTTTCAACATATTTTAAGTTTGATGGTGTGAAAAGAAGTCTACACATATTAAAACAAAAAGGCAAAATGAAATCCCGCCCACCCGCCCTATCTGGATTGTAATGATTTTTTTTATTCGCCAAGAACCAAGAGGGCGCAGCTTAACTGCAAAATACTTATTTCCTCACAAGAAATTAAAAACATGTTTTTGAGTATCGTGTTGTTCAAAGAATACTACGTATATTAAAACAAAAAAAAATATAAACCCCGCCCACCCACCCCATCTCGATTGTGACGATTTTTTTATGCTTAGAAACCTGAAACACGTTTGAAATGGTAAATTTTTGTAAGGAAATATGGATTTTGCAGTTAGGCTCCACCCCTCGGATTACGATGAATAAAAAAATCACCAGAATTAAAATAGGGTGGGTGGGCGGGGCTTATATTTTGCCCTTTTTTTCTTAATATACATAGCCATCTTTTCACAACAAGAAACTTAAAACATGGTTAAAATGGTACATTTTTGTAAGGAAATTTAGATTTTGCCATTATGGCACAGATTCTAATTGCAAAATCGATATTTCCTTATAAAAATTTTCCATTTTAAACATCTTTTAAGTTTCATGTGAAAAGTTTACACATATTAAAACAAAAAAGAAAAATATAAACCCGCCCAACTACCCTGTCTCAATTGTGATGATTTTTTTATTCGCCGTGAACCAAGAGGGCGGAGCTTAACTGCAAAATACTTATTTTTACAAGAAATTAGAAACATGTTTTTGATTATCGTGTTGTTTAAAGAATACTATCTACTATAGAAAAAAAAGGCAAAATATTAACCCCACCCACCCACCCCATCCCGATTGTGATTTTGTGTTAAAACACGTTTAAAACGGTAAATTTTCATAAGGAAATATGGATCTTGCAATTAAGCCCCTCCCCTCCATCTGACAACGAATGAAAAATTCATCACAATTGAGAATTGCCATCGGGGCGGGTATGGGTGGGGCCTGATTTTTTACTTTATTTTTTTCTTAATATACAAAGTAATGGCAATAAGACACAACTCAAATTGTATTAGGAAATATCGATTCTGCAATTACGCTCCACCCCTCGGTCTGACAACCAATGAAGAATTCATCACGATTAATATTGAAACGGATGGGTGGGGCTTCTCTTTTGGTTTTCTTTTTCTTTTATAATTAATACATTTAGTTTTCTTTGTATACCTAACACGATTACTTAAGAACATATTTCATATGGTAGGTCCCGCCCCTCGGCTTACGACGAATAAAACAAATCATCAGAATTGAGATAGGGCGGGTGGGCGGGGCTTATATTTAGCCTGTTTTTCTGAATATGTGTAGTCATTTTTTCATAACAAGAAACTTAAAACGTATTTAAAATGGTAAATTCTTGTACACGAATATGGATTTTGCAATTAAGCCCCGCCCCTCACAACGATTTTTTTTTTCTCAATATACATAGCTATTTTTTCACAACAAGAAAATTAAAACAGGGTTAAAATGTACATTTTTGCAGGGTAATATGGATTTTTCAATTATGGAGTCTAAATTTCAAAATCTATATTTCCTTATACAAATTTTCCATTTTAAACATATTTTAAGTTTCATATTTTGAAAAGAAGTCTACACATATTAAAACAAAAAGGCAACATGTAAGCCCGCCCACCCACCCAGTCTCAATTGTAATGATTTTTTTTATTCGCCGTGAAGCAAGAGGGCAGGACTTAACTGCAAAAAACTTATTTCTTTACAAGAAACTAAAAACATGTGTTTGAATATCGTGTTGTTCAAACAATACTATGCGTATTAAGGAAAAAAGGGCAAAATTTTAACCCCGCCCACCCACCCCATCTCCATTGTGATGATTTTTTTTATTCATAGAAACTTAAAACATGTTTAAAATGGTAAATTTTTATAGGGAAATATGTATTTTTCAATTATAGGTTCCGCCCCTAAGTTTGACAACGAATGAAAACTTCATTACTACATATTTAGATCAGGGCAGATATGGGTGGGGCTTAATCTTTGGCTTTAATTTTTTTTTTTTTTTAATATACATAGTATTCTTTGAACAACGCAATACTCAAAAACATGTTTTTAATTTCTCGTATAGAAATAACGATTTTGCAGTTAAGCTCCGCCCCCTTGGCTCACGACGAATAAAAAACAATCATCACAATTAAAATAGGGCGGGTGGGCGGGCCACCATTTTGCCTTTTTTTCTTAATATGTGTAGACTTATTTCGACAACAAGAAACTTAAAACATGTCTAAAATAAAATGGTAAATTTTTGTAGTAATTAACTTAAATCCACCACACACACTTAGAACGTCTGGAATCTTTAGAATCTCTAAAATTTTCAGAATCCAACGAAATTTTTGTGTCTCTAGTATACATAGAATCTCTAGAATGTAAAATTTTTGGAATCTTTGGATTGTAAAAAATTTTGCAATTTTTAGATTGTCTACAATTTTTAGTAACTCTAAAATCTATAGAATCTTTAGAATTTTTAGAATACGTGTAGAATCTCTAAAATCTGTAGAATCCCTAGAATCTTTAAAATCTCTACAGTTGCTGAAACCGCTAGAATCTAAAACTTTTGAAATCTTTGGAATTTTTGCAATTTTTAGAGTATCCACAGAATCTCCAGAACCTCTAGAATCTCTAAAATCTCTAGAATTTCTAGAATGGCTGGAATCGGTGGACTCTAAAACTTGTACAATTTCTGTAAAATTTTTTGAGTTAAAAGAATCTTTGTAATCTCTGTAATCTTTAGAGAGTCTGGAAACTTCAGAATCTCTAAAATGTTCAGAATTTCTCTGGGATATGTAGAATCCCTACAATCTTTAAAATCTCTATAGTTACTGGAACCGCTAGATTCTAAAACTTTGGAAATTTTAGAATTTTTACAACTTTTAGTGTCCACAATCTTTAGTGTCCGTAAAATCTCCAAAAACTCTAGAATCTCTAGAATGGCTTGAATCCTTAGAATCTGAAACCTTTGGAATCTCTAGACACTGAATCTCTAGATCCTATAGAATCTCTAGAATCTTTAGAACTTGTAGAACTTTTAGGATCTATAGAATTGCTGGAACTGACAGACTCCAAAAAATTTGAAATGCTTGGAATTTTTAGAATCTAGAGAATTTTTGATATGTTTATATTCTGGATTCTGGATTTTAATTATATGCTCGTAGCTAGCTGGCACTTGGGCCTTCTCCAGGTCCATATCAAGGTGTCTTCCCACTCTTCTACTAGCATGTGTCTCCAGAACCTCTAGAATAGCTGGAATCAATAAACTTTAAAACTTGTACATTCTCTGGAATCTCCAGATCCTATGGAATCTCTAGAATGTTTAGATCTTCTGGAATCTTTAGAATATCCAAAATCTTCAGAATCTCTACTATTGCTGGAACCGGTAAACTCCAAAAATTTGGAAATCTTGGAATTTTTAGAATCTGCAGGATTTTGGCAAATGACATGCCCTCTAAAAACAGAGAGGGTGGGTGGGTGGGGCTAGTACCTGCTAAAATAAGACCAATTTTGGCAAATGAAATACCCTCTCCAAATAGGAATACCTGGAACCTCAAGATTGTTTTAAATTTTCAAAAAAAAAAAAAAAACGGGGTCTCAAAATTAACTCAAAACCAGGTCAGATCAGAATTTTCAAAAAATAGACCACCAAAGTCTCCCAAAATTGTTTTAAATCATTAACAAAAAAATCTCCATGGGCTGCCAAAATAATGCAAGAGTCTTCGCCTTTTTCCAGACACCCGGTACACATGGATTTATCTACGCACTGTTGTTATTCAAGCGATTGTTTCAAAGCTACCATCGACCTACATTTTTTTTAATACACAAAAATCCATAAAAGGTGACGTCCACTGGACAATAATTTTTAAAATACGGAACCGCCATTACAAAAAATGAGAGCGCCATCTCCCGGGCCACACTCCTACGACCACTGACGTTTGTGACATTGGAGACTGACATTTTCGTGACAAAAACCTGTGACAAAAACACGAGTCAACTAATTTGTGATAATATTCCAAAATTACCAATTCGCGAATTTTTGTTTGCATTAGTTTCGCCCCAAATCAGAGGGAGTCATGTCGAAAATACCAAAGAAGACTCGAGACAAGGCAAGTAGGCGAAACCTGACTCATCCAACCTAATAACCGCGACCTACGTTTCACTTTTTTTTCAAAAACTTGTAGTTACAGAAAAACGTGGATCACCAGCGGTACATTTCCCGAATCACCAAGACGCTGTATTATGGTAAATTCCCCCGACCAGATGGGCTAAGTCTACCAGTAACGGGTGGGTGTTTACATGTTTGTAACTGTGGTTAATAGCGACGTTGCAGAGTTAGCCGCTGAGCTGTTTTCTGAAGCCCAGCGGGGACGCTCTCTGGACAGACTTCACTGCGACGACGCTGCAAACATCTCCAGGAAGGCCTGCGTTTCGCCCTGCTCCCTAGTAATCGCCCTTTTGTATCTAGAACGACTGAAAAAAATATGCCCGGAATATCTGGAACGAACGGCCTCTTCCGACTTGTTTCTGGTGTCTCTGGTAAGTTTGAACAATAATTTAACAATTTATAAAACTGGTGTATTGATAGATGGTTTCGTGCAAATTTCTCTATGATGACGGCGAAGCCGACGAGGTTTTCATCGACGAGTGGGCTCTATCAGGTGGCACGACAGTCAAACAGTTAGTTCAATTGGAGAAAGACTTTCTGAAAGCTATTGTAATATTTAGTACTTTTCAACGAAAAATCCAATTTGATTTTTTTTGTGTCATAGGAATGGGAAGTTTTCGTCAGTGAGCTAACATTTTGGAAAAAGCTGCACGAAATAGAACAAACGTTAGCGCGCAAACAAGGCGCCTGTCGCGGTTTTTTCACCTACACGGAACTGGAAGCCCTTTTAACCGCAATCGAACTCCAAAGTCTAATTCAAACCGTCGTATCAATGTCGGCGCTTCTAATCGCGTCGTACATCGTCGCCGTCTTCGCTCTATTCGGCTCAGTCTTCATCGTGAGCCACATTCCCGGTACCTACTTACAACCAAAGTTTGATATTTGCGAAAACGACACACTCATCCCAGTTACGCTAAATTCTGAATGCGGCGACGTCGAAACTGACATTCCAGACAGAATCCAACCCAGTGAAACCCCCACAAAGAGCGAAATCCCGACTTTGAATGTAATCAAAACTAGTATTTTCCTGGCTTCCATTGAGAGTTTTTTGAAGCCGTTTTGCAACAAGAGCGAGAGTGTGGAGTCGCCGGTGAACGACGACAATGTTCAGAACGTGTCGTGGGATTGGTGGACCGCACCGACGTTGAAATGGTTGTCTGAAACGTCTGCACTAATCGAGCGGAAAGTGGAACTACCAACGTGGAACTTGTTGTATTTTCAATACCTATACGAAACTTACATTCAAGTCAAGTTTTTGGATCTGGAGGATCAGGTTCACAGAGCTACGAAAGTTCGAGCGCAGGATCGGCTGGAAAATTCATGGCACACGGAGTGGACGGATACGATAAGGAACGATTTTTACGACAGAGATGTCCACTATTATTTGGAGAATGTGAAATCGTAACGCTTTCTAGGACTGATTTACTAAATTCGGACTCAAATGGCCACGTCTTTGGATATTCACAAATTTGTATTGATTCAATAATAAACGAAAAAAGCAACGTCGATTTATTGATTAAACCGTCGTTAGAGGGTCTCTGTCAATTTCAGAAACGACTACGTTAACGTCGCTTGGAACCATTTCTTTGAGTTTTTTTTGGAAAATGGGTAAAAATCCCCGTTCGGAGTTACTGTGTTCGCACAAAATTACATTAATACCATTTTGAGTGGCTTCTAGGACTTCATGGTGCGACATTTCTCCAGTTAGGTACAAATCGGCTTCTACTCCACTCAAAACGGAGCTTCCTGAACCCGCACACAACGCCACTGAGGAGACAACAGAGTCTGAAAAGGTCACACTAGTAAGATTGACAGTGACGTCACGACCAATCAGATTGGTACAACCATTGTTTAAGTATATATAGTTGGACAACCTAATACAAATTTTTCGTCAACGCGCATTTCACTACAGTGAGTGAACTTATTAGGTTTATTTTACTCCACTTCAGATGGCGCCATCAAACAGTAGCAAAGGCAAACACCCTTCACTCTGCTCTTATACGAGGAGTTATCCATAAATCCGTAATTCACATTGTTCCGTAAGGAGTAATGTGTATAGACATATACATACAAAATATGAAAATATACTTGACATAAAAAATATGAAGCAACGCGTTGTAACGTGATACGAAAGAATTGTATTTAAATGAATTTGACGCCTATTTTTATTTGACTATATCTGAAGACTGACAGAAACTTTAAAAAGGGTTTTTAAACTGGTATAATAGTTTAGTTTTACAAGATTTCCTAAAATTTTGATTCGTGGTGTTACAAAAATATTAACACAAAATGAAAATATATATTCAAAGTAAATAATAGAATGACATAAACTTTCGGCGTTGACATTACAAATATTTACAAGACAGAAAAAAAAACGCATGTTTGTAATACCCGGTTGTTAAAGGCTGCTTTGAAGACTGTTTGTTTGTATGAAAAACAATTAATGAAATCCGACGTTTTGGTAGATTTTGTTCCAAAAATACGAAATAACTAATTGATTAAAATATTCTAAAGATTCTGAATATTTCGAAGGCTGATGAATCCGAAGAATCAGAAAACTTCTAGGTTCCGAAGATTCGGAAGAATATAAAGATTTCAAAGCTTTCAGAGTTTCTAGGAATTCGAAAGTTTCGAAAGATTCTAAAGATTCTGAAGATTCCAAAAAAAGTTGAAGATTTTGAAGGTTCCCAAGATTCAAAGATTATAAAGATTTTAGAGAATCCCGAAATTTCAAAAAATCCATATCTATTTCGAGGCTCCAGATATTCCAGAAATTCCAAAGATTCTAAAAATTCGAAAGATTCTGAAGATTCTCTGGAGATTCTGATTGAAGATTTTGACGTTAAATTTTCAGTTTTCTGATTTCTCAATTAATCTATTTTTGGTTTTCCCTCTTCTCAAAGTTCCGATTTTTCAGTTCTTCAATTCTTCAATTTTTCGACTTCGTTTTATTGGTTTTTCGATTTCTCAATTTTTGGATATTTCTTTCAGTTTTGATATTTTTCAATACTTCGATTCTTTGATTTTTCGACCTCTAGATTTTTCGATTTTTTATTTTTGGGTTTTAAGTTTTTCGTTTTTTCTACATTAAATTTTTCAATTTTTCGATTGTTTTATATTTCAATTTCTCAATTTTTCAACCTTTCCATATTTTAATTTTTAAATTTCTAGATTTTTCGGTTTCTCGATTTTTCAGTTCTTTAGTTCTTCAATTTTTCAATTATTCAGATTTTTGATTTTTCAATTTTTCGATTTTTTAAGTTTGCGATTTTTTGACTCTGCTTTTTTGACTTTTCTGTTTCTCAATTTTTTAATTTCCTAATTTTTGGATATTTCGTTTAATTTTGTGATTTTTCAGTTTTTCGATTTCTCAATTTTAACTTTTCAATTTTTAAATTATTAGTTTTTTCGATTTTTTGAGTTTTCAGTTTTTCTATATTTTAATTTTTCAATTTTCGAAATATTTAAATTTTCGATTGTCCAATTTTTTTTTATTTTTCGATTTTCCAATTGTTCGATGTTTTGATTTTTGAATTAATTCAATTTCTTAATTTTTTATGTTTCGATTTTTCAATTTTTCAATTTTTTAAATTGAATTGGATTTCTCGATTCTTCAATTTTGCGATATTTTAATTGTTCAATGTTTTAAATCCTAGATTTTTCGATTTCTCGATTTTTTGACTTCTCAGTTCTTCAGTATTTAAATTTTTCAATGAAAAAATGTTTACGTTAAATTTTCAGTTTTCTGATTTCTCAATTAATCTATTCCTTCAGAGAATCTAAAAATTCGAAAGTTTCTGAAGATTTTGAAGATTCCAAATATTCTGAAGATTCTGAGTATTTCAAGGCTGAAGATTCCAATAAAGTTGAAGACTTTGAAGGTTCCTAAGAGTTTAAACTTTACAAAGATTTCAGAGAATCCAAAAATTTGAAAAATTCCATATCTACTTATTTCAAGACTAAATATTAAAGAAATTCCAAAGATTCCGGTTATTTCAAGGCACTAAAGATTCCCGAGATTCTAAAAATTTGAAAGACTGAAGATTTTGGAGATTATGAAGATTCTGAATGAAGATGGTACATTCTGAAGATTTTGAACAAAAATATTGAAAATTCTGAATATTTTGAAAGTACTGAGTATTTCAAAGGATTTCAAAAAGTATATGTAAGAATGAAAATTATAAAGATTTCACCAGACACTCCAGAAATTAAAAAAAATCCGAATATTCCGAGTTCCTAGAGATTCCAGAAATTCCAAATTTCGAATATTCTAGAATTTCAGAGATTCTAAAGATTTAAATATTCTAAAGATTCTGAATATTTCGAAGGCTGATGAATTCAAAGAATTTGAAAACTTCTAGGTTCCGAAGATTCGGAAGAATATAAAGATTTCAAAGCTTTCAGAGTTTCTAGGAATTCGAAAGTTTCGAAAGATTCTAAAGATTCCAAAAAAAAGTTGAAGATTTTGAAGGTTCGCAAGATTCAAAGATTATAAAGATTTTAGAGAATCCCGAAATTTCAAAAAACCCATATCTATTTCGAGGCTCCAGATATTCCAGAAATTCCAAAGATTCCAGAGATTCTAAAAATTCGAAAGATTCTGAAGATTCTCTGGAGATTCTGAGTGAAGATTTTAGATTTTGAAAATTTTGAACGAAGATATTTAAAATTTCCAGTATTTGTAAGATTGAAAGTTATAAAGATCCCAAAAATTCCAGAGATTTCAGAAATTGCAAAAATTCGTGATATTCCTGAGTTCTATAGATTCTAAATATTCTGAATATTTCGAAAATTGTGGATTACAAAAAATCTGAAACCTTTGAAGTTCCAAAGATTCTAGAGGATATAAGGATTTCAAAGATTTCAGAGGCTGTAGCGATCTATTCCTTCAGTATTAAAACTGAACTCAATTTCTGGATTTTCCAATTTTTAATGTTCCGATTTTTCAATTTTTTAAATTGAATTGGATTTCTCGATTCTTCAATTTTGCGATATTTTAATTGTTCAATGTTTTAAATCCTAGATTTTTCGATTTCTCGATTTTTTGACTTCTCAGTTCTTCAGTATTTAAATTTTTCAATGAAAAAATTTTGACATTAAATTTTCAGTTTTCTGATTTCTCAATTAATCTATTTTTGATTTTCCCTCTTCTCAAAGTTTCGATTTTTCAGTTCTTCAATTCTTCAATTTTTCGACTTCGCTTTATTGGTTTTTCGATTTCTCAATTTTTGGATATTTCTTTCAGTTTTGATATTTTTCAATACTTCGATTCTTTGATTTTTCGACCTCTAGATTTTTCGATTTTTTATTTTTGTTTTTTCAGTTTTTCGTTTTTTATACATTAAATTTTTCAATTTGTAACTTTCCTTTTCGACTTACGACTCCTCAATTTCTCGATCCTTCGATTTTTCGATTTCTCGATGTCTCAGTTTTTGAATTTTTCGATGTTTCGATTTTTGGATTTCTCGGTTTCTCGATTTTTTTCTTTTGAGCTTCTCAATTTCTGGATTTTCCAATTTTTAATGTTCCGATTTTTCAATTTTTTAAATTGAATTGGATTTCTCGATTCTTCAATTTTGCGATATTTTAATTGTTCGATGTTTTAAATCTTAGATTTTTCGATTTCTCGATTTTTTGACTTCTCAGTTCTTCAGTATTTAAATTTTTCAATGAAACAATTTTGACGTTAAATTTTCAGTTTTCTGATTTCTCAATTAATCTATTCCTTCAGAGAATCTAAAAATTCGAAAGTTTCTGAAGATTTTGAAGATCCCAAATATTCTGAAGATTCTGAGTATTTCAAGGCTGAAGATTCCAATAAAGTTGAAGACTTTGAAGGTTCCTAAGAGTTTAAACTTTACAAAGATTTCAGAGATTCCAAAAATTTGAAAAATTCCATATCCACATATTTCAAGACTCTAAATATTAAAGAAATTCCAAAGATTCCGGTTATTTCAAGGCACTAAAGATTCCCGAGATTCTAAAAATTTGAAAGACTGAAGATTTAGGAGATTATGAAGATTCTGAATGAAGATGGTACATTCTGAAGATTTTGAACAAAGATACTGAAAATTCTGAATATTTTGAAAGTACTGAGTATTTCAAAGGATTTCAAAAAGTATTTGTAAGATTGAAAATTATAAAGATTTCACCAGACACTCCAGAAATTTAAAAAAATCCGAATATTCCGAGTTCCTAGAGATTCCAGAAATTCCAAATTTCGAATATTCTAGAATTTTAGAGATTCTAAAGATTTAAATATTCTAAAGATTCTGAATATTTCGAAGGCTGATGAATCCAAAGAATCTGAAAACTTCTAGGTTCCGAAGATTCGGAAGAATATAAAGATTTCAAAGCTTTCAGAGTTTCTAGGAATTCGAAAGTTTCGAAAGATTCTAAAGATTCTGAAGATTCCAAAAAAAAGTTGAAGATTTTCAAGGTTCCCAAGATTCAAAGATTATAAAGATTTTAGAGAATCCCGAAATTTCAAAAAATCCATATCTATTTCGAGGCTCCAGATATTCCAGAAATTCCAAAGATTCCAGAGATTCTAAAAATTCGAAAGATTCTGAAGAGTCTCTGGAGATTCTGAAGATTGTGAGTGAAGATTTTAGATTTTGAAAATTTTGAACGAAGATATTTAAAATTTCCAGTATTTGCAAGATTGAAAGTTATAAAGATCCCAAAAATTCCAGAGATTTCAGAAATTGCAAAAATTCGTGATATTCCGGAATTCTATAGATTCTAAATATTCTGAATATTTCGAAAATTGTGGATTACAAAAAATCTGAAACCTTTGAAGTTCCAAAGATTCTAGAGGATATAAGGATTTCAAAGATTTCAGAGGTTGTAGCGATCTATTCCTTCAGTATTAAAACTGAACTCAATTTCTGGATTTTCCAATTTTTAATGTTCCGATTTTTCAATTTTTCAATTTTTTAAATTGAATTGGATTTCTCGATTCTTCAATTTTGCGATATGTATTTTAATTGTTCAATGTTTTAAATCTTAGATTTTTCGATTTCTCGATTTTTTGACTTCTCAGTTCTTCAGTATTTAAATTTTTCAATGAAAAAATTTTGACGTTAAATTTTCAGTTTTCTGATTTCTCAATTAATCTATTTTTGATTTTCCCTCTTCTCAAAGTTTCGATTTTTCAGTTCTTCAATTCTTCAATTTTTCGACTTCGCTTTATTGGTTTTTCGATTTCTCAATTTTTGGATATTTCTCTCAGTTTTGATATTTTTCAATACTTCGATTCTTTGATTTTTCGACCTCTAGATTTTTCAATTTTTTATATTTGGGTTTTCAGTTTTTCGTTTTTTATACATTAAATTTTTCAATTTTTAACTTTCCTTTTCGACTTACGACTCCTCAATTTCTCGATCCTTCGATTTTTCGATTTCTCGATGTCTCAGTTTTTGAATTTTTCGATGTTTCGATTTTTGGATGTCTCGGTTTCTCGATTTTTTTCTTTTGGGCTTCTCAATTTCTGGATTTTCCAATTTTTAATGTTCCGATTTTTCAATTTTTTAAATTGAATTGGATTTCTCGATTCTTCAATTTTGCGATATTTTAATTGTTCGATGTTTTAAATCTTAGATTTTTCGATTTCTCGATTTTTTGACTTCTCAGTTCTCCAGTATTTAAATTTTTCAATGAAAAAATTTTGACGCTAAATTTTCAGTTTTCTGATTTCTCAATTAATCTATTTTTTGATTTTCCCTCTTCTCAAAGTTTCGATTTTTCAGTTCTTCAATTCTTCAATTTTTCGACTTCGCTTTATTGGATATTTCTTTCAGTTTTGATATTTTTCAATACTTCGATTCTTTGATTTTTCGACCTCTAGATTTTTCGATTTTTTATTTTTGGGTTTTCAGTTTTTCGTTTTTTATACATTAAATTGTTCAATTTTTAACTTTCCTTATAGACTTACAACTCCTCAATTTCTCGATCCTTCGATTTTTCGATTTCTCGATGTCTCAGTTTTTGAATTTTTCGATGTTTCGATTTTTGGATTTCTCGGTTTCTCAATTTTTTTCTTTCGAGCTTCTCAATTTCTGGATTTTCCAATTTTTAATGTTCCGATTTTTCAATTTTTCAATTTTTTAAATTGAATTGGATTTCTCGATTCTTCAATTTTGCGATATTTTAATTGTTTAATGTTTTAAATCTTAGATTTTTCGATTTCTCGATTTTTTGACTTCTCAGTTCTTCAGTATTTAAATTTTTCAATGAAAAAATTTTGACGTTAAATTTTCGGTTTTCTGATTTCTCAATTAATCTATTCCTTCAGAGAATCTAAAAATTCGAAAGTTTCTGAAGATTTTGAAGATCCCAAATATTCTGAAGATTCTGAGTATTTCAAGGCTGAAGATTCCAATAAAGTTGAAGACTTTGAAAGTTCCTAAGAGTTTAAAATTTACAAAGATTTCAGAGAATCCAAAAATTTGAAAAATTCCATATCTACTTATTTCAAGACTCTAAATATTAAAGAAATTCCAAAAATTCCGGTTATTTCAAGGCACTAAAGATTCCCGAGATTCTAAAAATTTGAAAGACTGAAGATTTTCGAGATTATGAAGATTCTGAATGAAGATGGTACCTTCTGAAGATTTTGAACAAAGATACTGAAAATTCTGAATATTTTGAAAGTACTGAGTATTTCAAAGGATTTCAAAAAGTATTTGTAAGATTGAAAATTATAAAGATTTCACCAGACACTCCAGAAATTTAAAAAAATCCGAATATTCCGAGTTCCTAGAGATTCCAGAAATTCCAAATTTCGAATATTCTAGAATTTTAGAGATTTTAAAGATTTAAATATTCTAAAGATTCTGAATATTTCGAAGGCTGCTGAATCCAAAGAATCTATAAACTTCTAGGTTCCGAAGATTCGGAAGAATATAAAGATTTCAAGGTTTCAGAGTTTCTAGGAATTCGAAAGTTTCGAAAGATTCTGAAGATTCCAAAAAAAAGTTGAAGATTTTGAAGGTTCCCAAGATTCAAAGATTATAAAGATTTTAGAGAATCCCGAAATTTCAAAAAATCCATATCTATTTCGAGGCTCTAGACATTCCAGTAGTATTATTTATCTATGGTGAAGCGAGTGAGATGTAAAATATATGTTCATTCTTTTCTACATGGGAAAGTGATTCTCCGTATAGGTTGTCCAACTATAATATACTTAAACAATGGTAGAACTAAGTACCCATGCCATTGCCTCGACCTAGCGCCAGCCTCAAATGTTTCATCCCGACGTGTGTCTTGACTTGATCCACCGCGGTTTGTACATTTATGGGCGTGTCCAAGACTACCAACCTCCCGGATCCTTGGCGCGGATTTTCAGCCGTCTCTTTGATTGGTTTGATCATTTTGAAGTTGAAAGCGCCAGCCAACCAATCATTGACGCCCCCCTCCACGCTATCCCATGACGTATGAGGCGAAAACACCGCAATTTCGTTTCTAATGCACTGAACAACAATGCGTTCCTTCCAAGTACTGAAAAAACTGATTAATTTCTAACTTATTCAAAGTCGGAACTTACGCATCAGACACCGTTTTCAAACCACGGAAAATATTAGGGTGGTAAGTTACAATAAAATTTGCGTTAAATTTCTTAGCTTCGTCCACGACGTCTTCAGTCAGGTCGTTGGTTAGTAGAATTGTCTTAACCTTGGTGGTTGTCATGGGGTCAACCAAAAGTCCGACGTTGTCCCAGCTTTCAGCCAAAGTTAGAGGGGCAAAGGATTGTAATGTTTTAACGATATCTTTGACCAGCATGCTTGCGACTTTCGGGCTAGAGTGTGTGTAGCTGTGTCGCACAAAGACTGGAATGCACTTATAGATACTCTGAAGACTAGGTATTAACATTTAATCTGTGAAAAAAAAAATCTATTATGACACTAATTTTTTAATCTAAGTTTACAAAACAAACAGTGATCATCAAAATTATAACTCTGTAAATTTCCACAATTTTATTTCGCCGTCGTCGCTCGCTGACGCTAAAATTTCGGGCAAACTTGGATTCCAAGACACACAGTTCACGTCTTGGGAGTGCGCCCTATCCACACACACAATCTGGCTGAAAGTGGGGGCGTTGTCGTCGCTGCAGTCGTCTTCTTTGAAAATACGGACAGTATCGTCGCCGCAGGCCGTCGCAATTAAATCAGTCGTGTGGCTCCAGCACACGTCGTAAATCGTCCTATTGTGGTACCCCGATATCGTACACACACACTTCCATGTCTCTTGGCCATCTATAACAGCCACTCCTTCGTTATTATCCTTCAAATATTGCTTCCAAATTTTTAGAGTGGTGTCGTCGCTGCAGGAAACAAGTCGCTGACCGTCTTTGTGCCAACTGACGCCCCAAACCGTCGATAGGTGACCCTCTAAAGTAGCCACACAAATCCAATCACTATCTGACGGGTCCTCTCTAAACAATTTAATCATGTTGTCGTACGAAGCGGACGCTAGAACGTCGTCACTGGGGTGCCACGCCACCTACAACACCCAACTCATCACCTAGTTAAACTATACTTCATTCCAGGATTTACCTTCTTCACGTCTTGTGTGTGCGCATTAAGCACTGCTGCACAATCATACTCATCTTCATCCGCGATCTCCCAAATCCACACCGACTTGTCCCTGCTACAAGTCGCCAGAAATTTACCGGATTTAGCCCAAGCGACACTTTTCACTTCGTTTTCGTGCCCCTCTAGCGTGGCGTTGCACTCAAACTCGCCCGATTTTTTATCCCAGATGCATATAGTCGTGTCAAAGCTAGCCGAAGCCAAGTAGTTGCCGCACGGGGACCACGCCACTTCCCGAATCGTGCGCTTGTGGCCATCGGTCAAGATAACTTTGTTAACCCACTTGGAGTTCTCTTGGCACCAAATCCTGATGGTCTTGTCTTCGCCGCAGGAGGCGAGCGTGTGACCTTTCGAGTGCCAGCTTACGTTCCAGACGCGACCTGTGTGCTTGGATAGGGTCTGCACTGTCTCCAGTTTTGCCATTTGGGTCTACCCAGAAACGGGGTTATCAATTTTGATGATCACTTGAGGGGGGTAAATGGGTAACTTACGTCGTGAAAGTGAAGATTGGGGTGGATTAATTGTGGTTGTTTGTTTGAGTATAACGTTTGAATTAAAAAGTGCAAGTTTGTGGTCGTTCTAACCTTAAAATGTCAGATGTCAATCATAGATTAATATAGATGCGACATGCAGGCTGATTTTGCAAAACCACTCTTATTGACATTGGCAAGCGCCAAATTTAAATAGTCGATGCAAATAAAAAAAACTTGTTTGATCTACAAACCGGAGCGCGCTCAGACCAATGTCGACTCTAAGCGTTCAGAAGCGATTTGGTTGGTTTGGACTATAATTTCCACTACTAAGTGAATATTTTTGGTACATATTTAGATAATTTTACATATTTTGTTTAACTAAGAATTGATTCTTTATTTGTGTTTTATACTAGCAAAACGTCTTAAACTAAGAATATTGTTTTCGGGAAAATGTTTTGGAAACACTGTGTTCTATTTTGTATGAATTTTTAAATGTTTTTAGTGACAATTTTTGTGGTTGTTTTCGATACACTGTATGATATTAACAGTGAGAAAAAAAAAAAAAATGGAAAATTAAAATCGAAAATTAGAAAAATCGAGAAATCTAATAATCGAAAAATCGAAACTTTAAAAAATCGTGAAACCGAAAAAATTGAGAAACCGAAATAGGCCAAAATTGAAATATCGAAAAGTTAAAAATTGAACAATTTATAAATCGAGAAATCAAAAAACTCAAAAATTCGAAAAATTGAAAAATTGAGAGATTGAAAAATCAAAAGAACGAGAAATCGAAAAGTGATGAAGTCGAAAAATCGAAAAATAGAGAAATCGACAAACAAAAAGTTAAAGGTTGAAAAATTGGAAAAGCGGAAAAATCAAAAAACGAAAAAATGGAAAACTGGAAAAACTGAGAAACCGAAATAAGTCAAAATAAAAAATTGAAAAACTGATAAATCGAAAACCTGAACAATCAAATCTCGATAAATCGGGAATGAAAAATTAACAAGTTGAAAAATTGAAAAACAGAACATCTAAAACCAGGAAGTCAAAAAGTCGAAAGATTTAGAAATATTGAAAAATTAAAATATCAAAAGATTGAAAAATCCAAAATTTTAAAATGCAAAAATTGAAAAATCGAAAAAGTAAAAAGGTAGACACATCGAAAAATCCAGAAGTCAAAAATAGGAAAGCCGAAGAATTGGAATATTGAAAAATCCTAAAACTGAAATGTCGAAAAATTAAAAAAGTGAAGTCGAAAAATAGAAACCTTAAAAATCGAAAAATCGAAAAATCAAAAAATTAAAGAATTGAAGAACAGGAAAATCGAAACACTCGAAGGTTAAGAAATGGGAAAATCAAAACATGGATTAATTAAAAATCGAAAAATTGGGAGTTTATAAAAGTCAAATTTGAAAAATTAAAAAATCGAAAATTTGACAAAATGACAATTGAAAAACAGACAATCTAAAACCGGGGCGTCGAAAAATCAAAAGATTAAGAAATCGAAACATTTGAAAAATTCGAAAACTTGAAAAATTGAAATATCGAAGAACTGAAATGAAAAATCGAGAAATCGAAAAACCCAAAATTTTAAAAATTAAAAAATCTAAAATTTAAAAATCGAAAAAGTAAAAAAGTCGACACATCGAAAAATCCAGGAGTCAAATATCGGAAAGTCGAAGAATCGAAATATTGAAAAATCCCAAAACTGAAACATCGAAAAACTGAAAAATGAAAGAAAAACTGAAAAATGGAAAACCCGAAAAATCTGAAAACTGAAATATTCCTTAAACTGAGAACCTAAAAAGTCGAAAAATTAAGCAATCGAAAAATCCAAAAAGTAGTGTTGAAAAATAGAAACCTTAGAAATCGAAAAATTTTAAAAATCAAAAACCTGAAAAATCAAGAAATCAAACAGGAAAATCGAAACACTCGAAGGTCAAGAAATGGTAACATCAAAACATCGATTAATTGAGAAAACGAAAAATTGAGTTTATAAAAGTCAAATTTGAAAAATTAAAAAATCGAAAATTTGACAAAATGACAATTGAAAAACAGATAATCTAAAACCGGGAAGTCGAAAAATCAAAAGATTAAGAAATCGAAACATTTGAAAAATTCGAAAACTTGAAAACTCGAAATATCGAAGAACTGAAATAAAAAATCGAGAAATCGAAAAATCTAAAACTTTAAAAATTAAAAAATCTAAAATTTAAAAATCGAAAAAGTAAAAAAGTCGACACATCGAAAAATCCAGGAGTCAAATATCGGAAAGTCGAAGAATCGAAATATTGAAAAATCCCAAAACTGAAATATCAAAAAACTGAAAAATGAAAGAAAAACTGAAAAATGGAAAACCCGAAAAATCTGAAAACTGAAATATCCCTTAAACTGAGAACCTAAAAAGTCGAAAAATTAAGCAATCGAAAAATCCAAAAAGTGAAGTCGAAAAATAGAAACCTTACAAATCGAAAAATTGAAAAATCAAAAACCTGAAAAATCGAAAAATTAAAGAATTGAAGAGCAGGAAAATCGAAACACTCGAAGGTCAAGAAATGGGAAAATCAAAACATCGATTAATTGAAAAATCGAAAAATTGAGAGTTTATAAAAGTCAAATTTGAAAAATTAAAAAATCGAAAATTTGACAAAATGACAATTGAAAAACAGATAATCTAAAACCGGGAAGTCGAAAAATCAAAATATTAAGAAATCGAAACATTTGGAAAATTCGAAAACTTGGAAAAATTGAAATATCGAAGAACTGAAATGGAAAATCGAAAAATCGAAAAATCTAAAATTTTAAAAATTAAAAAATCTGAAATTGAAAAATCTGAAATTGAAAAACCGAAAAATTGAAAAATCGAAAAATTGAAAAATCGGAAAAGAAAAAAAATCGACACATCGAAAAATCCCAAAACTGGAATGTCGAAAAACTGAAAATTGAAAGAAAAACTAAAAATGGGGCACTAAATCGGGAAATCAAAACATTGAAAAATCGAAAAACTTAAAACGACAATTGAAAACAGAAGATCTAAAACCGGGAAGTCGAAAAATCAAAAGATTAAGAAATCGAAACATTTGAAAAATTCGAAGACTTGGAAAAATTGAAATATCGAAGAACTGAAATGGAAAATCGAAAAGTCGAAAGAAAAATCTAAAATTTAAAAAATTAAAAAATCTGAAATTGAAAAATCTGAAATTGAAAAACCGAAAAATTGAAAAATCGAAAAAGAAAAAAAATCGACACATCGAAAAATCCCAAAACTGGAATGCCGAAAAACTGAAAATTGAAAGAAAAACTAAAAATGGGGAACTAAATCGTGAAATCAAAACATTGAAAAATCGAAAAATTTGAACGACTGTTGAAAACAGAAAATCTAAAACCGGGAAGTCGGAAAATCGAAAAATTAAGCAATCGAAAAATTGAAAAATCGAAAAAGTAAAAAAATCGACACATCGAAAACTCCAGAAGCCAAAAATCGAAAAGTCGAAGAATCGAAATATTGAAAAATCCAAAAACTGAAATATCGAAAAACTGAAAAATGAAAGAAAATCTGAAAAATGGAAAACCCGAAAAATCTGAAAACTGAAATATCCCTTAAACTGAAAACCTAAAAAGTCGAAAAATTAAGCAATCGAAAAAACCAAAAAATGAAGTCGAAAAATAGAAACCTTAGAAATCGAAAAATTGAAAAATCGAAAAATGAAAGAATTGAAGAACAGGAAAATCGAAACACTCGGAGGTCAAGAAATGGTAAAATCAAAACATCGATTACTTGAAAAATCGAAAAATTGAGAGTCAAATTTGAAAAATTGAAAAATCGAAAATTTGACAAAATGACAATTGAAAAACAGAAAATCTAAAACCGGGAAGTCGAAAAATCCAAAGATTAAGAAATCGAAACATTTGAAAAATTCGAAAATTTGAAAAATTGATCTAAAATTTTAAAAATTAAAAAATATAAAATTTAAAAATCGAAAAAGTAAAAAAATCGAAACATCGAAAAATCTAGGAGTCAAAAATAGAAAAATCGAAGAATCGAAATATTGAAAAATTCCAAAACTGAAAAATGAAAGAAAAACTAAAAATGGGTAACTAAATCGGGAAATCAAAACATTGAAAAATCAAAAAATTTAAAACGACAATTGAAAACAGAAAATCTAAAACCGGGAAGTCGAAAAATGGAATGATTAAGCAATCGAAAAATTGAAAAATCGAAAAAGTAAAAAAAATCGACACATCGAAGCCAAAACTCGAAGAGTCGAAGAATCAAAATATTGAAAAACTGAAATATCCAAAAACCGAGAACCTAAAAAGTCGAAAAATTGAGCAATCGAAAAATCCAAAAAGTAAAGTCGGAAAATCGAAACCTTAAAAAAACTAAAAAATGAAAAATCAACCGGGAAGTCGAAAAATTGATAGATTAAGAAATCGAAACATTTGAAAAATTTGAAAACTTGAAAAACTGAAATATCGAAGAACTTAAATGAAAAATCGAGAAATCGAGAAATCTAAAATTTAAAATATTGAAAAATTAAAATACCAAAAAAATTGAGAAATCTAAAATTTGAAAATCGAAAAAGTAAAAAGTCGACACATCGAAAAATCCAGAGTCAAAAATGGAAAAGTCGACGAACAGAAATATTGAAAAATCCCAAAACTGAAATTTCAAAAAACTGAATAATGAAAGAAAAACTGACGTATCGAAAAACTGAAAAATCCCAAAACTGAGAATCTAAAGAATCGAAAAACTGAGAATTAAAAAAGTGAAGTCGAAATATGGAAACCTTAAAAAAATCGAAAAATTGAAAAATCAAAAACCTGCAAAATCGTAAGATCAAAAAATTGAAAAACAAGTAAACTGAAAAATCCCAAAACTGAAATGTCCAAAAACTGAGAAATTAAAAAATTGAAAAATTGAGAAATCGAAAAATCATAGAAGTGAAGTTGAAAAATCGAAACCTGAAAAAATAGAAAAATTGAAAAACCAAAAAACCTGAAAAACCAATTAATTGAAAAATCGACAAATAAAGAGTTTATAAAAGTGAAAAATTGGAAAATCGAAATATTTAAAAATCGTAAAACTGAAGAGAAAAACTGAATAGGAGTAAACTGAAAAGTCCCCAAACTAAAATTTCGAAAAACTGAGAATTCGAAGCAAGAAATTATGGTCGAAACCGGTTAGGATGTGTATCAGATCACGAATTATGGCTTATAAATCAAATCTCCGAACGCTTAGAGTCGACATTGGCCTGAATGCGCTCTGGTCTGTAGATCAAACAAGTTCTCAGACGACGAACTGTAATTCGTGTGACCTGAATTAAAGTGAAGGAAACAGTAAGCAGCTTGTAATATTCTGGTAAATCTAGAGTGTCAATTTTTTCATTTTTTCTAGTTAATTTTATTCCTAGTTAGAAACAAACACTGTTGCCGTCATTTAATTTAAACTTTGACGCTTCTCTATGTTCTCTGTGTCAATTGTCAACGCTTGCTTGATACTTATGCAACCAATAGTGCAAAATGCGTAAAAAATATTCCACTGGGCGTATTTTGAACTCTATTTCGTTAAACAAAACATTGTCAAAAAATAGAACAGCAAATGAATGTGTGAAGGTTAAATATTAAACAATCCGAGTTCTCGTAGTTTCAGTGATGAACAGTTTCAAAAACATTTATGTTTACTGTGTTGGCGCCCCGCCCCAGGGAATTTCGCCGTCACCTGTCATTTCAAAAATGACGTACACTTTTTATTAATATAGTAAGTAAACGATGTTCCACTTTAATGTTTATCAACAAGAAAACACCTCGATTCGTTGTGCAACTCGTTAAAAAATAATTAGCGCTAGTTTTCAAACGGAAAATTTCCTCACTACCATGAACAATGTTACAGTTTTGGAAAAAGTCAAAAGGTATGACACAATTAAAATCGACCTAGTCCGATTTTATTTGCGTTTTTCAGCCGACAATGACAAAAACAGCTTCGCGTCGGCGAGTAGAACCCTTGAGCCGGATTCAGCGAGACCCAAGGACAAGACGTTGCCGTTGAGTTCGTTCGACGATGAAGGCCTATTTGACATCGGTGAGTTGTACTAGTCGCTAAGTACCCACTTAAGTATGAGTTTTAGACGAGTTTGAGTCGACGAAGCGGCGCTCGAAGCTGTCGCGCACCCTCCACGAAGTCCTATCAGACAAAGGCGCCTTGAGGTACTTCATGTTGTATATGGAGTCGAGGAACGCGTCCAGGTACCTCACGTGCTGGCTGGACGTGGACGTGTTCAAGTCAAACATTTACCAATGTCGGGAGCGCAAATTGCCAAATGCGTTTTCTCCATTGCCGGGGGACCATGACAGTTTGTCTGTGAGTACTGATTGTGATTCGTACACGGCTGATACCAACAGTCTGTGTGATTATTCAACTGCGACGGTGTCGGAGAGCAGAGTTACCCAAAGTTCCATTGAAGTGAACTCTTATTGTGATCGAGATATGAGTGATATTAGTCCTAAGACGCGGAGTATTGGTGAGGAGAGCGTGGATGATAAAAGGGGCGCCCATTTGGAGAATGCTGTTACTATTTTTAAGAAATTCATAGCGCAGGAAGCCGAGTTTAACATTAAATGCTCTGATTCCATCCGGAATGAAATTATTGAAAATATTTGTGATACTGAGAAGGTTTTATTAGGGAATTGTTTCAATAAAGTACAGAGTTACGTGTATGATGTTATGGAGAAAGAGTACTTTGAGGCGTTCCTCGGGAGTGATTATTTCTGCAAACATCAGATTGACGTTCTAACTAGTGGGAATGTAGCGTTGGATGATATCTTGTACAACGAGACTGCTTTATTTTATTTCATGGAGTTTCTAGAGCAAGAAAATACGTGCGGTCTTTTGGAGTTTTGGATAGCCGCTACGAATTTACAACAACACTTGAAAAACCAGAAGGAGTTTTTTGATCCGATTGAAGCACAAAGTGACGCTGTTGTATTATACGACAAGTATTTTTCTCTGCAAGCCCACTGTCCTTTAGGGTTTGGGGATAAAGTTAGGTTCGACGTAGAACAAAATATTTGCGGCGAAAACGGCCTAGTTATAGACTGTTTCAACTTACCTCTAAAAATCGTAGAACAGGTACTTGAAAGAAACCATTTAAAGCCATTTCTCGCATCTCAGTTATTTTATAAATACTTATCAGAGTTAATTAATACAGTGCAATCAAACGATTATTTAGTTAGTATTGAAAATAATAGACCTCTGTCGTCCGACTGTAGTAGTGAGCGGAGTTATAGTACAAACAGCGCGTTTTTGGCGCTTGAAATTAATAGCAATAGTACAAAGAGGGGTAAAGATAAATGCGCCGATATGAACATCGACACGAGGCAGTTGTGCGATCCTGATTCGTTGTGGAAGCGCAGGCGCAACCACAGACTGTCGTGTGGGAGAATAACGGCCTTGGGAAAATTCGAGACCGACCTGGAACCAGAACCTGATAGAAAAGGTTTCACGCTGAAAAATGTAGTCAAGAAGTTCGTTAGTTTGGACGAAGATAAGAAAAAAGAAGAAATGGCGTGGCAAGTAGCCGAAATGATTGTCAAAGATATAACGAACGTGACGCTGAATAACGAAAAACCCAGAAATTCGTGATTGTGATAAATGTTTCATGTTTAGCTCAAAAAGATATTCACCACACGAAATTTGTAAACTAGTGTGGCAACAGGTATATTTTGTACTACGTCTCTCTAAGAATTGTATGTAATTTATCGTACGTTGTAACACGTTTGGAATTTATTGTGTGCCAAATTGGTCACTAATTTGTTGGATGAATTACATACAAACTAAGACCGTGAGTGTTAATTGTTTGCCAGATTGAACATTTTGTACTTCCTTTTGCTCTACTTTGTAATAAACTGTACAGTTTTATGTTAATATTTATAAATTATTTTTGTATATATATTTTGATAAGTATCTATATTTTATTTTCTAACTGTGTTATTTTTGTAGTGTTATAACGGTAACATACATTTTTGTAAATAGTTCTCTAATACAATATAGATATTTGGATTTTTATTTAAGGGCGAATTTTATTTTCTACTCGTCGGAATCACAAACCAGTGTATTAAAATATATATATTTTTAAAAGTCATTTTATCCCCTAGTTTTTCTTCTTTTTGATTGCTTTTGCGGGATTACCCCGGAATGTCACGATTAACGCCATATGTATGAAACACAGAAGGAATCCTGCTACATTTTGTGCCTTAAAAAAATAATTAAAACGCGCGTTTTCTTAGTTTAAAACTTTACCAGCATGAAGGTATTTTTTAAAATGATTGCAAATAGAAGCCACACAAATGGTACTAAAATTGCCATTAAAGTCATCATAAATGGTATCTGGGAGGCGTCTTTCTTTGCAATTATGTCTTTCCAATACAAAATTTTTAACGTAGTAATTTAAATTTAAATTTAAAAAACCATATATAACCCCGCCCACCCGCCCCGTTTCAATTGTGATGATTTTTTTATTCGCCGCGAACCAAGGGTGCGGAGATGAACTGCAAAATACGTATTTCCTTACAAGGAATTAAAAACATGTTTTTGAGTATCGTGTTCAAAAAATACTTCGTATATTAAAACAAAAAAAAAATATATATAAACCCCGCCCACCCACCCCATTTCGATTGTGATGATTTTTTATTCTTAGAAACCTAAAACACGTTTGAAATGGTAAATTTTTGAAAGAAAAAATGTATTTTGCAATTAGGCTCTACCCCTCGGCTTACGATGAATAAAAAAATCACCAGAATTAAGATAGGGTGGGTGGGCGGGGCTTATATTTTGCCTTTTTTTTCTTAATATACATAGCCATCTTTTCACAACAAGAAACTTAAAACATGGGTAAAATGGGGCATGTTTGTAAGGAAAAATAGATTTTGTAATTATGGCGTGAACCCTAATTTTAAAATCGATATTTCCTTATACAAATTTTCTATTTTAAACATGTTTTACGTTTCATGTGAAAAAAAGTCTACACATATTAAAACAAAAAACAAAAATATAAGCCCGCCCACCCGCCCTGTCTCAATTGTGATGATTTTTTTTTATTTGCGGTGAACCAAGGGGTCGGAGCTTAACTGCAAAATACTTATTTCTTTACAAGAAATTAAACATGTTTTTGAGTATCGTGTTGTTCAAAGAATACTACGTATATTAACAAAAAAGAATGCAAAATATAAACCCCGCCCACCCACCCCATCTCGGTTGCGATGATTTTTTTATTCTTAGAAACTTAAAACTTAAAACACGTTTAAAATGGCAAATTTTTGTAAGGAAATATGTATTTTGCAATTAGGCTCCGCCCCTAGGTCTAAAGAAAACTTGATTGCTATTTAGGTCAAGGCAGGTATGAGTGTGGCTTAATCTTTGGCTTCAATTTTTTCTTATCTTATACTCACAAACATGTCTTATATGGTAATTTTTTTAGAGAAATAATAAGGATTTTGCAATTAAATTTCGCTCCTTTGGCTCTCGACGATTTAAAAAGAAAACGATCACAATTGAATAAGGCGGGTGGGCGGGGCTTATATTTGGTCTTTTTTCTCAATATACGTAGCATTCTTTGAGCAACACGATAATCAAAAACATGTTTTTAATTTTTCGTAGAGAAATAAGGATTTTGCAGTTAAGTTCCGCCCCCTTGGCTCACAACGAATAAAAAAAATCATCACAATTGAGATAGGGCGGGCGGGCGGGGCTATATTTTGTCTTTTTTTCTTAGTATGTGTGGACTTATTTTGACAGCAATAAACTTCAAACATGTCTAAAATGGTAAATTTTTGTAAGTAATCAACTTAAATCCTCCATTTTTCATCTACAACCATGCTCTGAAGTATATTTGGTTGCCTACTTAGTCTTCCAAAATAATTACCCTATTATCAGAAACAGCAAATAATAATTCCAGCGTCTACAACAAATATATTTTTAATTGTACACCCGTCATTCAAATTCCGTAAAAACTTTTAGTACTACCGCGCGATAAAAACTGATTGAGTCTGTTGGCAATTCTAGATTTTTAGTTGAAATTGGTATGTTTTCTACAGTTTCAGAGAGACATTGACACAAATTTACACAACAACCCTGGTCTCTGTCAATTACGTTTTTATCACGGTGTATAATAAGTTAGGTGTTCCGACGAGCGCGTGAAACGTGTCCCCAACTAGTCACAGATTTGGAGTGAGAGAAACAGAAGAGGGAGGCCATCATTTAATCGCACGGACGGGAAAGAGACGGGAGAAGTATTTGTCGGAATTAAACCCATTTAGGTCCAAAAATCATCAAAATTAATTATCCGTTGTATTAAAATAAAAACTTTAAACATTTATAAAATAATAATTTATTTAAAAAGATGAATGTAAACTCGTTGTTAAAGATAGTTCTTTTCGCCTTCACATATTATATTAGTATCAATCACTTCTGTTCGTTTCACAAGACAACTGAAAAATATCCATTAACCATTATCTGCTTTACTGTTTGAGAAATAAAAATTTACCATTATTACGTAGTCTGTAATCGAGACTCTTTCCTTTTTTCTGCACATGCCTTGGTTGTTTTCTCTTGTTCCTGTTTATAAAATTGTTTAATTTGCATAGTTGTGTAAAAATATATTGCCTTTGAAAATATTTCCATTCTATGCTCTTCACAAGAAAAAGGAAAGTAAATAGTCATAAAAATTTTTGTTGCGAATAGCTCTTCAATTGTTGCATCGAATACATCCACAAAATCGATATATTTCATAAGTATCCCTTCCACCCATTGAAACATATTAAACATTAACAAATCTGGATGGTTTAACCACCCCCTGGATTTTGTACTAGTAAATTCAGATGCACTAGAACATGGATCTTCTTTGTTATATAACTGTTCACGGCAAATATTACATTTTGAAGTATTGTACAATTTTTTTTGCGACAAATCCAGCTAAGTAATAAATGATGTTGTCAACAATTTTAGTTGTAGTGACATCTTCAAATAGTTCGTCTATTTCGTTAATCGGTGAATCTGTATCTAAAATATATTCAATTTTCTCAACATGATTTTTCCCGTATTCTGGTATTTGTTTCAAAAATATTTTTGGAGTCATTAAATGATAACGAATGATTTGCATTACTATTTTCCTGCATCTGTGTGCAATTACCAAATTTCGGAGGTTTTAATAATTTATAAACCGATAACATTCGGTATAGCTGCAAAGAGTTATAGATAAGGGATGTCCATTGGCACAACCTGCTTGTCGAATTGTGCCGAAAAATCTCTGCAAAAAATATAGTTTATGTGGAATAAAGAAAAAATACATATCGCATTCAAAAACCCTCTGAAAATAAACATAAATTCTGTTTCTTGAATGTTAAAACATAACACATAACCGATAAAAAGGGAGTGCAATAAAAGTGCCATTCCAGTAATCTATCTTTAGGTACCCGAAACACCGACACTTTTTCGGGATTACCATTGTATCCGCTAGAACAATTAGGCACAACACATTTTCTATCCATTTTTATTGATAAATCAAAAAACAAGTAAGAAATCGCAGAGAAAACCTAGCAAAATCTGTCACACCTAGAGAGGGAAAAAGCCCGCCAAACGCTGCTAAACAGATCTAAGTGAGAGGTTACAGGCCGCCGCTGTCTGTCTCTCTCGACCGCTCATCGTGACTAAACCGGCGTCAAGTCGATGCACGGTGAATACGCTTCGTCGTAACACCTAACTTATTATACACCGTGGTTTTTATAAATATTTGGGTCGGAGGACGGAATGAAATTCAAAGGCGGCAAATTTCGACATTTGTACCTACATTGACCAGAAGGGGCCACCACTAGTTGTGGCTGTCAAAAACGTCGAAGCCAAAACCTGCAAAAGTGAGGTTAGGTTTATGTTTAATTTTAATAACAAGTAATTCGAGTTCATTACGCTAAGTAAACCCTGTCGAAATGGATCTGTGGAACATTAAAGATTTGGAGCCACCCCCAGTCACCAGCTGTAAAGCCTGCACAAAGCAAATCGGTAAATAACCCCAAAATCGCCCCGTTTACGATAAAGCAATAAACCGTTTCAGATGTACGCCTCCTGCATGCCGTTCTCCAAGAAGGAGTCAACTTTTTCTCAAACCAGCACCACTTATTTACCGAAGCCGCTTTACTCTCACGCTCAGTCTACCGTTTCAAGGTGAAATTTCGTTCCTCCAAGGATTTCAAAATCGTGGAAAAACTCAACCACATTCTGCGGACTTACCAGAGAATGCACATTTCGGCGGCGTTGAACGTGCTGTTGGTCACAATTCCTCAGAATTACAAAGCCAACAACACCTACATGTTAACAAAAAACATGTTTGATTATGTTTTAGTGCGCCTGCAAGGAGTGGGAAAGCTGTTGTGCGCAACTTTAGAAGCTTGTAAGGAGGTTTCAACTGCCATGCAGCAGAGATTAAGACTTGGGCATTTTTGGAAAGTTGCTATTGTTATTTTTGCCACAGCTGCCAGGGTTTTTGTGGTTGCTAAAAATGCGCTGAAGTATTGTTGTGAGTTGTATGGGAATTTGTTGCCGTATTCGTCGAGTTTGGGGAATTCTGGGGTGCAGTGGCTGCCAGAAGGGTACAGTTTTCCTGCTCATTTGGACGAGTGGTTGGAAATTGATTGGTTGGATCTGGATAACGTGATTGACATTCTTGATGATGAATCTATTTTGTTTTATGTAAAACTAACGGATTCTGATGATTTTTATTCTTAGAAACCTAAAACACGTTTGAAATGGTAAATTTTTGAAAGAAAATATGGATTTTGCAATTAGGCTCCACCCCACGTATATTAAAACAAAAAAAATATAAACCCCGCCCACCCGCCCCATCTCGATTGTAATGATTTTTTTTTTATTCTTAGAAACCTAAAACACGTTTAAAATGATATATTTTTGTAAGCAAATAAGGATTTTGGGCCTAGTTATAGACTGTTTCAACTCACCTCTAAAAATCGTAGAACAGGTACTTGAAAGAAACCATTTAAAGCCATTTCTCGCATTTCAGTTATTTTATAAATACCTATCAGAGTTAATTAATACAGTGCAATCAAACGATTATTTAGTAAGTATTGAAAATAATAGACCTCTGTCGTCCGACTGTAGTAGTGAGCGGAGTTATAGTACAAACAGCGCGTTTTTGGCGCTTGAAATTAATAGCAATAGTACAAAGAGGGGTAAAGATAAATGCGCCGACATGAACATCGACACGAGGCAGTTGTGCGATCCTGATTCGTTGTGGAAGCGCAGGCGCAACCACAGACTGTCGTGTGGGAGAATAACGGCCTTGGGAAAATTCGAGACCGACCTGGAACCAGAACCTGATAGAAAAGGTTTCACGCTGAAAAATGTACTCAAGAAGTTCGTTAGTTTGGACGAAGATAAGAAAAAAGAGGAAATGGCGTGGCAAGTAGCCGAAATGATAGTCAAAGATATAACGAACGTGACGCTGAATAACGAAAAACCCAGAAATTCGTGATTGTGATAAATGTTTCATGTTTAGCTCAAAAAGATATTCACCACACGAAATTTGTAAACTAGTGTGGCAACAGGTATATTTTGTACTACGTCTCTCTAAGAATTGTATGTAATTTATCATACGTTGTAACACGTTTGGAATTTATTGTGTGCCAAATTGGTCACTAATTGTTGGATGAATTACATACAAACTAAGACCGTGAGTGTTAATTGTTTGCCAGATTGAACATTTTGTACTTCCTTTTGCTCTACTTTGTAATAAACTGTCCAGTTTTATGTTAATATTTATAAATTATTTTTGTATATATATTTTGATAAGTATCTATATTTTATTTTCCAACTGTGTTATTTTTGTAGTGTTATAACGGTAACATACATTTTTGTAAATAGTTCTCTAATACAATATAGATATTTGGATTTTTATTTAGGGGCGAATTTTATTTTCCACAAGATGGAGTTACAAAACTGTTATTAAAATATATATATTTTTACTAAATTAGACGCTTCACATTTCGTCTGAATCACTACTTTCGGCTTCCTTACCTGGAATGTAAAATTACGGGTTACAAACTTTTTTAAAGTCATTTTATCCCCTAGTTTTTCTTCTTTTTGGTTGCTTTTGCGGGCTTACCCGGGAATGTCACGATTAACGCCATTTGTATGAAGCACAGAAGGAATCCTGCTACATTTTGTGCCTTAAAAAAATAATTAAAACGCGCGTTTTCTTAGTTTAAAATTTTACCAGCATGAAGGTATTTTTTAAAATGATTGCATATAGAAGCCACACAAATGTTACCAAAGTTGCCATTAAAGTCATCACAAACGGTATCTGGGAGGCGTCTTTCTTTGCAATTATGTCTTTCTAATACACAATTTTTAACGTAGTAATTTATTGTGGGTAATTATTTATACTTACGACGTCCCGTAACGGGCTTCCTAATAGCCCCAACATTAATATTGTTACTATCAATCCATACCTATCTTCCACTAAAGACGGGTTTTCCCATTCACAGTAGCCCCACAGTACTGCGACAAGTCCCGCACTTACTGTGAATTGTTTTAAGATTTCATTCCATTTATCAGTGGAATACACATAGTAGAAAACTGAATAAAAAACGTTCAATAAAATGGCGGAATAATTCACTTGTAACATGACATTGTCTTTCAATAATAGGCCATATTTCAACATCGCGAGACCCCTGAAGACATTTTTCACTTGATTGTTTATAAAATTATGATAACTTACATCATGATGCCTCCAACAAAAGGAACCGAACTGATATCTTTGGTGTTGCCCTTTTTTCTAATGTCAAGACAAATGAACACCCCAGAAAAGAACTGCGCTATTGTCAGATAACTGGCAGTAGTTCCAATAATGTCTTTGTATGGTAGCAGAATTTGGGACAGTGTTTCCATTGTTGAATTTATCAAAAATGTGTCTATTTACCTGTAAATACAAGGTTTTAATGTGTTTCAAATGAAAAACATGTAAATAAAAACTGCAGTACTGACACTTTGTACATCATAATTAATGACAAACTGCTTACTAGACACTGTTTTTTGTAAAATCGTCAAATTTCTATCCTTTTTCGTTGACACTCACTAGGAGTTGACAACGACGAAGACTAAGGCAGGGAGTAGGGGGTAAACAAGAGACGCAACTCAGTGTAAAATATCGAGACTCCACGCCAACTGATGTTGCGAATTGGAACTAATATTAAAAGCGCGCAGATTTAAAACATCTGCCCATTTTTGTTCTTAAATTTTATTTTGTTTTCACTACTGCTGCATTAAACAGCTGTAAAAAAATTATAGTAAAGTACTAAAACTAAAGTATTTTCTTCTTGACATAGCAATAAAAAAACAAAGCCTAGGTTCAAAACAATTTATTAAGTAAAAATAACAGTCGTAAGACAGATGAATCTAAAAAGTACATAAAAGAGCACAAAAAAAAGGTGTCAAAATATTCAACTATTACTATAGAAAATCAAATTAATTCATAGTTTTCTCGATTATTCTATCTTAGTCTGGGGCCATTCATCTTTAATAGGATTATTAAAATTACAACGAAGAGTAATTAGAATCATAGATAATTTGGGATACAAAGACGATTGCAGAAAGTCTTTTACTTTACTGAACATTTTTACATCACCCACTCTCTACATATACCATAGAATACCCTCTCTATAGAACACGATCTCTAATGCTTTTATGTTGGTCACAATGTCAGCATCTACTGGCTGGGTCGGGAACTAAAACTGGCGCTAAATTTGAAAGCAAATTTTTAAGGTGAATTTTTTATAATTGAAGGGGAAAATATGGTTTGTGTATTTTATATGTTAGTTTCAAAACGTATAAATACGTTTTGAAGCTGACATATAAAAAACACAAACAGTGTAAAAAAAAGTAGATAAAATATTTGACACAGTATATTTAAAACTTAACATTCAGTTGTAAATGTAAATACAATAATAACAATAAATAAATAAATAAATACATTGATAATATCCTAAAAATATCTTAAGAGAAAATTAGAAAAGTAAGCAAAAGTCAAACAAAATAGTGCAAAATAAAATAACATTTTAAATATTAAATGTTCAAAATTGATAACCAAATATGTTTCCCAGTACTTTGTTATGGTGTGAACAAAACAAAGCTGATGAATAACCTGCAAAATCCAAAATTATACAAACGTTCTACTTTCTTTCTGTAAAACGTAAATATAACTGTTGCATTTCTGTTTCCAATGGAATTGATTTGTTTGGGTCTTCCTTACCAATTACTACATTGCTGACTTTTTTCATAGATCTAAAGATAGACTCTCTTAAAAATAAATGAAAAAGTTGAGTTTTTAGTTCTTCGATATGCAAAACACTCCCGAAAATCAAAATCAATCGCCCCTTTCATAACCGTTTTATCAAAAAATGGGCAGAGTTTACGCCAGGCATGGAATTTTTACAAAAAGCAAAAACAACAGGTTGCTTCTACCTTCCGAAAATTCCTCTGAGTACGCAAATATGGTCTGCAATTTTTTCCGTCCTTGTTGAACCGTCATCTTCAAAAACCACAACTGTCCTCACAAGGCAAGTGGTCCAGATGAGGCTGAATGAACATCTCATCAAAGATGAGAATACAAACTTAGGGTTAATTTTGTGACTTACTTGCTTTCTGAGAACTTCGAATATAAGTTGATGATACCCGGTTCTATTGGAACTTTATTTAGGGTTGCCCTCAAAGTGTTAATAGATAGCAACATAAACATTCTTGGCAGAAGTTTATACGATGTTGAACCATACTTCCAAATGGCAATGGCATCTGCTTTCACCTCAAATGTAAAACTCCTGCTTTTCGATTTACGTTTCTAATCTAGTTTTCAAAAAATTCTCGCTGAAAAGAAGCCAATCCTTTCACGATACCAACCAAACGTTGATCTCCTAGAAACTTCTTAGCGGAGCGAAAGGCGTTCTTGTGATTGCCACATCAATGTGGTTGGCTTCGAGTGATGCTGTAGCAAGTTCACTATCAGCTGTGAATAAAAATATCTTAATATTTGTTTTGTAGTGACTTTCAATTTGTTTTACCGTGGAAAGGCAAAATAGCTGGTACTGCAAATCTATGCGGCTTTTGCGTTCTGGTATGTAGTCGTTGTCTGGTCGAAAATGATGGAAGCCAGTGTACCCCCTGCTATAAATTTGGTTGTTGTTTAAAACCACCAGTTTTTGGTTATTCGCAGCTTTATTATTTGCGCCATAAACCGATTTGGACGTGGAACCCAAAGATCGGCTTAACTCTCGTCGTATATCCGTAACATGTTGTTGTCTTGCATTTTTGTTCTACAAAAATTGGGTATAATAATCTAGTCAAGGCAAAGTTATATACTTACATTTGGCAATTACACTCTACAATGTACAATGTAAACACATAAATTAAGAAAACTTTGAGAATCACTATCCCACTATGAAATCACGCATAAATCACGCGAATACAACACAGGAAATGTGTCAAATGATAAACACTGCCGTTGCTAGGAGATTTAAACGAATTCTCAAAAATTTTGAAAATCACAGCTTTTACAGATTTCTTTTCATTACGACTCCTGGCGGGCGGGTCGGAAAACTTCGCAAAGAAAGGATAAGGTGAAGGCTATCTCATTTCAAGACCCCTGACATATACCATTGCTTGCAATTTATTACTGTGAATGTCAATCTGTATCCAAGAGTCAATTTCAACCATAATTACAGCACAAGACGTAAAGATATTTTATTTAAAGATGTACGCCTAACAAAATCTAGAGATGGCACTAATTATGTTTGCATTAAACTTTTAAATGCTTTACCCAAAAAATACTTAGAAATAATTATACATCCAAAATTTTCTTGAAACATTTAAAAGCATATCTCATCGGGAAGGCCTTTTATTCATTAGAGGAGTTTCTAAATAATAATTTTAAAGTACTTAGTAGTACAGAGTAACAATTCCTAACTTAACGTGTATTATATATATATATTACTAGATTATATTATATTATATTGTATTATATTAATTAGGAAATTGTATTTGAGAGTTGATGTCAATTATCAATCTTAAGCTTTTCTATGACGTGTGTAAACTTATGCTTTTAGTACAAATAAAATCCTATTCTATTTTATTTTATTCTAATGGTGCTTATGTTCATACACAGTTGGTGCAAAATTTTTGATGTAGGTGTCTACTACAATATTTTCACGTAAATCTCGTTTATGCAATTTCTTATTAACCAGTTTGACAAAATGTTTACCCATAACTGCAATCAAAGTATATTTTGTAAGCCTAATAACATTATCTCGATGTTCTTCGCAAGCTAAAAATTCCAGATTGATGTTCAAATCTATATCTAATAAATTACCGCTAATATAGTCAGGAATCTTTTGGAAAATCATTTTCTTTATATAAATGATTTCCGCAACAAAAACTTCTGATGGATACATGAGTTTATTTCCCATATCTTTTAAAACAATATATGCATGAATATCGGTAACTTTGTCCGATAACAAAGCTTCTCTACACGTTACACATTTGGTAGAAAGAAGTTTTCTACAAATGAAACCTGCAATGTACGCTGCTGTATTTATCCGAATTTGGGCAAGCTCTTTAATAACGAGCGTTGATGGTTTTTGTGTAGGTAAACTTTGTAAAAAAGACTGTTCTGTTTGAAAATTAGACGTCGTAGGAGATTCGTTTAAATTTACAGATGCACTGGAAATTAATGTTGTGGAAGAAACATTTGTCGTTAATAATATAGTATTAGCTGATTCACAATTAGTTTTATCAGAGTTTGGTATTTTACTGTGGAGCATACACGCTTTATACGCTGCAAGAAATTGAATTAAGGTAGGTTTCGTATTGTCACCACACAAGCTACGTATTTTGCCAAAAAAATTCTCTAGGGGATCTTGCTGAATTGACCTGGTTGCAAAATATTTAAAACCAAGCGTCTTTAGTTTTTCCCACAATCTTTCAATGTTACGAATTGTAACAATGAAATTTTGGACGGAAGGAGGAGCGTGAACTTCCTTGCCATTTTTAAAAAATTTCAAATCGTTCAATCTCACTTTAGCTTCGGCCCAAAATTTCATATGTTCGGAATTATCAGTTAGAGGTCGCCGCATTGGCTTGGTTTCTTTACATTTACTGTTCAAGCTGTCAAATAGTGTATCACAAAATTTGACAAAGCTTGCTGTACCACCCCAGTTTACAAAACCAAAATTGTTTACGAGTGTCATTGCTGAGTAAACGCTATTACTAAAAACTTGAGTAGCCAAAGATACCTTCATCTTCATTTTTCCCTGAGGGTGAATGTGAAGTTCTGTTAACTTTGTAATTTTTGAATCGACGCTTAATCCATCTTTTGCGTATAACATTTCAATGTCATTCCACCGCGCTATACCTGAATCATCCTGAATATCTTTGTCAATCATAGCATTACGTAAACATTTTATTAAATGGCAAGCATCAAAATTATGTAGAATGGAATTACTATTTACTAAATATTGGAAATCATTCCGTTCGAAATTGGATTTTAAAGTGAGGTAACGAACCGCAGCTCTGTTTGGCCCACCTTGATCAGACGTAGTCAGCAGCACTCGAAATTCCGTTTTCGTGTGGATCACGTTTATAATTTTTACAATTAAATCCGCTAGTTGATACGTTTTAACACCTGACTTGGTGAAGAAACAGGCGATAGGTTGGGTCCATTTGTTGTTAATGCCAGTCAACATGAAGACCAATGCTTTGTCTGCCATGCATTTCTTTCTGCCATTCCCTATTTGTCCTAAATCTTCAAGACCTATCACATCTATGGTGTCCGGTTTAAATGCAATGTCCAAGTGCGGTTGAATGGCCATTTCGTCGAAAACGAGATTACAGAACTTTTTTAAAGGATGATTATCCATATCCATCTGAGACATACTTTCTAAGACACTATAATGAATTCCCGCGTGTATTCCCATATCATTTAAAACCTTTGCCAGTGTTCGTACTGATGGCATGGCAAAAAATTTTTGAAGAAACCGATACGCTCTGGGACCTTTCTTAAATAGTGTAACAAAAAAAGCTTTTTCCTCACGTGTCCAAATTCGACCTTTTGGTATTTTACCTGCATTTTTCAACTGCGATAAAATAAACATTTCTGCTGTTTTGGACATTTTTTCAAAATTTTTAATACATTTATTTTGCAGCAGATATGTAATATCTGCCTTTCTCAGACATTTCTTGGCGTTAAAAAGGTCCTTCTTATTTTTGGAAAATCTCCTTTGTAAGTTCCCCATTTGTTTTCTTATGCTTTTTAGTTCCATCTTCAAATGCCGCTTACGAGGGGTTTCTTTTGTTGCCCTAAGATGTGACTGTCCTGCAACACACAACACACGAAATGCTAATCAACAAATTTATAAATTTTTCCGGTAATCGTGTTTTAATGAGGAGATTAATGCATGATTCTAGGCAACCAGATATACATCTCCTTACCTGAAATGCCATATTTCTGAATGTCAAAAATTTCCTGAATCATGATTCAAAATGAAGAATTGTCAGGAATTATTTATTTATTTGTTAAGATTCGTAAACAAAACTAGATTCTTTAATGCCTGCGGAAGTGGAAAAGTCAAATATGGCTTCACTAAATATACTTCCAGAAAGAAGCAAAGTGCTTTACCAAAAAACCTATGGTGAGTCAGTTGCATGGTGCGTCCGGTGTGCCGGAAAGCAGGTTGTAAAGTATCCGGAGTCCGTGTTATTTACATCCTACACGCTTGGGGCCAAAGTATTCTATGCTTCGGTCCACTTTAAATATCTGTCATGATTTGAATATATCCAAATTTAATAAACTAATGTTTATTCAGAAAAATTTTTACTTGTATGTTTGGTTGCATAGCTCATATTTTGAATTTTCAGTAATTTAATAAAATTACGAAAACCCGAAAAGTATTATAACTAAGTCGACTGTTAATTGCCGATTGATAATCTCGAACATTAACGCGCTGGTTCCTCGCGCGTTAAGATATCTCGATTATTAATCACCTTTATTAACAAACTTGTTCGTTAAATAGCTATTTTAAGTCAATAGGGGCGATTATTCTGAATCAAACTTGTTAAATTTAAAGGGTGTTAAATTGCAAATTATCATTATAAGGGGCAATTCTGAATCAAAGTTGTTAAATTTAAAGGGTGTTAAATTGCAAATTTCCATAGTAACGAGTTAAATTCGTAAATCTGAGTGGCTGTTTATTTTTTAACAACCTTTAAATTTTAACATGTTTGATAGAACTAGCCCTAATATCTATAGCAAAAAATAATACGTACCACTTGTTTCTCCAGAGCAACCAAATGATAGTTGTGTCTCGTCAGTCATTGGTATTTCAGAAGGAGTTCCATCTTTTTCATTAGTAGAAGTGGAAATGGGAAATGTTGTAGGTACTGCTCCCCGGTTTAATTTGAGTTTTTCTTTTGTTTGGAAATGTTGTTCTTCAAAGTGATCACTACACACACTGAAACTATATAGCACTTTGTTCTGTTCTAGTTCAAAAAGCGTTTCATTGTTTATACACTCCAACCACTTCTTAAAAAGTTCTTTATTCCTTGGAAATGTAAAGTATTTTACTGTAGGGTCTGTCTGAAAACACTTTCCACAGCCAGTAACTGCACATTTTTTTCGGTATTGATAAGAACCCTATAAATGTTTCATTTTCCATGTTAAATATATGTTTAAAACTAATTTTAACGCTTACCTTCTCCATTTTTGAATTATTAAAACAAAATTTCTCAAGACCAGTGAAAACGGCAGCTTTATAGCACACAATTAACAAATCGAAAAGCCAAACTAAAATACTGATTTTTTTTTGCAACAATGTAATTCAAATTTAAAAGAGCGTGCAACATGGCTGCCAATAGCGCAAATTAAAAATAACTGTTTCACTATTTCTCATCTAATCAAAAAGGCTTTCATTATTAAGAAAATAATAATAATAAACGCTTAATGTACAAGAATACACAATCAATATACAAAATGTAACAATCTTGCTTTTAAAATATTTATTTCATTTTATTATAAAATAGATTTCTATCACAATTTATATTGACTGCCCTCTCTGAATGCGAACAACAACTATTGTTATGGTTCAAGGTCGCTAATTTAACTTGCTATCCCCTGGACTAAGGTCAAATTCATACAAACTATTAAGCATTCTGTTACAAGTGTTATTGGCATCCCTGCCATTTAGTGAGAATAAGTTAAGTTGGCAATGACCAACATTAATGTACTGTGTATTTTGGTACTTGTAGAAGGTTACACATGTTTAGTTATTAAAGATATAATTGAAACAAGCCTCTTTCTTATAACAAATGAAACACATTCCCCTTGCCTAAACTATTACAACGCAAACTAACACGGAATTACGGCAAATCATCTACAAATCATAAACATAATTATAAATGTTAAAAATAAGTGCGATAGTAAAACGCATTATGGGCCGGTTGCATAAACGCAAATCAAATTTAATCTCTGATTAAGAACAATTGTAACTATGATAATAACAATCGTTACTATGGAGTCATGGGGCGGGAACTTCAAAGGATTGAAATGGGCATGCGTTTTAGTACGGGGAACAGTCCACGAGAGGCGCTGGCGGCATGTTTTTAAATTTAAAACAATATCTATGAAAATAATAAATAAAAGCGCTTCGGTTACTTTGACAACTTGAAACGTCAAAAATTAATTATCGTCTCGATTCCCGTGCTTTCCCAACCGTTCTGTTCTGCTATCTTGGTCTTTGAGCCACAGTTTTTCGATTAATTTGCTCTGTTAGTTTTGTTTTCGTTACTTTTATATATATTTTTGGTGTTCGCGTTCTCTTTATTGTTGTTTTTGTGTTGCTGTTTGGTGTTTCTTGTTTTACTGTTTGTTCCCCGTTCAATTAAGGACTTTATAAGGTAAAAATATTTGTTTAATTTGAAGATATGGAATTTTATTATTAACTATTGCAGTTAGAGGATGGTGAAGTACCGCAAGTGTGCCGTTGTAACCTGCGATGATCGCCAATCCCCGCGACATCGCTTTCCAAATCCCCGTAAATTCAAAAGCCGTTTTGAACGATGGATTGAGCTTTGCGGAGATAAAGATCTTCATGTTAAGAATGCAGACCTGGTGTATCGCTCCCACCGTATTTGTGACAGGCATTTTCTTGTGGAAGATCGGTCGTCTAATATGTTGCTGAAAAAGGATGTGTTGCCAAGTCTTTTTTTGCCTCTCCATTTTCCTGTATCAGATTCAAATTTAGATCCTGTTTCTTCTCAAGAAGACACGGTTGCAGGTAAAATTTACATATTTACGTATTTCTCTCTTTTTCATGGTGAAATAAAAACTACATTTTGGCGAATCTACAATTATTTATTATTGCAGACCCCATAAGTGATCCCGTTTCCGAGCAAATCAGTCCCGATTCCATCCCAGTTCCATCCTTGAGTGAAAGACGCATTTTAAAAAGATCATCAAGCTCTGCATTGGTTAACGAAGTTCCTTCAAAAATCTTAAAAATCGCAGGAGTTACGTACAGCAAAGAGCTTCCTGAAGAAGCAAAAAAACTTTACAATTTAACAAAAAAACTTAGGAGAAAGGTATGTCGCCTTACAAAAACCAAAAATTTTTATAAAAAAAAGCAAATGACAAAAATTTCGAAAGAAGAACTAGTTGAAAAGGTGACAGCGCCTTTGAATCGGACGGTTGCAAATTTCGTAAAGACCCAGATTAGATTAGCCGATGTGCATCCTAATGGTAGAAGATATACGTTGGATGACAAAATTATGGGTCTCATCTTGAACAAACAAAGTAACAGAGCATATAAACTCTTTTCTAAAATATTTCCTATGCCTTCGAAAAAAACTATAATGGCCTTACTCAATAGAATACCGATTAAAGCGGGTTACAATGAGGCACTATTTGACAACTTAAAAGCAAAAGTTAAAGGCTTAAAACAGCAAGAAAAACTATGTGTCCTAATGTTTGACGAAATTTCCATAGAACCACATATATCGTTGAACACGCATTCAAAAGAGTTTGAAGGGTTTGAGGATTTTGGAGAGAAAAAGAGCAAAAAAATTGCTGATAGGGCTCTCGTTTTCATGATTAAGGGTATAAAAAGGGAGTGGAAACAGCCCCTTCTGTACACCTTCTCCAGCGGTCCGGTGAAAACAATAGATTTGGCGAGAATAATTAAACAAGTTGTAAAACAATGTCAAGACGCAGGATTAAAAATTATAGCCTCAGTAAGTGACCAAGGGACGAATAATCAGGCAGTGATTAATTATTTAATGAAATCTTCTATTGGAACTAATGTTCAAATTGGAGACAAAATCAAATTTTTTAAAATTAACGAGCAGAAAATAATCCACATATATGATCCTCCGCATCTTCTTAAAGGAATTCGCAATAATCTCTTAAAATATAAACTAATTTGGAAAATACAAGACAAAGAACCATTAAGTGCGCAATGGTCAGACATCCAGAAAGCATACCACCTAGACAAGTGTTCGACCGATCTACGTGCTATGCCAAAACTTACCGAGGGTCATGTTAATCCCAAAAAAATTAGGAAAATGAAGGTCTCATGTGCTGCACAAGTTTTTAGCCATACAGTTGCATCGGTTCTGGGACTAATGACAAAAATTGGAGACAGTGGCTTAGACGAGGAAGCGATTGGCACTTCTAAGGTCCTTAGTTTTTTTAACAAATTGTTTGATAGTGTAAATGGAAGGGTGTTAAAGCCCATGAAAAGGAATTTTTTGAGATGTGCAGTAACAGAACGATCCAAACATTTAAAGTTCTGGCAATGCGCGAGAAATAATCTACGAAATATGCATTTTGAGAAAGGAGGCAAAAAGTTTATCCCGCCAAGTTTAAAAAATTGGGAAATCACCTTAAATGGATTCGAAGAAATTTTCAAAATTTTGAAAAGTCATGGTTTAACGTTTTTTAAGCCTCGGGTTTTCAATCAAGACCCGTTAGAAAATTTTTTCGGCCAAATTCGTCAACAAGGAGCTCGAAATACAAATCCTACGGTTACCCAATTTAAAAATCATTTTAAAACTCTTTTGTTTAATAATTTAACTACCACTCATTCTATTTCTGCAAATTGTGAAATTGATAATTCCGAAGAAATTCTAACGTCCGTCAGACAATTTATAACGCAAGGCCTATCTGAAGATGACGAAACCGAAGAAATAGAAACAATTGACGAAAATTTATTGATTAGCCCGGGACCGGAATTTTCTTATATAGATAAAATTAGCATGGGCTACGTAAGTGGTTTTGTTGTTAAACAATTGAAAGGAATAGAAACATGCATAAAATGCGAAAAAAATTTAACAACAGTAAACAAAAATGAGTGGCATGATCTGGTTGTTGCGAAAGAATTTAAAGATTCGGTTCCCAATAAATTGAAATATTGTACTCCGAAGCTTATTATAGGTTTAAGTTCTTGTTATCACGTGCTACAAAAACTAACACCAAAATATTGCTTCAAAAAATCTGGCTATGAAATATTGAAAAATTCTGTGAAAATGAATGTGAACTTCGAATTTAACGATAATTGTGAACATATGGGGGACATCAAAGAATTTCTAATATCAAAATTCACTGAGTTAGTTTGTTATAATTGGGCCGGTGGTATTAATAAAGTTCTCAGTGGCAAAGATGAACGAAACCGCCATCGAAACGACGACGCCATATATATCGCAGCCAAGAAATACTACGAAAAAAGAAAAAAAAAAGTGAGTAAACATTGAACATTGTTGAACATTATACATATAAATTCTGTAATTAAAAAAATTAAAGCTAATTTTCTGAAATATGCATGTTGTTTTATTAAAAAAATTGTGGAACAAAAATTAAAATAAAAACCCAGCAGGCTGTAACCCTGGTTTTGTTGGGGAACAGCCCACCAGAGGCCGCTGCTTTCTCTGTCCTTTTGTCAGTATAAGGAGTTGCCTATCTATTACAAATATTATTATTATATTATCTATGTATGGAGTTAATCAGAGATTAAATTTGATTTGCGTTTATGCAACCGTGCGTTTTACTATCGCACTCATTTTTAACATTTATAATTATGTGTCTTATCGCAGAGTTAATACGTATAATTTAAAAGTTAATGCGCGCATTTGGTTATACATAAACGGCACTTACTTAAAACCACTATAAATATGCATAAAACGTGTTACAAAATTAGGTTATGTCACATGGCTTTTCTACTGTCAATATGTCAGAAAATTTTAACAAAAGTGAGATTAGACTTAAAAGACGCTAAAAATGTTTTGAGGTATTGTTGTGAGTTCCATGGGAAATTGTTACCGTATTCGTCGCGATTGGGTAACTGTGGGGTGCAGTGGCTGCCGGAAGGGTACATTTTGCCCCAGTCATTTGGATGAGTGGTTGGGTATTGATGTTAATAACGTGACTGAGGTTCTTGATGATGAGCCTTTTTGGTCCTTTCTAAAAGTTGCAAATTGTGATGATGAATTTTGTGAAAAAGAACAACAGTTTTTTTTCAACAGAAACAAGGAACAAAAGCCAAAGGTGAAATTTCACAAAGGGCACTTCACGATTTCGCACAAACTGTTTGCGTTTGCGTTAACGTTTCTTACCTTCAAAAGTTGTGGAAATGCTTCCTTGTGTCAGAAAAAAATATTTAGTGTTCGCCCTATGGTTTGCACCCTATTAGTTGCGCCACTTGTAGGCAACCAACTACACACACAGTTGAACTCGCACGAATTCCAATAACTAAATGATCCACGGAGCAAGAAGTGTCACGTTTAGGGGTATGTTTGTAATGGGGTGCAGGACGCGAAGCGCCCTGCCTCCACTAAAAACCCGACATTACACTTACGCGTGTTGTTGACTAAAAAAAGTGAGGTTATGTTGGAAACGGCTTCCCATGGAAGAGGGTGCAAATGAGAAATTAAAAATTTTTTTTGTGGCAAAAGTAAGCATTTCCACAACATTTGAAGGTGAGGAGCGCGATCAGGGAGTGCTGTAGAAGAGTTGTGTGCAAACAGTTTGTGCGAAATTGAGAAGTGCCCTTTGTAAAATTTTACCAAGCCAAAAAAAATTAAATACGTCTACAGCGAATGTAGAGCATATCTGTGATTAAAAATGAATTTATTTATATTATTTTTGTAATGAATAGTAGAAATAAAAGTATGTCTCTCTTAACTTAACTTCAACTATAACTACTTTTTATCACATGTATTTAACTACATTTCTAACTATGTAGTTAGAGTAGTTAAATACTTTTTTATACAAATAGCGAGCGTTAACCGTCTTCTCTTTTGGTTTGGTTTTTTAATTAATACATTTTTAGTTTTCTTTGTATAACACGATCATGGGCGCCCATGGGCCCCCCTGAGATTCTGCGTCAATTTCCTTTTTATTTGTCAAAATTAAACCTTAGCACATTTATAAGAGTAGGCACATGCCCTACACTTTCAGTTTTATTGCCACACAAACACAGAAATGTGACAAACTTAGACCATTTGGTTTTGAAACCCTCTGTTCGGCCCAGATTTGCCGGGAAACATCATAAATCTATCCTTTTTAACCGGTACTGAATTATGGGTTGTTTCGTTATTTGCTTTTTACAGTTATTACAAGAGCAAACATTTTATTGCTAACGTTTACGTCCAAAAATTCATTCCGTTTTCACTTTTTATCTGTGGTGAAGTGACATGTAAAGACGAACAGTTGTTAAACCGGCGTTTTGTTGACTATAATTTTTATTATTTATTTATTTCAAAATTCAAGCGTAAGTACTCTTGATTAAATTTTAAATTTAATAATTTTTTTAAAAACAGAGAAATATGGATATCTGAAATTTCTTCAAGAAAAAAATTACAAATACTGATGATGATACTTCAGCTAATAAGAAGTATAAAATAAGTGGTGTTATTTATTACTACTGATGGCGGTTTTTCAGAGTAGCCATCGACTTCGAGTGGAAATTTCGGTTGCTCCAGAACTGTTTCACGAGTGGGCGTGCGAACTACAACACAGATGGCATAGAAAATTATTTTGACACTTTTATTCCATACCTGGATCATTTCATTCTTTCCTTAACGACACGATTTTCCGAAACAAAAGTGTCATCATGCTCATTATTTTCTTTACATCCAAAGAATATACATAACTTAAAACCAAGTTGCCTTAAAGGGTTGGGCGAATTTTACACCACTGACAATTTTTATCGGACGAAATCCAAAATTGGCAGGATTTTGTAAAAATAAAAAACTTTGACAGTAGTATTTCAGAGAGAGAGTTAATGCCGAAGAAATATCTGTTGGTAGAGTAACTGACGATTTTGGTCAAGAAAAAAGGGATTAGCAATTTGTCTTTGATGAATTTTATATTTTTATAACTTTTTAATTTTAATATTTTACACTGTTTTGCTAATAATAAGAATAATGATGTTGTAGGGTTATTTGCGATAGATTTGATTAACGTAGTTGATGATTAAAATATATATTTATAATAGTAAAGATTTCTATCATTATATTATTTATATATACAAGAACAGAGTATATTACAAAAATTTCAGGGTGACCCCCCCTGAGAAAGGTTTCTATGGGCGCCCATGAACACGATTGCTTCTCGTAAAAAGTAAAGATTTTGCGATTAAACTCCGCTATTACGATGAATAAAAAAACCACCAGAATTGAGAAAGGGCGGGTGGGTGGGGCTTATATTTCGCTCTTTTTTTCTTAATATACATGGACATCTTTTCACAACAAGAAACTTGAAACATGGTTAAAATGTTTGTAAGGAAATATAGATTTTGCAATTATAGCGCGGACCCTAATTGCAAAATCGATATTTCCTTATACAATTTTTCCATTTCAAACATGTTTTAAGTTTCATGTGAAAAAAGTCTACACATATTAAAACAAAAAAGGCAAAATATAAGCCCGCCCGCCCGCCCTGTCTCAATTGTGATGATTTTTTTTGTTCAACGTGAATCAAGGAGGCGAAACTTAACTGCAAACTACTTATTTCTTTAGAAAAAATTAAAAACATGTTTTTGAGTATCGTGTTGTTCAAAGAATAGTACGTATACTAAAACAAAAAAAATATAAAGCCCGCCCACCCACCCCATCTCGATTGTGATGATTTTTTATTCTTAGAAACCTGAAACACGTTTGAAATGGTAAATTTTTGAAAGAAAATATGGATTTTGCAATTAGGCTCTACCCCTCGGCTTACGATGAAAAAAAAAAATCACCAGAATTAAGATAGGGTGGGTGGGCGGGGCTTATATTTTGCCTTTTTTTTTTCTTAATATACATAGCCATCTTTTCACAACAAGAAACTTAAAACATGGTTAGAATGGTACATTTTTGTAAGGAAATGTAGATTTTGTAATTATGGCGCGGACCCTAATTGCAAAATCCATATTTCCTTACAAAAATGTTCCATTTTAAACATGTTTTACGTTTCATGTGAAAAAAGTCTACACCACGGTTGTAGAATAGATAGGTTTGTACACTAATGGCTTGGGATGGCGACGCTTCTTTTCGATCCCTATATCCATGGAAAGGACACAGACAGCTAGCGCCTCTATCTTGTCGAGCGGAAATCGTTCTAGTTATTTTGGGGATTTTCGTTTACATTGCTTTATGAACAATACAAAATTTGTAAATGACATTTGATCGGAGTCGATAAGTACGATTTCTTTTATTAATTACATCGGTTATAGACAGATGCCTATAGAGTTCTGTGTCCCTAAAACGTCAAAAACCAGGCGACGCGATCGGCAATTGGCGTCGCTGACCAGGGATATGCAAATGTATGCTAGTGTATCAACCTATCTATTCTACAACCGTGGTCTACACATATGAAAACAAAACGGAAAAATATAAGCCCGCCCACCCGCCCCGTCTCAATTGTGACCAGGAAAAGTGTACCCTTCTGGCAACCACTGAACACCAGAGTTACCCAAACTCGACGAGTACGCCAGCAAATTTTCATACAGCTCATAACTATACTTCAAGGCATTTTTAGCCACCACATAAACCCTGGCAGCTGTGGCAAAAATAACAATAGCGACTTTCCAAAAATGGCCAAGTCTTAATCTCTGCTGCATGGCAGCTGAAACCTCCTTACAAGCTTCCAAAGTTGTGCACAACAGCTTTCTCACTCCTTGTAGGCGCACTAAAACATAATCCAACATGTTTTTTGTTAACATGTAAGTGTTGTTGGCTTTGTAATTGTGAGGAATTGTGACCAACAGCACGTTCAACGCCGCCGAAATATGCATTTTCTGGTAAGTCCGTAGAATGTGGTTGAGTTTTTGCACAATTTTGAAATCCTTGGAGGAACGAAATTTCATCTTGAAACGGTAGACTGAGCGTGAGAGTAAAGCGGCTTCGGTGAATAAGTGGTGTTGGTTTGAGAAAAAGTTGACTCCTTCTTGCAGAACAGCATGCAGGAGGCGGACATCTAAAAGGTTTGATTGTTTTAATATGAAATGGAAGAGCATGGGTTTATTTACCGATTTGCTTTGTGCAAGCTTTACACCTGGTGACTGGGGGTGGCTCCAAATCTTTAATGTTCCACAGATCCATTTCGACAGGGTGTACTTAGCGTAAATGAACTCGAATTACTTGTGTTATTAAAAATAAACATAAACCTAACCTCACTTTTGCAGGTTTTGGCTTCGACGTTTTTGACAGTCACAACTAGTGGTGACCCCTTCTGGCCAATGTAGGCACAAATGTCGAAATTTGCCGCCTTTGAATTTCATTCCTTCCTCCGACCCAAATATTTATAAAAACACAGCTGAGAGAGACCAGGGTTGTGTAAATTTGTATCAATGTTTGTCTGAAACTGTAGAAAACATACCTATTTCAACTAAAAATCCAGAATTGCCAACAGGCTCTATGAATTTTTATCGCACGGTAGTACTAAATGTTTTTACGGAATTTGAATGACGGGTGTACAATTAAAAATATATTTGGAGTAGACGCTGGAAATAGTATTTGCTGTCTCTGATAATAGGGTAATTATTTTGGAAGACTAAGCAGGCAACCAAATATACTTCAGATAATGGTTGCAGAGGAAAAGTGAAGAATTTAAGTTGATCACAACAAAAATTTACCATTTTAAGACATGTTTGAAGTTTATTGTTGGCAAAATAAGTCCACAGATATTAAGAAAAAAAGACAAAATATAGCCCCGCCCACCCGCCCTGTCTCAATTGTGATGATTTTTTTTATTCGTTGTGAGCCAAGGGGGCGGAGCTTAACTGCAAAATCCTTATTTCTCTACGAAAAATTAAAAACATGTTCTTGATTATCGTGTTGCTCAAAGAATACTACGTATATTGAAAAAAAAGGCCACATATAAGCCCCACCCACCCGCCCTATCTCAAATGTGATGATTTTTTTTTGAAATCGTCGAGAGCCAAAGGAGCGAAATTTAATTGCAAAATCCTTATTATTTCTCTAAACAAAAGTGACCATGTAAGACATGTTTGTGAGTATAATATAAGAAAAAATTGAAGCCAAAGGTTAAGCCACACTCATACCTGCCTTGACCTAAATAGTAATGAAGTTTTCATTCATTGTTAGACCTAGGGGCGGAGCCTAACTACCAAATCCACATTTCCTTACAAAAATTTGGCATTTTAAACGTGTTTTAAGTTTCTAAGAATAAAAAAATCATCACAATCGAGATGGGGTGGGTGGGCGGGGTTTATATTTTGCGTTGTTTTTTCTTAATATACGTAGTGTTCTTTGAACAACACGATATTCAAAAACATGTTTAATTTCTTGCAAAGAAATAAGTATTTTTCCTCTCCCTTGGTTCACAGCGAATACAAAAAATCATCACAATTGAGACAGGGTGGGTGGTTTTTGTTTTAATATGTATAGACTTCTTTTCACAATATGAAACTTAAAACACCTTTAAAATGGTAAATTTTTGTAAGAAAAAATAGATTTTGTAATTATGGCGCGGACCCTAATTGCAAAATCGATATTTCCTTATACAAACTTTCTATTTTAAACATCTTTTAAGCTTCATATGAAAAAAGTCTACACATATTAAAACAAAAAAGCAAAATATAAGCCCGCCCACCCGCCCTGTCTCAATTGTGATGATTTTTTTTATTCGCCAAGAACCAAGAGGGCGGAGCTTAACTGCAAAATACTTATTTCCTTACAAGAAATTAAAAACATGTTTTTGAGTATCGTGTTGTTTAAAGAATACTATGTATATTAAAACAAAAAAAATATATAAACCCCACCCACCCACCCCATCTCGACTGTGATGATTTTTTTATTCTTAGAAACCTAAAACACGTTTGAAATGGTAAATTTTTGTAAGGAAATATGGATTTTGCAATTAGGCTCCACCCCTCGGCTTACAATGAATAAAAAAAATCGCCAGAATTAAGATAGGGTGGGTGGGCGGGGCTTATATTTGACCTTTTTTTTCTTAATATACATTGCCATCTTTTCACAACAAGAAACGTAAAACATGGTTAAAATGGTAAATGTTTGTAAGGAAACATAGATTTTGTAATTATGGCGCGGACCCTAATTGCAAAATCGATATTTCCTTATACAAATTTTCCATTTTAAACATGTTTTACGTTTCATGTGAAAAAAAGTCTACACATATTAAAAAAAACAAAAAAGAAAAATATAAGCCCGCCCACCCGCCCCATCTCGGTTGTGATGATTTTTTTATTCTTAGAAACTTAAAACACGTTTAAAATGGCAAATTTTTGTAAGGAAATATGGATTTTGCAATTAGGTTTTACCCTTCGGCCTACGATGAATAAAAAAAATCACCAGAATTAAGACAGGGTGGGTGGGCGGAGCTTAAATTTTGTCTTTTTTTTCCCTTAATATATATAGCCATCTCGTCACAACAAGAAACGTAAAACATGGTTAAAATGGTACATGTGTGTAAAGAAAAATAGGTTTTGCAATTTTGGCGCGGACTTTAATTGCAAAATCGATATTTCGTTATAAAAATTTTCCATTTTAAACATGTTTTACGTTTCATGTGAAAAAAAATCTACACATAATAAAACAAAAAAGGAAAATATAAGCCCGCCCACCCGCCCTGTCTCAATTGTGATGATTTTTTGTATTCGCTGTGAACCAAGGGAGCGGAGCTTAACTGCAAAATACTTATTTTCTCACAAGAATTTAAAAACATGTTTTTGAGTATCGTGTTCAAAGTATACTACGCATATTAAGAAAAAAACGCAAAATATAAACCCCGCCCACCCACCCCATCTCGATTGTGATGATTTTTTTTATTCTTAGAAACCTAAAACACGTTTAAAATGATATATTTTCGTAAGGAAATATGGATTTTGCAATTAGGCTTCACTCCTCGGCTCACGATGAATACAAAAAATCACCAGATTTAAGATAGGGTGGGTGGGCGGGGCTTATATTTTGCCTTTTTTTTTCTTAAAATACGTAGCCATCTTTTCACAACAAGAAACTTAAAACATGGCTAAAATGGTACATGTTTGTAAGGAAAAATATATTTTGTAATTATAGCGCGGACCCTAATTTAAAAATCTATATTTCCTTATACAAATTTTCCATTTTAAACATGTTTTAGGTTTCACGTTGTGAAAAAAAGTCTACACATATGAAAACAAAAAGGCAAAATGTAAACCTGCCCACCCGCCCTGTCTCAATTGTGATGATTTTTTGTATTTGCCGTGAACCAAGCGTGAGCTTAACTGCAAAATACTTATTTCTTTGCAAGAAATTAAACATGTTTTTGAGTATCGTGTTGTTCAAAGAACACTACGTATATTAAGAAAAAAGAACGCAAAGTATAAACCCCGCCCACCCACCCCATCTCGATTGTGATGATTTTTTTATTCTTAAAAACTTAAAACACGTTTAAAATGGCAAATTTTTGTAAGGAAATATGGATTTTGCAATTAGGCTCCGCCCCTAGGTCTAACAACGAATGAAAAGTTCATTACTATTTAGGTCAAGGCAGGTATGAGTGTGGCTTAATCTTTGGCTTCAATTTTTTCTTATATTATGCTCACAAACATGTCTTACATGGTAATTTTTTTTAGAGAAATAATAAGGATTTTGCAATTAAATTTCGCTCCTTTGGTTCTCGACGATTAAAAAAAAAATCATCGCAATTGAGATAGGGCGGGTGGGCGGGGCTTATATTTGGTCTTTTTTCTCAATATACGTAGTATTCTTTGAGCAACACGATAATCAAAACTTGTTTTTAATTTTTCGTAGAGAAATAAGGATTTTGCAGTTAAGCTCCGCCCCCTTGGCTCACACCGAGGGCGGGGCTATATTTAGTCTTTTTTTTTAATATGTGTGGACTTATTTTGCCAACAATAAACTTCAAACATGTCTAAAATGGTAAATTTTTGTAGTAATCAATTTAAATCTTTCACTTTTCTTCTACAACCATGCTCTGAAGTATATTTGGTTGCCTACTTAGTCTTCCAAAATAATTACCCCATTATCAGAAACAGCAAATAATAATTCCAGCGTATACTCCAAATATATTTTTAATCGTACACCCGTCATTCAAATTCCGTAAAAACTTTTAGTACTACCGTGCGATAAAAACTGATTGATTCTGTTGGCAATTCTAGATTTTTAGTTGAAATTGGTATGTTTTCTACAGTTTCAGACAAACATTGACACAAATTTGCACAACAACCCTGGTCTCTGTCAATTATGTTGTAATATCCCGCAAGTTTGGGTTATTACAATGTTTTTATAAATATTTGGGTCGGAGGACGGAATGAAATTCAAAGGCGGCAAATTTCGACATTTGTACCTACATTGACCAGAAGGGGTCACCACAAGTTGACTGTCAAAAACGTCGAACCCACAACCTGCAAAAATGAGGTTAGGTTTATGTTTAATTTTAATAACAAGTAATTCGAGTTCATCACGCTAAGTAAACCCTGTCGAAATGGATCTGTGGAACATTAAAGATTTGGAGCCACCCCCAGTCATCAGCTGTAAAGCCTGCACAAAGCAAATCGGTAAATAACCCCAAAATTGCCCCTTTTTTTTACTAAAACGATAAACCGTTTCAGATGTACGCCTCCTGCATGCCGTTCTCCAAGAAGGAGTCAACTTTTTCTCAAACCAACACCACTTATTCACCGAAGCCGCTTTACTCTCACGCTCAGTCTACCGTTTCAAGGTGAAATTTCGTTCCTCTAAGGATTTCAAAATCGTGGAAAAACTCAACCACATTCTGCGGACTTACCAGAGAATGCACATTTCGGCGGCGTTGAACGTGCTGTTGGTCACAATTCCTCAGAATTACAAATCCAACAACACCTACATGTTGACAAAAAACATGTTGGATTATGTTTTAGTGCGCCTGCAAGGAGTGGGAAAGCTGTTGTGCGCAACTTTGGAAGCTTGTAAGGAGGTTTCAGCTGCCATGCAGCAGAGATTAAGACTTGGCCATTTTTGGAAAGTCGCTATTGTTATTTTTGCCACAGCTGCCAGGCTTTTTGTGGTTGTTAAAAATGCCTTAAAGTATTCTTGTGAGATGTATGGGCATTTGTTGCCGTATTCGGCGAGTTTGGGGAATTCTGGGGTGCAGTGGCTGCCGGAAGGGTACATTTTCCCCAGTCATTTGGACGAGTGGTTGGAAATTGATTGGTTGGATCTGGATAACGTGGTTGAGATTCTTGATGATGATGCTATTTTGTTTTATTTAAAACAAACGAATTCTGATGATTTTTATTCTTAGAAACCTAAAACACGTTTGAAATGGTAAATTTTTGAAAGAAAATATGGATTTTGCAATTAGGCTCCACCCCTCGGCTTAGGATGAATAAAGAAAATCACCAGAATTAAGATAGGGTGGGTGGGCGTTGGTTATATTTTGCCTTTTTTTTTTTCTTAATATACGTAGTCATCTTTTCACAACAAGAAACTTAAAACATAGTTAAAATGGTACATTTTGTATTTATGTATGTATTGTAATTGGTAGATTTTGCAATTATGGCACGGATCCTAATTGCAAAATCGATATTTTCTTATACAAATTTTCCATTTTAAACATGTTTTAAGTTTCATGTGAAAAAAGTCTACACATATCAAAACAAAAAAGCAAAATATAAACGAAATTTGTAAACTAGTGTGGCAATAGGTATATTTTGTACTACCTCTCTCTAAGAATTGTATGTAATTTATCAGACGTTGTAACACGTTTGGAATTTATTGTGTGCCAAATTGGTCACCAATTTGTTGGGTGAATTACATACAAACTAAGACCGTGAGTGTTAATTGTTTGCCAGATTGAACATTTTGTACTTCCTTTTGTTCTACTTTGTAATAAACTGTACAGTTTTATGTTAATATTTATAAATTATTTTTGTATACATATTTTGATAAGTATCTATATTTTGTTTTCTAACTGTGTTATTTTTGTAGTGTTATAACAGTAACATACATTTTTGTAAATAGTTTTCTAATACAATATAGATATTTGGATTTTTATTTAGGGGCGAATTTTATTTTCCACAAGTCGGAATTACAAAACGGTTATTAAAATATATATATTTTTACTAAATTAGACGCTTCACATTTCGTCTGTATCACTACTTTCGGCTTACTTACCTGGAATGTAAAATTACGGGTTACAAACTTTTTTAAAGTCATTTTATACCCTAGTTTTTCTTCTTTTTGGTTGCTTTTGCGGACTTACCCCGGAATGTCACGATTAACGCCATTTGTATGAAACACAGAAGGAATCCCGCTATATGTTGTGCCTTAAAAAATAATTAAAACGCGCGTTTTCTTAGTTTAAAACTTTACCAGCATGAAGGTATCTTTTAAAATGATTGAATATAGAAGCCACACAAATGTTACCAAAGTTGCCATTAAAGTCATCACAAATGGTATCTGGGAGGCGTCTTTCTTTGCAATTATGTCTTTCTAATACAAAATTTTTAACGTAGTAATTTATTGTGGGTAATTATTTTTACAAACATATTGGGGCGTATGATTTCCCTTTTGTTAAGCCAATCGGTTTCTAAAATTTTGATTACAATGAGTGAGAAAAGAATACGATAAAAGCATATAAAAAAGAGAAAAAAAAAATAACGAACGTCTCTAAATATTAATTAAGGGAAAAGAATACGGACCACTGATAATGAAACTATTTTCAATCAATAAATAAATCGTAATTGAATGTTCGATTCAGATTTCGTCAAGTCACGCATGCGCACTGGACAATAATAGAATTTTCGAGTGATTATTCGATAATTTTGAACGATTATTTCGATTCATTCGATTAGTGAAATATGTCGATAATGCCCAACACTAACATAAATGTCATATCAAAAAATTTAAACAACAAAAGTGAGGTTACACTTACCTCTTATTTACCTTATTTACTAAAATCCTAAAATCAAAGATATAAAAAAGAACACGAGATTTCTTTTCAACACAAGAAATTCAAACGTCTGCAGCGAATGTAGAGCATGTCTGTTATTAAAAATGAATCTATTTGTATTACTTTTGTAATGAATACTAGAAATAAAATTAATGTCTCCCTTAACTTAACTTCAACTATAACTACTTTTTATCAAATGTATTTAACTACATTTTTAACTATGTAGTTAGAGTAGTTAAATATATTTTTTTTTATAAATAGTGAGCGTTAACCGTCTTCTCTTTTGGTTTTCTTTTTTAATTAATACATTTTTAGTTTTCTTTGTATAACACGATTGCTTAAGAGCATATTTCACGTGGTAATTTCTCGTAAAAAAATAAAAATTCTGCAATTAGGCTCCACCCCTCGGATTACGATGAATAAAAAAATCACCAGAATTAAGATAGGGTGGGTCGGCGGGGCTTATATTTTGCCTTTTTTTTTCTTAATATACATTGCCATCTTTTCACAACAAGAAACTTAAAACATGGTTAAAATGTTTGCAAGGAAATATAGATTTTGCAATTATGGGGGGGGAACCTAATTGCAAAATCGAGATTTCCTTATACAAATTTTCCATTTTAAACATCTTTTAAGTTTCATGTGAAAAAAGTCTACACATATTAAAACAAAAAAAAATATAAACCCCACCCACCCACCCCATCTCGATTGTAATGATTTTTTTATTCTTAGAAACCTAAAACACGTTAAAAGTGATATATTTTCGTAAGGAAATATGGATTTTGCAATTAGGCTTCATTCCTCGGCTTACGATGAATAAAAAAATCACCAGATTTAAGATGGGGTGGGTGGGCGGGGCTTATATTTTGCCTTTTTTTTTTCTTAAAATACGTAGCCATCTTTTCACAACAAGAAACTTAAAACATGGCTAAAATGGTACATGTTTGTAAGGAAAAATAGATTTTGTAATTATGGCGCGGACTCTAATTTTAAAATCGATATTTCCTTACACAAATTTTCCATTTTAAACATGTTTGAAGTTTCATGTGGAAAAAGTCTACACATATTAAAACAAAAAAGAAAAATATAAGCCCGCCCACCCACCCTGTCTCAATTGTGATGATTTTTATTCGTCGTGAACCAAGGGGGCGGAGCATAACTGCAAAATACTTATTTCTTTGCAAGAAATTAAACATGTTTTTGAGTATCGTGTTGTTCAAAGAATACTACGTATATTAAGAAAAAAGAATGCAAAATATAAACCCCGCCCACCCACCCCATCTCGATTGTGATGGTTTTTTTATTCTTAGAAACTTAAAACAGGTTTAAAATGGCAAATTTTTTTAAGGAAATATGGATTTTGCAATTAGGCTCCGCCCCTAGGTCTAACAACGAATGAAAACTTCATTACTATTTAGGTCAAGGCAGGTATGAGTGTGGCTTAACCTTTGACTTCATTTTTTCTTATATAATACTCACAAACATGTCTTATATGGTAATTTTTTTTAGAGAAATAATAAGGATTTTGCAATTAAATTTCGCTCCTTTGGCTCTCGACGATTTAAAAAGAAAATCATCACAATTGAGATAGGGCGGGTGGGCGGGTGCTTATATTTGGTCTTTTTTCTCAATATTCGTAGTATTCTTTGAGCAACACGATAATCAAAAACATGTTTTTAATTTTTCGTAGAGAAATAAGGATTTTGCAGTTAAACTCCGCCCCCTTAGCTCACAACGAATAAAAAAAAATCATCACAAATGAGACAGGGTGGGTAGGCGGGGCCTTATTTTGTTTTTTTTTTTCTTAATATGTGTAGACTTATTTCGACAACAATAAACTTTAAACATGTCTAAAATAGTAAATTTTTGTAGTAATCAACTTAAATCCGTCACTTTTCTTCTATTGTACAACCATGCTCTGAAGTATATTTGGTTGCCTACTTAGTCTTCCAAAATAATTACCCCATTATCAAAAACAGCAAATAATAATTCCAGCGTCTACTCCAAATATATTTTTAATCGTACACCCGTCATTCAAATTCCGTAAAAACTTTTAGTACTACCGTGCGATAAAAACTGATTGAGTCTGTTGGCAATTCTAGATTTTTAGTTGAAATAGGTATGTTTTGTACAGTTTCAGACAAACATTGACCCAAATTTGCACAACAACCCTGGTCTCTGTCAATTGTGTTTTTATAAATATTTGGGTCGGAGGACGGAATGAAATTCAAAGGCGGCAAATTTCGACATTTGTACCTACATTGACCAGAAGGGGTCACCACTAGTTGACTGTAAAAAAACGTCGAATCCACAACCTGCAGAAGTGAGGTTAGGTTTATGTTTAATTTTAATAACAAGTAATTCGAGTTCATTACGCTAAGCAAGCCCTGTCGAAATGGATCTGTGGAACATTAAAGATTTGGAGCCACCCCCAGTCACCAGCTGTAAAGCCTGCACAAAGCAAATCGGTAAATAACCCCAAAATCGCCCCTTTTACAATAAAACCAAAAAACGTTTCAGATGTGCGCCTCCTGCATGCCGTTCTCCAAGAAGGAGTCAACTTTTTCTCAAACCAGCACCACTTATTCACTGAAGCCGCTCTACTCTCACGCTCAGTCTACCGTTTCAAGATGAAATTTCGGTCCTCTAAGGATTTCAAAATCGTCGAAAAACTCAACCACATTCTGCGGACTTACCAGAGAATGCACATTTCGGCGGCGTTGAACGTGCTGTTGGTCACAATTCCTCAGAATTACAAAGCCAACAACACCTACATGTTGACAAAAAACATGTTGGATTATGTTTTAGTACGCCTACAAGGAGTGGGAAAGCTGTTGTGCGCAACTTTGGAAGCTTGTAAGGAGGTTTCAGCTGCCATGCAGCAGAGATTAAGAATAGGGCATTTTTGGAAAGTCGCTATTGTTATTTTTGCGACAGCTGCCAGGATTTTTGTGGTTGCTAAAAATGCCTTGAAGTATTGTTGTGAGTTGTATGGGAATTTGTTGCCGTATTCCTCGAGTTTGGGGAATTCTGGGGTGCAGTGGTTGCCGGAAGGGTACATTTTCCCCAGTCATTTGGATGAGTGGTTGGAGATTGATTGGTTGGATCTGGATAACGTGATTGAGATTCTTGATGATGAACCTATTTTGTCTTATTTAAAACTAACAGATTCTGATGATGAGGTTGAATTTTGTGATGAGTATATTCTTGTTAAAGACGACCCTATCTCTTGTATTTTTGTTAAGGACGATATTCCTATCTCTGAAGACGTCCCCTGGGACGTTGTAGATATTGGCGAGGATTCTGTAATTCGGTGCGATGACAGCGACGTGGAAAGAATAAGTACACCAGAAGGTGATGAAGATGTTGGGGAGGTTATTAACATTAGCGACAGCGAAATGCAAACACCGCTGAAACGAAAACAAAAAATATCTGCATCCAAAGCAGACACTGGAGAAAATACTGGGAATAATAAAAGTCAAACATTGTCCAAACGAAAACGGAAAAAACGCGTCTCAAAAAGTTTGGTGGAAAATAAAATAAATGAAAGTGACACGCCAAAAAGACGACGAAGAAAATCCGCAATTAGAAAAGTAGAAAAAAAGGAAACCAATGTGAGTGGAAAAGGTAAAAAGTCACCCAGAAAGAAACAGGAACAACCATTTCCAGCCAGTGCAGTGAAAATAAAAACGAATGCCTCTTTTCAACAAAAACAAGGAACAAAAAAGAAAAGGAAACTGAAGCGTCTGCAGCGACGTAGTGCACAACGATAAATAAAAATGAATTTTTTTGTAATGGATAATACCAGTAAAACTAATATTTCTCGTTTATGTTTTTGTAAATATTAAGGTCGTAGGGCGGAATGAATTTCAAAAGCGGGAAACTTTCAACATTCATACATTTACCAAAAGAGGTCACCCCTTGTAGTGTCAAAAACGTCAAACCAAAACTAGCACAACATAACCTACAATTTCTAAAAAAGTCAGGTTAATTGAAGAACTGTGTTGACAAATGCCCCCATGATCGCCCCAGAATGTTGTCCCGATATTCAAACAGTGTTTTAAGGACACATCTTAAATTTGTCGTAAGTTTTGATAATTTGGGCAGTCGACACACATTTGCTACAAGGTATTATTCGTTCTCCCAACACAGAATTTTTTAATGAAAGCTATATTTTCAGAAATAATGAACAATCGCAACCACTTTTTGAAGAAAAATATGAAGAAGACCCGGTTATAGTAATGTCAGAGAAGAACGACGTCGATATTATAGGTGCCCCTGATTCAATCTCAAATCTCAGACCTATTATTAGAAAAAAGCTTGGAAATGAGACAGCTTTGCAGCGCCAGTTGAGGGAAATGCAGAACGCTACACAAGAGTGGAATCAGGAATTCTGGGCAAACCACAACGCAAATTTTATCAAGGTATAATACTGTGAGTGTGAAAGTAGGGCACAAGAAAAATTTTTTTCCTTTAAGGAACGTCAGAGGTACATCAATCAGAGACACAAAGCAGGCGAAAAAACACCCCTGTCGGCCGAAGAAATGAGTGAATTTTACAAAAGCTTCCTGGATAAGAACTGGGAGCGCCATTTGAAGTATAATTTTGAGTGGTATAGGAAAAATTTTGCTTTGTTAATTTTAGCGTTTAGAGTAGGTTTAGAGAAGAATTTGTTGAAAGTAAGATAATTTCTGGGATGTCTATTATTTCATAGAATCAGAAAAATATTGTACAGTGTATTTTGTTTTATTAAATTAAATTACATCAGATCAGTGTAGTGATTTTATTTTACCTCCACCAACTGTGCTACTTTTTATACATAAGTAAAAAATAAATGTAATGAAAAGCAAGGAGAATTTAAAACGGTCGTTTACATAAATGGTCGAAAACGGAAAGAAAAATTCAAATCGAAATAAAAGAAGAGGGCAGACTCAAGAAGGTAGAAAATTTTTAGTAAAGAGCCAAAAGAAAAGGAAGAAAAGGAGGAAAAATGGAAGGAAACAAGGCAAAGGAAAAGGAATAAAGGATGCAGATAGGGAAATCGGAAAAAGGGAAGCTGGTACAAAATTAGGAGGAAAAGGGGGGAAGGTACTGTTTTGGAATGTCCAAGGGTTGCGAAAAAAGGAAACGAAGTTCTGGGACTACGTGGGGAAATTTAATGTGGTGGGGCTAGTAGAGACATGGGTACAAAGAGAAAACTGGGAGAAATTTGAAGAGACACTACCACAAGAATATATGTGGGAGTGTCAAGGGGCGATAAAGGAAAAGAAAAAGGGGAGAACAAGCGGGGGAATAGTAATGGGAATTCGAAAAGAAATGCAACTAGAAAAAAAGAAATTCTACCAAAACATATTTCATATAGTAATTTCTTGTAAAGAAACGAGCTCACGATAAATACAAAATTCATTACAATTGAGAAGGGGTGGGTGGGCGGGGCTTATATTTTGCCTACTTTTTCTTAGTACACGAAGTCTTTTTTTCCAACAAGAAACTGAAAACATGTATCTCTATATAACTATCATCCATATTATTGAAAGAAAATTCTATATTAAAAAAAAAACAGCTTAAACTTCACCCACGCTATCTCAATTGAGATGATTTTTTTTTATTCGTCGTGAGCCAACTGCAAAATCCCTATTCCTCTACGAGAAAGACGACTACGTATATTAAGAACAAAGACAAAATATCAGCCCCGCCCACCCACCCTGTCTCAATTGTGATGATTTTTTTTATTCGATGTGAACTGAGCTTAACTGCAAAATCCTTATTTCTCGACGAGAAATTAAAAACATGTTTTAGAGTATCGTGTTATTCAAAGAATACTATGTATACTAAGACAAGATGAAGGCCCATATCGCCCTGATCTAAACCATAATGAAGTTTTCATTCGTTGGCATTCTTAGGGGCAGAGCCTAATTGCAGAATCCATATTTTCTGACAAAAACTTACCATTTTAAACGTGTTTAAAATTTTTGAGAATAAAAAAAAAATCATCACAATTGAGATGGGATGGGTGGGTGGGTTCAATATTTTGGCTTTTTTTCTTAATATATATAGAAAAAGCAAGGCAAAATATAAGCCCCGCCCACCCGCCCTGTCTCAATTCTGATTATTTTTTCTATTCGTCGTAAGCTGAGGGAAATAGTAATGGGAATTCGAAAAGAAATGCCAGAATTGGAAAAGGGAAGTAATAATAAAAACGGACTAATGAAGAAAGTAATACAGTTGGATAACAGTCGGTGGGAAATAATAACCGTTTATAGCAAGAAAATGGAGGAAACCAAGATAAACATAGAAAAGGAAACAAAAGAAAAAGGAGACGAAAAAATACTTATAGGGGGGGAATTTTAATACAAGATTTGGCGATAAGGGGACAAGAATAATAGATAAACAAAAGGGAGAGAAAGGAGGAACAAAAGACAAAGCAAATAACAAAGAAGGGAAAATATTGTGGAAGATAATAGATGAAATGGGATGGGAAATTTTGAATGGAAACCAGGAAGGAGATGAAGAAGGAGAATGAACGTACGTAGGGGCTGGGGGAGAATCAATTATAGACTATGGGATTGTCAATGAAGAGGCGTGGGAAAAAGTAGAGAGTTTCAAAGTGGGGGAAAGGATAGAATCAGACCACATGCCACTAGAAATAAAAATCAAAGAAAAAGACCAAGAGTACGAAAAACAAAAGACAAGAAACGAAATAGAAAAAAGAATAATCAAAGATACAGAAGTAGACTAGAAAAAAAGAAATTCTACCAAAACATATTTCATATAGTAATTTCTTGTAGAGAAACGAGCTCACGATAAATACAAAATTCATTACAATTGAGAAGGGGTGGGTGGGCGGGGCTTATATTTTGCCCACTTTTTCTTAGTACACGAAGTCTTTTTTTTCCAACAAGAAACTGAAAATTTGAATCTCTATATAACTATCATCCATATTATTGAAAGAAAATTCTATATTAAAAAAAACAGCTTTAACATCACCCACACTATCTCAATTGTGATGTTTTTTTTTTATTCGTCGTGAGCCAACTGCAAAATCCCTATTCCTCTACGAGAAAGACGACTACGTATATTAAGAACAAAGACAAAATATCAGCCCCGCCCACCCACCCTGTCTCAATTGTGATGATTTTTTTTATTCGATGTGAACCAAGAGGGCGGAGCTTAACTGCAAAATCGTTATTTCTCGACGAGAAATTAAAAACATGTTTTAGAGTATCGTGTTAGTCAAAGAATACTATGTATATTAAGACAAGATGAAGGTCCATATCGTCCTGATCTAAACCATAATGAAGTTTTCATTCGTTCGCATTCTTAGGGGCGGAGCCTAATTGCAAAATCCATATTTTCTGTCAAAAACTTACCTTTTAAACGTGCTTTAAATTTCTGAGAATAAGAAAAAGTCATCACAATGAGATGGGGTGGGTGGCCGGGGTCAATATTTTGGCTTTTTTCTTAATATACATAGTATTCTTTGAACAACACGATACTCAAAAACGTGTTCTTAATTTCTTGCAAAGAAATAAGTGTTTTGCAGTTAAGCTCCGCCCCCTTGGTACACGGCGAATAAAAAAAATCATCACAATTGAGACAGGGCGGGTGGGCGGGCTTACATTTGGCCTTTTTGTTTTAATACGTGTAGACTTCTTTTTACATCATGAAACTTAAAACATTTTTAAACTGGAACATTTGTATAAGGAAATATCGATTTTGTTAATAGGGTCCACCCTATAATTTAAAAATCTATATTTCCTAGCAAGAATGTAGTTTCTTTTTGTGAAAAGATGGCTATATGTATATTACGAAAAAACAAGGCAAAATATAAGCCCCGCCCACCCGCCCTATCTCAATTCTGAGAGAGGGCGGGTGGGAAATAGAGAGTTTCAAGGTGGGGGGAAAGGGTAGAATTAGACCACATGCCACTAAAAATAAAAATCAAAGGAAAAGAGCAAGAGTACGAAAACAAGAAACAAGAAACAAACAAAAGAAATAGAAAAAAGAATGATCAAAGACACAGAAGTAGACTAGAAATAAAGAAACTAGAAGAAGAAGAAGATATAGAAGCTATTATAGCAGAACCGATCAACATAATTGTAAAAGCTACGGAAAAAAGAAAGATATACATATGGCAAGGGAGGAAGAATGGATGGAACGGAGAATGTAGTGAGTTGAAGAGAAAAACGAGAGAAAAATTAAGAAAATGGAAGAATAACAGGGGAAGGAAAGAAGAGTACTTAAAAGCAAGAGAGAATTATCGGAGAAAATGTGAAGAAAGAAAAAGAGAAAAACGAGAAGAAGAAGAGAAGACAATAAAGTCCCTGAAAACAGAAGAAGAAGTATGGAGATATATAAACAAGGAACGGAGAAGGAAGACTGAAGTCAGTAGAAAAATCAAAATACAGTAATGGAAAAGACACTTTATGGAATTATTGGGAGGTTGTGAGGAAAAATGCTGCAAAATAAATAAAGGAATCACAACGACGGAAGAAATGTGGAGAGGTTCGGAAATAACAGAAGATGAAATAGGAAGACAGATTGAAAGACTGAAAAGAGGAAAGGCACCAGGAGGGGATGGAATCCAGGACGAAGGAAGGAGGAAAACATGTTTGGAACGAAAGAGACAAGTATTGTGAAGGAAAGGGATATGCATGTGAAGAAATAGAAAGAATGAGAGAAATGGGAAGGAGTAAGAAAAAAATGACAGAAAAAATCAATAATTACAATTTCACAATACAGCGTAATCTAGTCAGTGCTGTCAAACCCACGTCAACCGTCATTAAACCACGCGTTAACACCATGTGCCCCCATTTGATGCTACTATTGTTCATTTACGCCCTCCCGTGTGACTCTGAAGCCAGATACGTCACCAACATCGTCAACCTGGAAGTCCAGTCAAAAACCGACCTAAGAAACCAGTTTGCCTTAACCAAGAACCTAATCATCTTTCAAAATCGGGGTCCCAACACCATACACACCTACAAATACATCGTGGCCGAACCGGACCCACACAGAATCCACTTCTACAACCCAGAAGGAACAGAACTGGAATTCGAACAAACCCCAACCAACGAATCCCGCTTTTCCTCCTTCGTGGTCGATTTAAACAGAAATATTCACCCCAACGAAAAATACACCCTCCTTGGCAAAATCGCATACGTCAGAAAAATCCAACCCGCGCAGAAAAATCGCCACGAAAACGAAGACCAAGTAATGAAATTCGAAAACCAAGCGAGATTTTTTTCATCGTACTACACCAAGTTCTCCAAAGTTGAGTATTTGTTGAGGAACGAGTCTCTAATAGAAACGTCGCTTGTTCCATCGTTTCGAACCAACACCAGTTTGGTTTATATTTTTTACAACACGGTGAGGTTCGACTCGAGCTTGATTGAAATCGTCTTCGTCAATAATAACGCGTTTTTGACTATAACCAACTTGGAAAGAACCATCGACATCAACCACTTCGGGAAGATTATAATTGAGGACGAAGTGATAGTGCGCAACATTGGTATAGTACCGAGTTGTATTATATACGTAGTTGGTTATTTTTGGGTTTTAGGTGCGCGTCTTGTTGGTCCTTACAGTCCCTCAGCTTTGGCACCCCTCTCCGACCAAAAAGGCGCTTCGAACTGGCTCTACACCCACCTACCAGCGTCCGCAGAAAACGTGCAGTTCTACGACGTTCTAGGCAATAGCAGCGCCACTAAAATTTACCACTTTTTGAACTACATGACTCTGAAATTTAGGACCCGGTATCCGCTTTTCGGTGGGTGGAAGACGTCGTACGTTCTACGGTACGAAGTACCACTGTACGAGTACCTGTTTACACTAGATAGTAGTTTTTTGTTGCAAATACGTGCCATAGATTACGTACTTGATAAGATGGCAATTGAAAGTGTCACAATTAGGATTGTTTTGCCTGAGGGGGCTCTAATTAAGGGGATTGTTAAGCCGGAAATAATTGACTTTAAAAACGAGGAAGTTAGTTGTCTTGGGGGGTTGTGTCTATTCGGCAGACCTGTACTTGTTTTGAACGGCAGCGACTTATTTGATGACTATATAGTGAATGTGAATGTTGAGTATTCGTTGAAATGGTGGTACCTGTTGCGGGCGCCCCTCGTACTTAGTATTTATTTGGAATTCGGGTTCGTGCTTGTTATTTGCGCCAACAAAGTCAAGTTCTAATCAAGCGATTAAACAAGATTCAAACCACAAGCTAGTTTTATTTACAGAACATTACAAAATAGCTTAGTCACAATATTTGGTTTTTTACAAATCTACTGTACTAAAGTCCTCTTCTGCAGACTCCGCAGCTTCATCCGCAGCGTCCTAAAAATAAAACTTGTAATCTTTGTGCTTCAACTGAAAAGTGGTTATCGATTTTCGCCAATTTTCTGAAAGTTTCACAGATTTCTTGTTAAGATTGAGTGAAAAATGTTCAACTTTAACCTTTACGCGTGTCGGCACGCAAGCCTTTTCAGCCGTCTCTTACCTGAAAACTGGCTTCTCTTCCTTTTACCGTCGAATCGAAACGACGTTGAAGGATTTTCAGTTGGGTACGAAGAGACTTCAGTTCTGTGTCTTTGGCAGACATCGCGCATCTCAAGCAACAAATCTCGCGGGCCTGTTTCTGGATTTGCTCATCCTTCTCTAAGGTTTTGTCAATTTCTTCGTACAGAGCGTTACTAAAACACAAATAAGTGTGACGTCATGGTAACGTTCGACCGATTCAGGACTATTAAAAAAAATTGTCGAAAGTTATTTCGACAGAACTTCCCTCACACTTAAGGTACAGTTGTTTTTTTATGGCAACCCTTATAAGCTAAAATAAAAATATGTATCTAATGTTTGAGTAAAACGTGCTAACCGTTTGTTACAAGTGAGTTTTTCTATTACAAAATTTTGTGTTGATGTCATCCACATTTTTGTAAGGACGCATATATCAATTTGGATTGATGCATTGTAATACTAATAATAAAAGTATTGTATTATTGTTATTCTTGAATAGTGATTTATAATCAATAAAAAGCGAAACAAAAAAAAACCTGTAGATGTGCGAATGAAACAGAAACTAAACTAAAATATGTTTTCTACGAATTGCAATAACCGAATCACAGTGCCGACGGTCCAGACTTTTTTATTGAATTAAACACTACATTTTATGATTAGACAAATTTCATGATATTCCTAATATAAGTACAAAATTTCAACTATCGGCCCAGTACTTTCGGAGTCTTGAAAGGTCGAGAAAACGTAAAAGTAGAGAGTCGGCCGACGGGCTCGATTACAATACTTCCTTCGCTTACACTCGGAAAGTAAAAAGGCATACTGTAGCCCCGCCCACCCGCCCTATCTCAATTGTCATGATTTTTTTTATTCGTCGTGAGCCAATCAGGCGGAGCTTAACCGCAAAATCCCTATTTCTCTAGGAGAAATTAAAAACACGCTTTTGAGTATCGTGTTGTTCAAAGAATACTATGTACCTATATTAAGGAAGAAATGAAGCCAAAGGTTATCAATTGTGATAATTTTTCATTCCTAATCAGACCAAGGGGCGGAGTTTAATTGTAAAATCAAAACATATTTCATATAGTAATTTCTTGTAGAGAGACGAGCTCACGATAAATACAAAATTCATTACAATTGGGAAGGGGTGGGTGGGCGGGGCTTATATTTTGCCCACTATTTCTTAGTAGACGAAGTCTTTTTTTTTCAACAAGAAACTGAAAACATGTGGCTCTATATAACTATCATCCATATTATTGAAAGAAAATTCTATATTAAAAAAAAAACAGATTAAACTTCACCCACCCCATCTCAGTTGTGATGATTTTTTTTTATTCGTCGTGAGCCAACTGGAAAATCCCTATTCCTCTACGAGAAAGACGACTACGTATATTAAGAACAAAGACAAAATATCAGCCCCGCCCACCCACCCTGTCTCAATTGTGATGATTTTGTTTATTCGATGTGAACCAAGGGGGCGGAGCTTAATTGCAAAATCGTTATTTCTCGACGAGAAATTAAAAACATGTTTTAGAGTATCGTGTTATTCAAAGAGTACTATGTATATTAAGACAAGATTAAGGCCCATATCGCCCTGATCTAAAGAGTTTTCATTCGTTGGCATACTTAGGGGCGGAGCCTAATTGCAAAATCCATATTTTCTGACAAAAATTTACCATTTTAAACGTGTTTTAATTTTCTAACAAAAAAAATCATCACAATTGAGATGGGGTGGGGTGGGCTGGGTCAATATTTTGTTTTTTTTTCTTAATATACATGTTTTTAATTTAATGCAAAGAAATAAGTGTTTTGCAGTTAAGCTCCACCTCCTTGATTCACGTTGAATAAAAAAAACCATCACAATTGAGATAGGGCGGGTGGGCGGGCTTACATTTTGCCTTTTTGTTTTAATATGTGTAGACTTCTTTTTACAACATGAAACTTAAAACATGTTTAAAATGGAAAATTTGTACACGGAAATATCGATTTTGCAATTAGGCTCCGCCCTATGTTTTAAGTTTCTTGTTGTGAAAAGATGGCTATATATTAAGAAAAAACAAGGCAAAATATAAGCCCTGCCCACCCGCCCTATCTCAATTCTGATGATTTTTTTTTATTCGTCGTAAGCTGAGGGGCGAAACTTAATTGCAAAATCCGTATTTTCTCACAAAAATTTACCATTTTAAACGTGTTTTAGGTTTCTTGGAATAAAAAAATCATCACAATTGATATGGGGTGGGTGGGTGGGGTAAATATTTTTCCTTTTTTCTTAATGTACCTACATAATATTCTTTGAACAACAAGATACTCAAAACCATGTTTTTAATTTCTTGCAAAGAAATAAGTGTTTTGCAGTTAAGCTCCGCCCCCCTTGGTACACGGCGAATAAAAAAATCATCACAATTGAGACAGGGCGGGTGGGCGGGCTTACATTTGGCCTTTTTGTTTTAATATGTGTAGACTTTTTTTTACAACATGAAAAATTTTTAAACTGGAAAAATTGTATAAAGAAATATGGATTTTGTTAATAGGCTCCACCCCATAATTTCAAAATCTATATTTCCTAGCAAAAATGTAGTTTCTTCTTGTGAAAAGATAGCTGTATATATTACGAAAAAACAAGGCAAAATATAAGCCCCGCCCACCCGCCCTATCTCAATTCTGAGTAATTTTTTCTATTCGTCGTAAGCCGAGGGGCGGAGCTTAATTGTCAAATCCTTATTTTTCTTATGAGAAGTTACCATGTGAAATATGTTCTTAAGCAATCGCATTATATAAAAGAAAACTAAACGTATTAATTAAAAAACAAAACCAAAAGAGAAGCCCCACCCATCCGTCTCAATCTCAATCGTGACCAAGGGGTGGAGCATAATTTCAAAATCGATATTTCCCTATACAAATTTACCATTTTAAACATGTTTTAAATTTCTTGTTCTTAAGAACAATAGGCAAAATGTAAGCCCCGCCCACCCAACCTATCTCAACTGTGATGAATTTTAAAAGTGTTTTAAATTTCTTGGATTAAAAAAATCATTACAACTGAGATGGGGTGGGTTGGCGTTGTTAAAATTTTTAATTTTTTTCCAAATATTCATAATATACTTTGAAAAACACGACACTCAAATACATCTTTTTAATTTCTTCTAAAGAAATAAGTAGTTTGCAGTTAAGCTCCACCTCCTTGATTCACGTTGAATAAAAAAAATCATCACAATTGAGATAGGGCGGGTGGGCGGGCTTACGTTTTGCCTTTTTGTTTTAATATGTGTAGACTCCTTTTTACAACATGAAACTTAAAACATTTTTAAATGGAAAATTTGTATAAGGAAATATCGATTTTGCAATTAAGCTCGACCCCATAATTTCGAAATCCATATTTCTTTGCAAGAATGTACCATATGTTCTAAGTTTATTGTGATGAAAAGATGGCTATATATATTAAGAAAAAAAAAAGGCAAAATATAAGCCCCACCCACCCGCCCTGTCTCCATTCTGATTATTTTTTTCTATTCGTCGTAAGCCGAGGGGCGGAGCTTAATTGCAAAATCCGCATTTTCTCACGAAAATGGACCATTTTAAACGTGTTTTAAGTTTCTTGGATTAAAAAAAGTCATCACAATTGAGAATACCTAATATTTTTTGAACAACACGACACTCAAAAACATGTTTTTAATTTGTTGTAAAGAAAAATACTTATGCAGTTAAGCTCCGCCTCCTTGATTCACGTTGAATAAAAACAATCATCACAATTGAGATTGGGTGGGTGGGCGGGCTTATATTTTGTCTTTTGGAAGTGACGTCATCACATTATTGGTACAAAATTTGACGACTATCGGCCCAGTACTTTCGGAGATTATCTGTCTAATAAAAACTACTACTCTAGGGATCATGAAAGGTGGAGTAAAAGTAGAGGGTCGGTCACGCTCGGGAAGTAAAAACTATAAGAGTAGATGCTCTAATTACATCAAATCCTCGAGTTCTTGCGTCAAATGTATGGAACAATCCTCCGCACACAGCGTAGTGGTATTCGGGCTGCGTTTGATGGAATTGGACGCCACCGTCATACTGACTAGATTTTCCTGGAGCTCGATGACCTTCTTCTTCAACCGATCTTCACTTTTGGCCAACAGTTCGACTTGTTTGTTCTACTGAAACAACTATCGTTTTATTTGTGGTCGTCTGTCAAATTTACCTTGGAAGCCAGTTCTGCTCGTTGACACTGGAGAGCCGAGTCTCTTTCGTGTACCGCGCTGTTGAGTTGAGCCATGGTGACTTTGTGTTCGCTGATAACAGATCTGAGTTGTTCGCAGAAACCTTGCAGATTTACGTACTCTGCAAGCAAGTTACTTTCTTGCTGCTTTAGCATCTGCAATTCTTCGTTCCTATTCAAAAAAATTAAATCAATTTGTAGCGAAATATAATTACCTCTTTTTGGTACTTTGTTGGTAGATGTTGAGTTTATCGACCATGTGTTTGTATTTGTGGGCTAGTTGGTCGTACTTGGTTTGGAGTTCGTTGTTCGTGGCGGCTAATTTGTGTCTGCAAGGGTTGCAACGACAAGATTTATTTTCTTGGATTTTGGCTTTCAGGTCTTCGATTTCTTTGGTCTTTTTTTGTGTTTCTAAGAGGAAGACTTTGTTTTTTTCGGTGATTTCTTTTTGGTGTTTTTTTTCTGCTGTTAATGCTTGCTGTGGTTAATAGAAACTGAGTCTAGAAGGTTTCTGCTTGGTTAAGACTTACTTTGCGCGATGTTTCCAGTTCGAGAAGAGCTTGATGCAAGTCAGATTCTAGTTTCTGTATAGTTTGTGCCATGACTGAATTTTGCTCAACGTACTTGCTTGTGTCTTCTAAAGTCTCTGGAACCTCTTGAGTCACAGACTCTTGGCTCGTTTTCGAATTAGACATCGACTTTATTCTATCTTCGTATTCGTCTGATTTTTCTTTAATGCAGCGACAGATTCTTTCCCGGTTTAGCTCCATGACTTTGGACGTTTCCACGAACTCGTCGTACAACAACGTCAGTTTTTTCTCATAGTCGTCTAAACGCGACTTTGTCGTTATCGCATTGTCTATATCATCCACCGGTTGCTTCTTAATTTTCTTGAGAAGCTTAGCGTTTTTGCACTTCAATTCCTGTATCTCTTTCTCCTGATTCTCACAGTGCTCCCTCAAGCATTCAAGCTCGTCGCTCTTCGCACAATTTTGCGGACAGTTTTGTCTCTGTTCCGATAACAAATACAGCTGCTCTTTGATCACCTCCAGTTCCTCTTTGAGCAGTTTCGCCCCGTCTGAATCCACCACCGGTTTTTCCTTCTTCGCTTTCTTCAAAACGTTCACTTTCACCTTCGACGGGATATTCGGTTTGAGGATTTTCGAGTCGGATGATGCGTTCTTGGAAGAATCACCAGAGGTTTTTTTGCTGAGGCGTGATTTCACGCTGTTGGCGCTCGAAGGTCTCGATCGGGTTTTTGATGGAGTGCTATCTGGATTTAGATTAGTGTAAGGGATGAAGGTACTACCTCCAGCGGGGATGCTTTCGGAGTAAATGTAGTTGTTGCTGCATCTGCAAGGATTGCAATAGTTGCGAAATTGGCTCTCCATTTTGGTGGTTTTTGGAATATCTGCAAAAGATCGTCAGAGGAGTGGTGATCGTGGTGGTACTTTACCTAGATTGTGGATAGTACCGAAATTTTGACTACTGCGAATTTAAAAAGAAGTGACATTTAGTTGCGACACACAAACGTCAAAAAACAATGAAGTTGCAGTACTTTTTTCGAAAAATAAATAAACAACCTAGAAGTTGTACTATCAAGATTCTCGAGACGGTCATTTGCATAATATGTGACTCATGGGAGTTTTCATGGCCACTTTTTTCGGTCCATCCGAGTATAAAACAAAATTGTAAAAAAAATAAACCTGAAGTGCGTCATACATTTTTCTCGTACTAACTCATTTTTCGTGGTACCAAAATATTTTCAGCCGGAAGGTGATGCTGTATGAGTATCTCCCACAAATCCTTGTACCTCGATAATAATACATACATTCTTCTGAAATACCTCAATTAAAAATTAATAGAATGTGTGCTCAAGGATGCTCATTATGATATCATTATGACATACATCCCGCGTCGATTTACTCTATAATTTTTTTAATGAATAGATTAGGAAGCAATTTATAAAGTAAACAAACAAAACTCAGTTTACTATTTCCGTTGCATTAGTTACGACTAGTACGATTTTCCCTCTCTGTCTTACTACCGGTGGGTGTACCCAACTTTTCACCTTGTGTTTTTCTGAATAATCTATAGCTTGTTTACCGCAAGGAGATGATGTTAAACAACAGATCATTTAAAACAGGCAACATACCATTCATGTGTCATGCAGCTTCAAATTACTATTTATAAATCGCTTTGTTAATTTTTCCGCCATTCGCGACTACCATGTGGGTGAAGTCGGTACTCGTTTCGTGCTTGATCTGTTTGTTCATCAGGAACGCGGACAATGCTGCCATGCAAGCCATTTCCGTGCGCAACGCGCTCTACGAAGTTCCAGGACTGGGAAATCGGCCTCTAATCATCAAAATGTACCCAGCGGTGGAGAACTTCCAGAGCGATCTCTATGAAGTTTATGCTGAACCCTACAATTACGTAAGACAGTTACCATTAACACAAAATTCAGTAGGTATAGTTTCGTTTATAGGATTTAAGGGCCGCCAGTGCGGTGGCTGTGATCCAAGGGGAGGGCGAAGGGGCAGCAAAGGGCGAGATTGTGTTCTACCAGAGGCACCCACCGACCGGGCCCATTCTGGTCAAAGGGAACTTGACCGACTTACCTCCAGGGAAGCACGGGTTGCATGTTCACCAGTCCGGCGACTTGAGGCAAGGGTGTGACAAGCTAGGGTCCCATTTTAACCCATATTTGGTAATTTTCAAGGTTTGTGTTTCAGTTGTAGGTGAATTTTGTGTTTTAGCTGCAGCATGGAGGTCCCAGTGACCCGTTGCGTCACGTGGGGGATTTAGGGAATATCGAGGTGGGGGAGGATGGGTCAGTGGAGTTCGATATTGTCGACGCGTTGTTGTCTTTGTCCGGGGGACCCAGGAGCATCGTGGGTCGGGCTATTGTGATTTCCACAAATCCCGATGACCTCGGAAGGGGGGGGACTGCCGAAAGTTTGGTTAATGGTGATTCGGGCAAACCCCTGGGATGTGGGGTTATAGCATACATTAAGTAAAAGTACAACTTATTCTATAAATATGTATAGGGTTTTTATTTTAGAAAAAAGACAATGCGCAGAGTGGCTATAATGTGATCACTCTATCTATAATTTGTTATATTTTATATACTATTTTTTGTTACTGTAAATAAAAGTGTTACAGATTTTTGCCTCTAGATGCTTTATTTCAGTAAAATCAACAATGATAACGCGTCGATGGGTTGCGGTTTTGACATAGAATAATAAGCACCTCAACTAATTTATTCATCGATTTCTTCCACGAAAACGTATATCTGAAACGTATTTATTCACTATTAAGACTGTTATTGGGAAATACCCAACGACTGTTTCACAACATATTATTTTGTATTTAAATGTAGGAGAAGAATTTTTAAACGAAAGCCGCCTTTCGAAAATTCGTCCTATACTACTTAAATAAAATCTGCTATTCCCGTTTTTCAGTGATTTGTGTGTTTATCGTGTCGTAAGATTAAGATGTCATAAAAAGTTACGTTACTTGAGCACATACGTGCACCGATAGAATAAATTGAAGTACCCATGAGTGAATACCAGACACTATTGTGTTAAAACTAGTAGCATATACAAACTAAAACAAGTAGTCGCAATTATCAGTTATCGTAGTGTGACTCGTCGAACAGTGTGAAACTATTATAAAGGTAAATAAAGTTAAACAATAGTAATGACTTAAGTACAAGTAGGGTTTCTTACTAAGTAAATTAGTGTTAAAAAATTCACACGCTGAATTAACCTTGACGCTATTAATTGCGTTAAGAATAGATCGTGGTCGTAAAGTAACGCTTTATTTTTACCGAGAAACGAAAGCAAAAGCAGTTGGAGAAATTGCTTCGTCTACAATTTACTCGAACTTTCTTTGTTGTAACTGTGTCGAAGTAAGTATATAGTAAATATGACGTAGGCGGGTAATTTAGGTTTCGTGTTTGATGTGTCATAATTATTTGTTGTTAAGTGTGATTGCACATTCATAAAGTTATCACAACCGATTTTATTGGGATAAATATGGCCTTTTAATAGAAATATTACGACAGGCGTTTATTATTATTATCTAGCGTTTTAGTCTTAAAAATCTATAACGTTCCTGGAAAGGTCAAAATTTTTATCAGGTTTTTACGCATACGGGAAATATTTGCACATTATTCAAAAGTAAACGTTCAAGCTCGCCAAACGGTGTAATTATCGAAAAAAGTAACATGCAAAGCATTCAAGGATAAAGTAAATAGTAATGATTTTTTCGGAATACAAGCGTTTTTAGCTATTAATTTGGGTTAATTGTGGAAAATGATGGCTATAGTTGAAATATCCTGTTGTAAAAGAAGCGGTTTAAATGTGGACAAGACCTAATTTGGGAGTTTTATCTTATCGTTGTTGATAACGTACGTTTGCGTATTAACAGCGCAAGTTTTGGTTAATGTTTGGTCACTTTTATGGTGTACAATACAATTGTTTAAAGACTAAGTAACACCACGGCTCATGGTACAAATTAATGATATCTTTGGTATTATTGATTCGTAATCGAGCACGAGTAAAATTGATAATTGATTTATGCATGGCATTTTTTCTAATAATTAATGCGGACTTTCCTTTGCGATAAAATTGTTTTCTCCGTTGTTACTCATACATTGGCATTTCATTTGTTATTCTGTTGTATTTTTCGATTAAGTTTGTAGTTTTGTTTCTTTGGTAGACCTGGATAGTCGAATTTTTTAGACCTTCGTTCCAGGTGTGTTTGTCGAAATTCTCCCGTTTTCTAATGTTTTTGAACTTCTTCTATTTTTTATTTTTTCAAAAAAATCGATTTCATTCGAAATATTTCTAAAACTATTGCGCGAAATCATAAACACGCTATATTTTTAGAATCAGCACGGCGATATCTACATCCCAGAATTTTTTGGGAATTTTTTGGCGACTTTTTCAAATGCAAAATTTTTCACTACCTTAGGCCCATTTTTGACTATTTTCGAAAATTAAAGAAAGACATTTTCTTGTAGCTTTTGACCTCCACAAGTTACTTTCGGCTTCATTTCTTCGATAATTCTAACCATTTTTCCAGAATCGCTGAATGAACTATGACAATTTTTGGATTTTTTCAAAAACTTTAATTTTTAACTAAATAGTTTCAAAATCGTGTCCCGGACCGCTACAACTTTGGAATCAGCTTGTCGAAATCTATATTTCAGAATTTTTTCGGAATTTTTTCGCGATTTTTCAAAACAAAATTTTTCAATTGGAAAATTTTGGCCAATTTTCTACCGTTTTCGAAAATTAACCAAAGACATTTTCTTGTAGATTTTGACCTTTAAAATTTACATTCGGCCTCATTTTTTCGATAACTCGTACTATTTTCAAAAATATTAATTTTAAACTGAATATTTTTTAAATTTTGCCTCGGTACCAAGAACACGCAACCGTTTTGGAATCAGCTTGTCGACATCTATATATATCCCAGAATTTTTGAGAATTTTTTGGCAACTTTTTGAAAAGGAAAATTTTTCAATACCTTCCCCTTGGAAAATTTTGGTCAATTTTTGACTATTTTCGAAAATTAAACAAACTCAATTTCTTGTAGATTATGACCTTTTCGGCCTCATTTTTTCGATAACTCCTACCATTTTTCCAGAATCGCTGAATGAAATATGCCAATTTTTGGATTTTTAAAAAAAATTCATTTGCAACCGAAATATTCATATAATTTTAGAATTAGCACGTCGACATCTATAATACTCCAGGATTTTTTGGCAGTTTTTTGGCGACTTTTTGAATGCAAAATTTTTCAACACCTCTTAGGAAAATTTTCACCCATCTTCGACTATTTTCAAAATTGACCAAAGACATTTTCTTGTACATTTCGATCTTGAGAAGCTACTTGCGGCTTCAGTTCTTCGATAACTTTTATCATTTTTTCAGAATCGCCGATTGAAATATGACAATCTTTGAATTTTTCAAAAATATTAATTTTAAATTGAATATTTTTTAAATCTTGTCTCGGCACCAAAAACGGGCTACAGTTTTGGAATCAGCTTGTCGAAATCTATATGCCAGAAGTTTTTGGGAATTTTTTGGCGACTTTTCAATAGCAAAATTTTTGAATACCTCTCTCATCTTTGGAAAATTTTGGAAAATTTTCGACCATTTTCGAAAATTAACCAAAGACGTTTTCGCATAGACTTGTACCTGTAAAATTTAGTTTTGGTGTAATTTCTTCGATAAATCCAGAATTGCCGCTTGAAATATATGTGACAATTTGTTAATTTTTTCAAAAAAATCAATTTCACCTGAATTATTTCATAATTCCATTAGGAAAATTTCGGTCCATTTTCGACCATTTCCAAAATTGACCAAAGACACTTTCTTGTATATTTTGACCTTCAAAAGCTACTTGAGGCTTCAGTTCTTCGATATCTCGTACCATTTTTCCAGAATGGTGGATTGAAATATGACAGTTTTTGAATTTTTCAAAAATATTAATTTTAACCTGAATATTTTTTAAATCTTGCCTCGGCACCAAAAACGGTCTGCAGTTTTGGAATCAGTTTGTCGAAATCTATGTCCCAGAATTTTTTGGGAATTTTTTGGCGATTTTTCAAAAGCAAAATTGTTCAATATCTCTCTCACACTTGGAAAATTTTGGAGAATTTTTGACCATTTTCGAAAATTAACCAAAGAGATTTTCGTATTGACTTGTGCCTGGAAAATTTAGTTTCGGTGTCATTTCTTCCATAAATCTTACCATTGTTCCAGAATTGCCGCTTGAAATATATGTGACAATTTTTGCGAAAAATTCAATTTCACCCGAATTATTTCTAAAAGCTTTACGCGAAGCCCTAGACACGCTATATTTTTAGAATCAGCACGTCGACATCTATATCCCAGAATTTTTTGGGAATTTTTTGGCAACTTTTTCAAAAGCAAAATTTTTCAATAGGAAAATTTTACTCAATTTTTGACTATTTTTGAAAATTAACCAAAGACATTTTCTTGTAGATTATGACCTTTAGAATTTGCTTTCGGCCTCATTTTTGGATAACTCGTACAATTTTTCCAGAATCGCTGAAGGAAATATCACAATTTTTAGATTTTTTCAAAAAATTCAATTGCAACCGAAATATTTCCAAAACGTTTACGCGAAACCATAAACATTTTATATTTTTGGAATCAGCTCGTTGAAATCTATATTCCAGAATTTTTTGGCGAGTTTTGTAAAAGCAAAATTTTTCAATTTCAAAAAATTGGAAAAATTTCTGCCCTTTTTCCATCATTTTCCAAAATTGACGAAATACATTTTCTTGTGCATTTTGACCTTTAGAAGCTGCGGCTTCAGTTCTTCGATAACTCTTACCATATTTCCAGAATCGCCAATTTTTGGAATTTTTCAAAAATATTAATTTTGAATTGAATATTTTTTAAATCTTACCTCGGCACCAAAAACGGGCAACAGTTTTGGAATCAACTTGTCGAAATCTATATCTCAGAATTTTTTGGGAATTTTTTATCGACATTTCAAACGCAAAAATTTGCAATATTTTCTCTCTTGCAAAATTTTGGAGAATTTTCGACCATTTTCGAAAATTAGCCAAAGATATTTTCTTATAGATTTTGACCTTTAACATTTAGTTTCGGTCTCATTTCTTCCATAAATCTTACCATTTTTCCAGAATCGCCGCTTGAAATATGAGAATTTTTAAATTTAAAAAAAAAATCTATTTCAACCGAAATATTTCTAAAACCTTTACCCGGAGCCATAAACATGCTACATTTTTAGAAACAGCACGGCCACATCTATATCCTAGAATTTTTTGGGCATTTTTTGACAACTTTTTCAAAATCAAAATTTTTCAGTACATTCCTCTAGGAAAATTTTGGTTAATTTTTGACCCTTTTATAAAATTAACCGAAGACATTTTCTTGTAGATTATGAATTTTAGAATTTATTTTCGGCCTCATTTTTTCGATAGTCGTACCATTTTTCCAGAATCGTTGACTGAAATATGATAATTTTTGAATTTTTTTTTTAAATTTAATTGCAACCGAAATATTTCTAAAACCTTTACGTGAAACCATAAACATTTTATATTTTTGGAATCAGCTTGTCGAAATCTATATCTCAGAATTTTTTGGGAATTTTTTGGCGACTTTTGTAAAAGCAAAATTTTTCAATTTCAAAAAATTGGGAAAATTTTGGCACTTTTTCCACCATTTTCCAAAATTGACCGAAGACATTTTCTTGTACATTTTGATCTATAGTTCTTATATTTCAGTTCTTCGATAACTCTTCACATATTTCCAGAATCGCCAATTTTTGAAATTTCCCAAAAATATTAATTTTAAACTGAATATTTTTTAAATCTTGTCTCGGCACCAAAAACGGGCTACAGGTTTGGAATCAGTTTGTCGAAATCTATGTCCCAGAATTTTTTGTGAATTTTTGGCGACTTTTCAAAAGCAAAATTTTTCAATACCTCTCTCACCCTTGGAAAATTTTGGAGAATTTTCGACCATTTTCGAAAATTAACTAAAGACATTTTCTTATAGACTTTGACATCTAAAATTTAGTTTCGGTCTCATTTCTTCCATAACTCTTACCATTTTTCCAGAATTGCTGCTTGAAATGTACATATATATTATAATTTTTTAATTTAAAAAAAAAAATCGATTTCAACCGAAATATTTCTAAAACCTTTAAGTGAAACCATAAACATGCTATATTTTTAGAATCAGCACGTCGACATTTATATCCCAGAATTTTTTGGGCATTTTTTGGTAACTTTTTGAAAAGCAAAATTTTTCAGTACCTTCCCCTTGGAAAATTTTGGTCAATTTTTGATCAGTTTCTAAAATTAACCAAAGACATTTTTTTGTAGATTATTACCTTTAGAATTTACTTTCCGCCTCATTTTTTAGATAACCCTTGCAATTTTTCCAAAATCGCCGATTGAAATTTGACATTTTTGGATTTTTTCAAAAAAATCAATTTTAAATTGAATATTTTTAAAATCTTACCCCGGCACCAAAAACACGCTACAGTTTTGGAATCAGCTTGTCGAAATCTATATCCCAGAATTTTCTGCGAATTTTTTGACGACTTTTCAAAACTAAAATTTTTCAATTTTTCTCCTTCAAAAATTTTGGTTAATTTTCGACTATTTTCGAAAATCAACCAAAGACATTTTCATGTAGATTTTGATCTTTAAAATCTACTTCCGGTCTTATTTTTTTCAACAATTCTTACCATTTTTCCAGATTCACCCAGAGAAATATTACAATTTTTGAATTTAAAAAAAAAAATCGATTTCAAGAACAATATTTCTATAGCTTTTATGCGAAACCATAAACACGCTGTATTTTTAGAATTAGCACGTCGAAATCTATGCCCAGAATTTTTTGTGGATTTTTTGGAAACTTTGTCAAAAACAACATTTTTCAATAACTTGCTCTAAGAAAATTTTGGCCAATTTTCGACCATTTTCGAAAATTAACCAAAGACATTTTCTTGTAGATTTTGATCTTTAGAATTTACTTCTGGCTTCATTTTTTCAATAGTTCATACCATTTTTCCAGTTTTATCCAGAGTAATATGACAATTTTTTACTTTTTTCAAAAAATTCGATTTCAAACGAAATATTTCTAAAACGTTTAAGCGAAACCATAAACATGCTATATTTTTAGAATCAGCTTGTCGAAATTTATATCCCAGAATTGTTTGGTAATTTTTTGGCGACTTTCTTGAAAAAAAAAAAAATTTCTCCTTGGAAAATTTTGGCCTAATTTCGACCATTTTCGAAAATTAACCAAAGACATTTTCTTGTAGACGGATCTCTAAAATTTACTTTCGGCTTCATTTCTTCCATAACTCTTACCACTTTTACAGAATCGCCCCTTGAAATATATGACAATTTTAAGAAAAGTTGGAATCGAATTTTTTGAAAAAATTAAAATTTTTTCAAAAAATTCAGTTCCAACCCTAATATTTTTAAAACCTTTATGCGAAGCCACAAACACGCTATATTTTTCGAACCCGTGCGTCGAGATGTATATTTCAAAATTTTTTGGGAATTTTTGTTCAACTTTTCCAAAGACAAATTTTTTCAGTACCTCTTCTTTGGAAAATTTTGACCAATTTTCGACCATTTTCGAAACGTAACCAAAGCCATATCCTTGTACATTTTGATCTTTAGAATCTACTTCCGGTCTTATTTTTTTCGATAACTCTTATCATTTTTCCAGATTCATTCAGAAAAATATGAGAATTTTTGAATTTCTTCAAAAAATTCCATTTCAAGAAGAATATTTCTACAACATGCTATATTTTTAGAATTAGCACGTCAACATCTATATTTCAGAATTTTTTATGAATTTTTTGGAGACTGTTTCAAAAGCAAAATTTTTCAATATCTTAGGAAAATTTCGGCCCATTATCCACCATTTTCGAAAATTAACTCAGTACATTTTGTTGTACTTTTTGACCTCCAGAAGCTACTTGTGACTTCATTTCTTCGATAACTCTTACCATTTTTCCGGAATCGTCGATTAAAGTATGACAATTTTTGGATTTTTTTCAAAAAAATCGATTTTAAACTGAATACAAATTTTTAAAATCTTGCCCCGGTACCAAAAACACGCTATATTTTTGGAATAAGGTTGCCGAAATGTCTATAGCAGAATTTTTTTGGAATTTTTTCGCAACTTTTCAAAAACAAAATTTTTCAACACCATTTTCGAAAACGAACCAAAGACATTTTCTTGTGGATTTTGACCATTAGAATTCACTTCCGGCGTCATTTTTTCCATAACTCTCATCATTTTTCCAGACTCCGAAGCCACAAAGACGCCATATTTTCAAAATCGGCATGTCGAAATCAATAGTTCAGAATTTTTTGGGAATTTTTTTGGCAACTTTTCAAAAAAAAATTCAATAGCTTCCCCAAGACATTTTCTTGTAGATTTCGACCTTAAACAGTTACTTTCGACTTCATTTTTTCGATAATTTCTATCATTTTTCTAGAATCTCCAAATGACATATGACAATTTTTGTATTTTTTCAAAAAAATCGATTTTAACTGAAATATGTATAAAATCTTTACCCGAAACCGCCAACAAGCTATATTTTCAGAATCAGCACGTCTAAATCTAAATCCCATAATTTTTCGGGAAGTTTTGGCAACTTTTTCAATAGCAAAATTTTGGTTAATTTTTAACCATTTTCGAAAATTAATCAAAGACAATTTCTTGTAGATTATGATCTTTGAATTTACTTTCGGCCTCATTCGATCGATTTTAAACTGAATACAAATTTTTAAAATCTTGCCCCGGTATCAAAAATACGTTACATTTTTGGAATAAGCTTGTCGAAATCTATATTGCTGAATTTTTTGGGAATTTTTTCGCAACTTTTCAAAAGCAAAATTTTTCAACACCTCCCTAAAAAATTTTGGCCAATTTTCGCCCAGTTTCGAAAATTAATCAAAGACATTTTCTTGTTGATTTTGACCTTTACAATTTACTTCCGGCCTCATTGTTTCGATAACTCTTACCATTTTTCCAGATTCATCCAGAGAAATACGACAGTTTTTGTATTAAAAAAAAAAATCGATTTTAAGCGAAATATTTCTAATACCTTTACGCGAAGCCACAAACACGCTATATTTTTAGAATCCGCGTGTCGAAATCTATAGTCAAGAATTTTTTGGGAATTTTGTGGCAACTTTTCAAAAAAAAATTTTTTTCAATACCTTCTCGGAAAATTTTGATCAATTTTCGACCATTTTCGAAACGTAACCAAAGCCATTTGCTTGTAGAATTCGACCTCAAAAAGTTACTTTGGGCTTCATTTCTTCGATAATTTCTATCATTTTTCCAGAATCCTAAATTGAAATATGACAATTTTTGGATTTATCAAAAACTTCGATTTCACTTGAAATATTTATAAAACCTTTACCCGAAACCATCAACACGCTATATTTTCAGAATCAGCACGTCTTAACCTAAATCCCATAAGTTTTTGGTAATTTTTTGACAACTTTTTCAAAAACAAAGTTTTTCGATAGTTTCTCCTTGGACAATTTTCAACACATTTCGAATTTAACCAAAGACATTTTCTTCACAAATGTGCCGCCTTTCGTAAATGTGTTATATACTACTGTGTCTTTATCAGGAAACGATCTACATGTTAACAAAAACTTATGCTTGATTACTTTTCCAAGTACATCTTTTTTTAAAGTCTCAAGTGCCTATTATGTTTCAAGGATGTTTTTGTAACCGTGTCACGTCAATTTGATCAAACTTGGTTCAAATGTGAACACCAATCTAAGTAAAGAATTTAACGAGCATTATATCTATATATATACATAATGACATAAAAATCGTACAATTGCGATAAGAAACCTTGTGATACGTTGTTGAAAGTACCAAAAAAATAAAAACATGTCAGTGAGTTTATCACTAAGCACCACTTCTGCAAAACACACTTAAGCCGCTTATTATGCACTTGAAAAAAAAATCAAAACAACATATATTGATATATTTTAACACTAGATACTAACAATTAATTTGCCGCAACCTTGATAATGAACCCGAATCGGCAGCCTCGCGCTAGTATAAAAAATGAAGCGCTTAGGTGGGATAACATATAAGTTATTGTCGTTGTTGATGTTGTATGGTTCACACCACTTAAAAAAAACCGGTTGTTATAGTTGTCTTAGGTATTGCGAAGTTACTTAAATAATCCGCTTACATTCCTCTAAACGCCAGTACGCTTTCTCGCTTCACTTGCTCCACACTTGCAGTGCGTCGTTTTTCTACAGTCGTAGGTGTGGTACTAATTCTTTAATTTCCAGAACCACGATGTTGAGGCTTCTAATCAGTACCGTCCTCCTCGCCTCTGCCTACGCCGCAGTAAGTACCTTCGCGTTTTTCCACACCCATTATCACCCATCACTCTTTACAAGGTTGAGCAAGCCGTGGTGGTCCTAAAAACCGACACCATCGACGGCCGGGTCACCTTTACCAGCACCGCCGACGGCATCAAAGTCGAAGGTACCATCAACGGTCTTCCCGCGGGAAAGCACGGCTTCCACATCCACGAAAAGGGCGACCTCGACAACGCTTGTGCAGCGGCTGGGGGACATTTCAATCCGACCAAAGTATTACAGCGCGGATTTGTACATGATTGTGTAATTGACATGATTACATTAATTTGCAGAAAGATCATGGTGCTCCGGCCGACGAAAATCGTCACGTTGGGGATCTGGGGAACATCGTTGCCGACGATAAGAGTGTCGCAACGGTCGATATCCTTGACAAAGTGATTGCTTTGGATGGCGATAATTGCATTATCGGGCGTGCCCTGGTTATCCACGCTGGTGAAGACGATTTGGGGCTAGGAGGTTTCGACGACTCGAAGACCACGGGACATGCGGGGGCTAGACTCGTCTGCGGGGTTGTCGGAATTGCGTAAATAGATTTTTTAACGCTTTTGTGTTTTCACATTAATAATAAGTAGCAGCTTTTTTACTGAAATTTGTACAATAATATTGTCAGTACTTCGATTGCTTTGATTAAACTGAAGCAAGCCTTGTTGTTTTTTTTTCTTCGAGAGTGGGGGTTGTAATGTTGGTGAAGGTTTTCGCACTTCGCGTCTGTGTTTGTACAGGTGGCCGTAATTATAAAGTGGCTATAAAAGCAATAATTATTGTGTAATGATTATTGGCTGTACCATTTTTGCTTGGGACACCTGTACTTAGAACACCAAGTTCCAAGTTATGAGACAAAGTCGAACTGACTAATAAGTCGTTAAGAGTTTTAAAAAAGAAACACTATGAATCCTATTCAGAACATCAACTTACATACGTTGTTGTTTTTTGTCATGATTTTGTTTTTTTTTGGTACTTCTTTAGTACTTCTCAATCAAAAGTTAAAAAAAAATAAGAAATTAAAAAATCCAAAATCGCAAATTGAAAAAAACCCTGAACAATTCTAAGCAAAACCAAATGTTTACAAACACTCCAAAATCCAAAAAGTCGAAAAATAAAAGTCTATAAAAAATTGCAGCAACTCAATTTTTTTTTATTATTAGGTATCCGTTTTCCAACACACGATGTCCTTAAGAAACAAGAAGCTAAAATTAAACGGGTAGTTAAAATTTGAGAATTTTTGGATTTGTGAATTTTTTGGGTTTATGGACTATTATGAATTTTTGAAATTTAGTTTTCGCAAATTATTCTCTCTAGTTTTCGAGATTACCTAAGTTTTTATGAAATGTTGGTGTTACTGAAATAAAAAAAAAACTTATTTAGAAAGGTCCAGGAATTTTGTCGAATAATTGTTATTTAAATGTTAAAAAGTTCTGAACTTGTGGTTTATGAACCCGTGTTAAATTTCGATCCCAGCGATCGAGATTTTTGGAAAAAAGTCAGAATTATAGATGTAACAATTTTTCGATTTCTCAATTTTTCGAATTTTCAATTTTCCGATTTTTCAACTTTCGCTTTATCAATTTTTCGAGATTTCAGTTTTGGGATTTTTTCAGTGTTTTAATTCCTCAATTTTTCGATTTTGCAATTTCTCGATTTTTCAATTTTTCGCTTTCCCATTTTCTAATTTCTCGATTCTTCAAATTATCGATTTCTCAATTAATTTTTTCGATTTTTAAATTTTTAGATTTTCATCAGTTTATGACGCTTTAAATTTTGGATTTTTCGATTCCTCAATTTCTTGATACCCGGTTGTTTAATTTTTCGACTTTTCGATTTCTGGATTTTTCGACGTTTTAATTTTTTCATTTTTCCAGTTTTCGAATGTTTTGATTTTTCGATTCTTCGATTTCTCGATTTTTGAGTTATGAATTCGATTTTGTAATTTTTCGCTTTGCCCATTTTCAATTTTTCGATTCTTTAATTTCTCGATTCATTTTTTCGTTTTTTAAATTTTAAAATTTTTTCATTTTTCGGTTTATGACGTTTTTAAATTTTCGATTTTCGAGTTCTTAATTTCTTGATATGTAATCGATTTTTGATTTTTCGACTTTCCGATTTTTCGATTTTTGAGTTATGAATTCGATTTTGTAAATTTTCGCTGTCCCCATTTTCAATTTTTCGATTCTCTAATTTCTCGATTCTTCAAATTTTCGATTTCTCAATTAATTTTTTCGTTTTTCAAATTTTTTAATTTTTTTATTTTTCACTTCACGATATTTTCAAATTTTCCCATTTTCGGTTCTTCCATTTTTTGATAATGGATTTTTGATTTTTCGACTTTCGATGTCTCGATTTTTCGAAGTTTTGCCTTTTTGATTTTTCCATTTCTCGATTTCTCGACTTTTCAATGTTTTGATTTTTCGACTTTTCGATTTTCGATTTTTGAGTTATGAATTCGATTTTGTAAATTTTCGCTTTCCTCATTTTCAATTTTTCGATTCTCTAATTTTTCGATTCTTCAAATTTTCGATTTCTCAATTAATTTTTCCGTTTTTCAAATTTTTTTATTTTTCACTTTACGATATTTTTAAATTTTCCCATTTTCGGTTTCTTCATTTTTCGACTTTTCGATGTCTCGATTTTTCGACGTTTTGACATTTTGATTTTTCTATTTCCCGATTTCTCGACTTTCAATGTTTTGATTTTTCGACTTTTCGATTTCTCGATTTTTTAGGTATGAATTCGATTTTTTAATTTTTCACTTTCTTCAGTTTCAATTTTTCGATTTTCTAATTTCCAGATTCTTCACATTTTCGATTTTTAGATTTCTCAATTTCTTGATAACCCATTTTTTGATTATTCGACTTTTCGATTCTAGATTTTCGACGTTTCGATATTTTGATTTTCCCATTTCTCGATTTTCCTACTTTTCAATGTTTTGATTTTTTGACATCTCGATTTTTCAATTTTTCAGATTTTGAATTCTCCAAGTTTTCGGTTTTTCAGGTTTCGATTCTTCAAATGTTTAGATTTCTAACATTTCGACCTCGATTTTTAAGTTATGAATTCGATTTTTTAATTTTTTTGATTTCTCAATTTTTTAATGTTTCAGTTTTGTGATCTTTATGTTTTTCGATTACTCAGTTTATCGATTTTTTGTTTTCTCGATTTCTATTTTTTGAATTTTCCAGTTTTTCGAATTTTAGATTTTAGATTTTTCAATTTTTTGATTTTTTAAATTCCCTTTTTTCAACTTTTGGATTCTTTAGGTTTTAGATGTTTTAATTTTTTAATTTTTAAAATTGTAGATTTTTCAATTTCTCGATTTTGCAATTCTTCAGTACTTCTATTTTTAAATTTCACATTTTTCTCGATCTCTTGATTTTTCGACTTTTTGGTTTTAAATTTTTCGGTTTATCACTTTATCGATTTTAAAAATTTTTGATTTTTCGATTTCTTAATTTTTTGATTTTGCAGTTTTTAGATATTTCCATTTTTCAGGTTATGACGTTTTTAAATTTTCGATTTTTCGATTTCTCATTTTCTTGTTGATCGATATTTTGATTTTTCGAATTTTCGATTTCTCGATTTTTCAATTTTTCAGATTTTCAATTCTCTAAATTTTCGGTTTTTCAGGTTTTGATTCTTCAGTTCTCCGATTTTTTTAAATTTCGAATATTTCGACGTCGACTTTTCATCTTCGATTTTTTAATTTTTCGATTCTTTAATTTTACAATTTTTTTATATTTCAGTTTGCGTTTTTTCGAAATTTCGATTCGTCAGTTAATCGATTTTTCTATTTTTATTTTTTCGATGTTTCAATTTTTCAATTTTTAAAATTTTAGAATTTTCGATTTCTCGATTTTGCTCTTCTTCAGTATTTCAATTCAAATCTTCAATATTTCAATTTCAATTTTTAAATCTCAAACATGTTTAAATATTACATTTTTCTCAATTTTTGGATTTTTCGATTTCTTGATTTAAAATCAATTCATCGATTTGAAATATTTCTCAATTTTTTGATTTTTGAGTTTTTAAATTTTTCCATTTTTCAGTTCATGATGTTTATAAATTCTCGATTTTTCCATTTCTCAATTTCTTGATAAGCGATTTTTTGATTTTTCGACTTTTCGATTTCTCGATTTCGACGTTTTGACTTTTTGGTTTTTCCATTCCTCGATTTATTTTCAATGTTTTGATTGTCCGACATCTCCAATTTTTGAATTTTTCAGAATTTCATAAAGTTTTCGGTTTTTCAGGTTTTGATTTTTCATCTTCGATTTTTCGACTTTTCGAGTTCGCGATTTTTCAGTTATGAATTTGATTTTTTAATTTCTCGGTTTCTCAATTTTTCAATTTTCTGATATTTCAGTTTTGGATTTTTTCAATATTCCGATTCCACAGTTAATCGATTTTCGATTTTTTCATTTCTTGATTTCTACTTTTTCGATTCTTCAATTTTTAGACTTTTAAATGTTAGATTTTTAAATTTTTTGATTTTTTCAATTTCTCGACTTTTCAACGTTTTGGATTCTTCAGTTTTTCGTTTTAATTTTTAAAACTTTTAGATTTTTCGACATCCCGATTTTGCAATTTTTCAATACTTCTATTTTTAAATTAATTTTTTTTTTAAATTTACATTTTTCTCGATCTTTTGATTTTTCGACTGTTTGATTTTAAATTTTTCGGCTTATCAATTTATCGATTTTAAAAATTTTTGATTTTTCGATTTCTCAATTTTTTGATTTTTCATTTCAATGTTTCAGTTCTGTGATCTTTCAATTTCTCAATTCTTCCAGTTTTCAATTTTTTGATATTTCAGTTTTGGGTTTTTCCCCATTTCGATTCCACACTTTATCGATTTTTCAATTTTTGAATTTTTCTACCTTTAAGTTTAAAATTTTTCGATTTTCCTAAGTATTTCTATTTTCATATTTCAAAAAATTTAAAATTTTACATTTGTCTCGATCTTTTGAGTTTCGACTTCTTCAATTTTTCAAAGATTTCTCAATTTATATAAATTTCGATCTTTCGATTTTCCGACTGCTAATCTCAATCAAAAATTTGAAAAAATTGGACACTATTAAAAAAACAAAAATTTAAAAATCGCAGAAATTCAAAGAAATTTAAGTATTTAAAATTTACGGAAATTTCACTATTTGAAAAAGTAAAAAGTTTCAGGAATTTAATAGTAGTAATAGTAATAGTAATTTATTCATGACAAGAATTACATAGTAATTTTTCATACGTCAAATATAAGTAGGTACACTAGCGAAAATTAAATTTTACAAATTCTTCTAATGAATAAAAAACATTCTCAATCAATAAGGTTTTTACACAAAATCTAAAACTGGTGTAACTTTAATAAAAATAATAACAATAATCAATAAAAAAATCTTCGAGTAAAACAGAATACAGCCGAAATTTTCACAAAATTTGCTAAAATTTTACAAATTCAGAATTCAAAAACTTTCAAAATTTCGGAAAATTCCGAAAATTCAGAAGTTTAATCCTAAAACTCTGAAAATTAAACATTTTGAATTTCTGGAATTCACGAAAACCCCTTAATTAAAAATCGAAAAAATTCAAAGAAGTCCCGGAAATTTCAAAGACTAAAAAACTAAAAAAACGAAATACACAAAAATTATAATAATTATTATGTTGTTATGTTAATGTTTTATTTTATTTTTCAGGAATGAAACAACTTCAACATCAGCCTCACGTGATCTGACCAGCACCGGCTTCTACATTTGGTTATTAGCTGTGATGTACTTTGTTAACCACATATAGTTTATTTTTATACAATGTGTGTTTTTTTCAACTGTTATTTATGTACCTGTAACTAAATAACTGTACTGGATTAAATAATAAACATCGTTAACACAATTCTTGTTTTTTTTTTAATTCCCCGAGCCCCTTTTAAAACAGTAACCTGTAAAATAAAAATAGTGGCCATATTTTTTAATTTGAACACAGCAGTTCAAAGTTGGTGGAGGCGCCGGGTATCACACCACAAAAATGTTTCTTGTCACCAAAGTACCACTAGAAATTCCAACTACTCCCCACTGGTCGTATTTTAGATCACACTCGTAAAAGACAATCCTTGACCCTTCTAGCCAGAAATACTATGCGTTAACATTTCAAAGAATGGAATTTCTTCGAACCACTTTGTTTACAAAATCAATATTTCAAGCGTTCGGGTTAAAATTGGACGTAAAAGAGAACAATGAAAGCGAATTACACAAAAACTCTTATTTGCTTTCCTTATTATTGATCCTCAACATTAAGAATATTAATGAAATTCTCGTGTGATTGTAGCTGCTCCAGTTTTGTGGTTGTGACCCAATTTGGTAGTTAATTTTGAAGTGTGACTCATACAGAGAAAAATATGTAGTCAGAAATTCAAAAATTAGGAAATTCGTGTAGATATTTTTGTAATTAAATTATTCTAGCGTGTCTAGCGCAACTATGTATCTCTGTCTCGAATTTCTTGGTAAAATCAATAGAGGTTAATACACTACCTAACACTCATTTGTTGCTTTGACCTTAGCTAGCGTTAGATTATATGATAGTCATGTTTTGCTAAACACGCAACCAAAATTACTTGCATGGGTTTTTTAGCATTTGAAACTAAAAATAGCAGTGACAAATCAAGCTTTCAACTTCACACTGCAGATTTTTTTGGTTTTGATTTACGCCCTTTTTGTAAATAAATTCTAAATATTTTGTAAGCTCGTTAAAAACGAACACTTCATAACTTATAAATTAATTTTAGAAAAAAAAGTAGTAAAATAGTGTTTAGCGGCACGAAGCGCTCAATCCAGAAACCAAATTACACCTAGAATGAATAAAATTCCAGATAAGATCAAATTTTTTCGCCAAATGAAAAAGGTCAGTTCGGAACACAAAGCCTCTTTAAGAGCGCCGTTGCCATAACGCGGACCACTCAAAACAAAAGCTGACCAATGAGAGGCGCCAATTTAATTCTAAAAGTTAATGAAGCGTGCCAGAGATTGTTAAATCCAGATCCAGAAAGTTGACGAAACTATCAACAATGCAGTCCTGCGAACTCAGTGTGATAAAGTACATTTTATTTACTTTCAATTTAGTTTTTGCGGTAGGTTTTAAGTTCGGTTTTCGAAACACTTTCAAAATGAAAATTTCCAGATATCGGGTATCGGTTTAATAGTCGCTGGTGCTTTAGTACTCTCCGATGTGGGCGAATTCGACCATTTCATGGAAGGACGAATCCTGGCACCCCCAGTCGTCCTGATCGTCGCAGGATGCATAGTTTTCCTGGTGGCTTCTCTCGGCTGCTATGGAGCCATCCGAGAATCCTACTACATGCTAATGGCCGTAAGACCAAAACCCAAAACTAGTAAATCCAATTTTGAAAATTTTTTTCAGTTCGCGCTATGTTTGCTGATAATCTTGATCATCGAACTCGCCGTCGGAATCGCCGCCGCCGTCTACAAAAACGACTTTCAAATGACCATGAAGGACCTAATGAAGAGCTCGATGCAGCGATTCGAAAATAGCAAAGGAGACAGGACGGCCTGGAACAACATCCAGACCAAGGTACCCGAAAAATCGCCAAATCTCACCAAAAACCATTTTTCTCTTTAGTTGAAGTGCTGCGGCGTCGAAGGACCCACCGACTGGCCCGAAAACACCCGTCCGGTGACCTGCTGCCACGCCACGCGAGAGGGCTCGCCGCCCCCGGAAGCCCACCACTGCCGGTCGGCGGCGCCCCAAGACGGGATTTTGTACATGGACGGGTGCTTCTATCAGCTCCAGGAAAAGGCAGAGTCGGCTTCGAAGATTTTAATCGGCGTGGGGATCGGGATTGCGTTTGTTGAAGTACGTAGTTTTAATTTCACTTTAGTAGTGAACGTGTCATCAAACTGAGCTTTTATCCTTCTAGGTTATTGGTATCATTCTCGCTTGTTGGCTGGCATCTGCGATTAAAAACAAAGGCGACTAAGAATGAGGAATAGGATGATCTAAGTCTTCTACTGTACATAGAAAAAATCACAGCAATGAATAACGTTCGATAGTATAGTAGAGTTCAAGAATTTTGGACAAAATCAACGAGATGTTAAGTATTTAAGTAGTTTTTACATGTTTACGAAAGTTACGAAAGAGATGTATGTAAAATTTGCATTTTCTGTCTTGTTGCATTGAATATTTTTTGCACTACCTTGTATGTATGTATGTATGTATAAAAGTATCTTTAAAATGGTAGTAAATAGTGTTTTATAATAACTGTGTTGTAGTAGGTTTGTATTCTAAATTTTTAGCTCCATTGTGAAAAAAAATTTTTGAAGAAATTTTTTTATATTTAAGGTTGGCATCTTCAGTGTCAATTGCTTATATATTGTACAAGATATAATATAAAAATTCTGGATTCTCAAAACGCCGCTTGTTATTGTTTAATACTAGTGAAATAATAAACTGACAGTATTTTATTTGTGGTTTTATTACATTGCAAAACCCATTTTCCTCTGACCAAAAATTAAAAATTGACTGATTTGTAGAAGTTCTAAGATGCATAGAAACGATATAAGATTTAATTCTTATTTCAGAAGAAAAAATGAGACAACGGGTGGGTGGGCGGGGATAAGTTTAACTTTCCCTACAGAGTCTTTTATAAACAAGTAATCGCATTCCAACTTCCGCTCAACCACCCCATCGTCATTCTAGTAAATACTCTTAGATTGTTCAGTCTTATCTTAGCAAGTACTAGCCCCGCCCACCCGCCCTTTATCTTCTTAGAAGGTACGTGATTTGCCAAAATCAGTCTTATCTTAGCAAGTATTAGGCCCGCCCACCCGCTCTTTATTTTCTTAGAAGGTACGTGATTTGCCAAAATCCGTCTTATCTTAACAGGTACTAGCCCCACCCACCCGCCCTGTTCTCGTTTTAACGATTTTATTTCTTTTCAGTATAAGATCTACCTTTCATTCAGACTATGTAAAATGAATAATTGAAATCAAGGAGAGGTGGGTGGGCGGGGTTAATTATATCATATTAGTAATTCTGTCTACTGGGAATGGAAACTAATAGCTAATCGTAATTTTTTTGTTATACTATTTGCTATAAGATTTATTTCTCCTCATTTCAGAAGAAAAATTGTAAAACGGGTGGGTGGGCGGGGCTAAATTTAACTTTTACTACAGAGTTTTTATAAGCAAGTAATATCAGTAATATAGCATTCGAACTTCCGCATCAGAGCCAATAAAATGAGTAATCAAAGTGGAATATGGGTGGGTGGGCGGGGCCAGTTTTGACTTTGCTTTAAATCTTAAATTCTACAGCTTGTGAAAATAGAATTTAATTCCAATTTTACAGTAAATAAAATAAATCAGTGAAATTCAGACTATGTAAAATTAATTAATGAAATGAAGGAGGGGTGGGTGGACGGGTTATTTATATCGTATTAATAATTCTTTCGACTGCGAATGGGAACTAACAGCTAATAGTAATTTCTTTTGTTATACTATTTGCTATAAGATGTATTTCGTATTTCAAAAGAACAAAATGAGGAAACGGGTGGGTGGGCTTGGCTAAGTTTAACTTTTCCTACAGAAACTTATATAAGGAAATGACAACATTCCAACTTGCGTCTCAAAGCCAAGAAAATGAGTAATCAAAGTGGACTAGGGGTGGGTGGGTGGGGCCACTTTTGAATTTGCTTTGAATCTTAAATCCTATCGCTTGTCAAAATTAAATTCACTTCCCATTTTACAGTAGATAATATAAGTCAGTGAAATGGAAAGAGGAGTTGGGCGGGGCTGAGTTTACCTTTTTTTCTACCGAGTCTTATCAGCAAGCATTAGCCCCGCCCACCCACCCCTTCTTCATTCTAGTAAATACCCTTAACGTTGTTCAGTCTTATCTTAGCATATACTAACCCCGCCCACCCACCCTTGATTTTCTTGGAAGGTACATCATTTACCAAAATGAGTCTTATTTTAGCAAGTACTATCCCCGCCCACCCGCCCTTTATTTTCTTAGACGCTATGTTATTTGCCAAAATCAGTCTTAGCAGATACTATACTACTAAGAAAATAAAGGGTGGGTGGGCGGGGTTAGTATCTGCTAAAATAAGACTGATTTTGGCAAATGATATACCCTTTAAGAAAAGAGAGGGTGGGTGGGCGGGGCTAGTACCTGTCAAGATAAGATTGATTTTGCGAAATGATATACCCTCTACCTTTTATTTTCTTAGAGGGTATGTCATTTGCTAAAATCAGTCTTATCTTAGCAGGTACTAGCCCCGCCCATCCGCGCTGTTCACATTTTAACGATTTTATTTCTTTTCAGTATAATATATACCTTTCATTCTGACTGTAAAATTAATCACTGAAATAAAGGAGGGATGGGTGGGCGGAGTTAAATATATCGTATTAATAATTCTGTCGACTGGGAATGGGAACTAACAGATAATCGTAATTTTTTTTGTTATACTATTTGCTATAAGATTTATTTTCCATTTCAAAAGAAAAAAATGAGAAAATGGGTGGGGCTAAGTTTAACTTTTTTTACAAAACCTTTATAAGGAAGTGACAGAATTCCAACTTCTGTTTCAAAGCCAACAACATGAGTAATCCAAGTGGACTAAGGGTGGGTGGGCGGGGCCACTTTTGACTTTGCTTTGAATCTTAAATTCTATCGTTTGTCAAAATAAAATTCAATTCCCACTTTACAGTAAATAAAATAAGTCAGTGAAATGGAAAGAAGAAGTGGGCGGGGCTGAGCTTATCTTTTTTTCCACCGAGTCTTAAAAGCAAGCATTAGCCCCGCCTACCCACTCCTTCTTCATTCTAGTAAATACCCTTAATATTGTTCAGTGTTATCTTAGCAATTACTAACCCCGCCCACCCGCCCTTGATTTTCTTGGAAGGTACATCATTTGCCAAAATCAGTCTTATCTTAGCAAGTACTAGCCCCGCCCACCCGCCCTTGATTTTCTTGGAAGGTACATCATTTGCCAAAATCAGTCTTATCTTAGCAGGTACTAGCCCCGCCCACTCGCGCTGTTCTCATTCTAACAGCTTAATTTCTTTTTAGTATAAGAGCCACCTTTCATTCGGACTTTAAATTAATGACTGAAATAAAGGAGGGGTGGGTGGGCGGAGTTAAATATATCATATTAGTAATTCTGTCGACTGGGATGGGAACTAATAGCTAATCATAATTTCTTTTGTTATATTATTTGCTATAAAATTTATTTCTCATTTCAGTAGATAAAATGAGAAAAAGGGTGGGTGGGCGGGGCTTAGTATAACTTTTACTACAGTCTTTTATAAGCAAGTAACGGCCTTGTAACTTCTGTCTTAGAACCAATAAAATGAGTAATCAAAGTGGAATAGGGGTGGGTGGGCGGGGCCACTTTTGACTTTGCTTTGAATCTTAATTTCTATCGTTTGTCAAAATAAAATTCAGTTCCCATTTTACAGCAAATAAAATAAGTCAGTGAAATGGAAAGAGGAGTTGGGCGGGGCTGAGTTTACTTTTTTTCTACAGTCTTATAAGTAAGTATTAGCCCCGCCCACCCACCCCTTCTTCATTATAGTAAATACTCTTAACATTGTTCAGTTTTATCTTAGCAAATACTAGCCCCGCCCACCCATCCTTCCTCTATTTTCTGAATTTTTGGAATTATTGGATGCATTCGTTGCATGCCACAATGGTTTGGAATTTTCGTAATTTTAAATAAATTACTATTAAAATTGCTCAGTGTTTCACCCAATTGTTTAAAATTTTGATATAGTATCTACTATTTATAGATGACAATAGAATTTTATTTTGACATTTGATAAAACCTAAATAAAAAAAAAAAATTAAAGTAGCTCCGCCCACCCACCCCTTTTCCGTTTGGATCACTATTTTCTTGATTCTCTTGACATTTTCGGATTTTAAACAAGCCTATTTACACAAAACAATAAACAAATGAAATTAAATTATTTTTAAAATGTAAATATGTAGCTATCGATTCAGAAAATAGGATTTTAGAATGAACTGTTGACCCTTACTCAGGTGTCATTAACACTTTCACTTTGCTTGTGTGTTTATTTCTTAGACGCCAATTTCACAAAGAGTTTTCTTTAGTCGCCAACTTTGTTGATCGTTTTATAGTGGATTTTCTCTCCTCCACCCAGGTTTTTATTTCAATCAATAATCGCAGTGGTTAATGGTATTTTTCTTTCCGCTTTATGTCGTGAATGTTTGGTATAAATAACCTCGGCCAAAATAGGTCTTAAGGTGAATGTACTGAACCTGGACGTGTAACATCGGGTAATCAATTTTTAATCACGAAAAAAGGCTCTAAAGGGCGGCTTATCATCCGTACCGAAATAGCGACTACTAAAAACGCTACGTCAACATGATCATACGTATTACGTTTATGATTTATTGTAAGGCTTGTGTGAATAATAAATTCGATTATGATTGATTTTTATGACTTTATAAAAATATGGTTCCTCTTTTGTAATTTTGTTTGACATTGTGGTGAAGCTTCTATTAATCTAATTAGAACATTAAAAATGTAGGGTGGAGTTTGCTCATTAGTCATTATAAGGCGTAAGCCGAGACGTGCTATCGTACGAGTAAAATTTAGTAAAACATATTTTCTGTTTAATTATTAAATTAATCTTGACTCACTCCTTGTCTATTCATATCATCATATTTCACAACTAATTTAATTAATTAAAAAAAAAAAAAAAAACGCGTGCGACATTGCGCAACCTAAACCAAGAATACTACTCACGTCTGCAGATGTCCGAAGACAATTCCATTAAAACCGGCCTACAAAACTGCGCACAAAAACTTATTGTCCACTTACTTTTATTTAGATGTCCTACATAACGTTTTGTTTGAATTGTGCCTACATTTTAATTTAGGGGCTGCTATAGAAACTGTATGTTGTGAACGCCAATAGAAAATTCCATAAGCACATTATTATCACTTAGCTTTACGCAGAAAATGTGGATTTATTGCGACTAAAGCTAGTTTCGTATCTCATGCTTGTAGTGTAACAGTTGTGTTGATAAAGCATGGAGTCCTGCGAAATGAGTTTAATAAAATACGTGCTGTTCATTTTTAATTTAATTTTTGCGGTAAGTTTATTTTTCGATAGGTTTAAGTAAACATGACCAAGTTTAGTTATTGACCTAACCCTTTATTGATCAATTGGTGAGGGTTGGGCTCGTTGGGGGTAGTTAACACCATATTTATGTTTTCTAATTTTTTATACTTAGTCAAAAGACATTTTTTTACATTTCAGATTTCCGGGATCGCTATTATTGTAGCCGGCGCTCTTGTGTTATCCGACGTGGGAAATTTTAAGCATTTTGTGGAAAACGAGCTTTTGGCCCCCCCTGTAGTGTTGATCGTAGTAGGCGCAATTATATTTATAGTTGCGTTTTTGGGGTGTTTTGGGGCCATTCGAGAATCATATAAGTTACTAATTGGGGTGAGTGTTCACCACGCAATACATTATACAAATTACCGACCTACTTACCGAAATTACTTAATTGTTTTAGTTCGCCGTGTGCCTTCTAATAATTTTTATCATCGAGTTGACCGTTGGAATTGTAGCCGCTGTGTACAAAAACGACTTCGAAGACGCTTTAAAGAAAGCTTTACTCAAGTCCATAGAACAATATTCGCAGAACAACGCAGAGAAAACCGCGTGGGACAATGCCCAATCCAAGGTAGCAAAAATTATACTCCTATTTTTCAACTAAATATATAATTTTTGAAAATTTTTGTAAAGCTCATGTGCTGCGGCGTGGAAAGCCCTAATGACTGGCAGGGTCAACAACTACCCTATTCGTGTTGTCACCTTAACGAAGAGCTGCATAACGAGCTCAGCGAGTATTGTCTCGGGGTGGCAAAAGGAAAATATCTTTATCAAAACGGCTGCTACGAACAACTCAAAATGAAGATTAACGATAACACGAAAATTCTTATTGGTGTGGGTATTGGGATTGCGTTTGTTGAGGTACCTGCAATTTTTTTGCTGTGTTCAGTTTTAAGTTATTTTTTTAGGTTGCTGGGATTGTTTTGGCGTGTTGGTTGGCTTATACGGTGAAGAAGGAAAATGAGTCGAAATGAGACACCATTATTGATGTGTATAATCAAAGGAAGCGCATATTTGTATACTGATCTTGATATATGCACATCGTGATCTACCCGCGAGTTTTAGCTACCTCGACGAATTATGTGTGACTATAGTTTGGACGAATTATTAATTTCAATGAAGTAATGAAATTTATTTGATACACTTTTATATACGCTACTAAGGTGTGGTTTGGATGTTCTAGTATCAATAGAAGTAGCAGTAACAGTAATAACAGTAGCGTAGTGAGTGACAACTAGAGCACTATTTATAAAATTTATTTTTTGTGTCTGTATTACTGTGGTGTCATAGTGTAGGTTTGTGTGTTATCGTTAAGACTAAGAGGAATATTTACAGTGTAAATAAATACAATAGTAGTTGAATAAATTAACGCCAAAACTTTGAAAAATCTTTAAGCGTTTAAGTTTTAGGTCATTTGGGAAGATCAGATTTATCTTAGCAGATATTAACACCTCCCACCCGTCTTCTATTTTCTTAGAGGGATCTCATTTGCCAAAATCAGTATTATTTCAGCAGGTACTAGCCCTGTAACAAAATAAAAAGCGGGCGGGTGGGGATAGTACTTGACAAAATAAGACTGATTTTGGCAAACCGCATACCCTTGAAAAAAAAAAGGGTGGGTGGGAGGGGCCAATATTTGCAAAGATAAGACTGATTTTGCCAAATGATATACCTTTCATTTTTTTAGAGACTAGGTCATTTGTCAATATCAGTCTTATTTTAGCAGATCCTAATCCCGCCCACCCACCCACTTTTTTCTGAGAGGTAATCTCATTTGCCAAAGGCAGCCTTATCTTAGCAGGTACTAGCCCCGCCCACCCACCCTCTTTTTTTGAGAGGTAATCTCATTTGCGAAGGTCAGTTTTATCTTAGCAGATACTAACCCCTCCCATCCGCCTTCTTAGAGGGATCTCATTTACCAAAATCAGTCTTATCTTAGCAGGTATTAGCCCTGTAACAAAATAAAGGGCGGACCGGTGGGGATAGTACTTGACAAAATAAGACTGATTTTGGCAAATCGCATACCCTTGAAAAAAAAGGGTGGGTGGGCGGGGCCAATTCTTGCCAAGATAAGACTGATTTTGCCAAATGATATGCTATCTACTTTTCATTTTTTTAGAGAGTAGGTTATTTGCCAATATCAGTCTTATCTTAACAGATCCTAACCCCGCCCACCCACCCTCTTTTTTCTTAGAGATAAACTCATTTCCCAAAATCAGTCTTATTTTAGCAGATATTGGCCCTGTAACGAAATAAAGGGTGGGCATAGTACTTGACAAAATAAGACTGATTTTGGCAAATAACATACTATTGAAATAAATAATGGGTGGGTGGGCGGGGCCAATGCTTGCTAAGATATGACTGATTTTGCAAAAATACCCTCTACTTTTCACTTTTTTAGAAAGTAGGTTATTTGCCAATATCAGTCTTATCTTAGCAGATCCTAACCCCGCCCACCCACCCTCTTTTTTTGAGAGGTAATCTCATTTGCCAAAATCAGCCTTATCTTAGCAAGTACTAGCCCCGCCCACCCACCCTCGTTTTTCTTAGACGATATGTCATTTGCGAAGATCAGTTTTGTCTCAGCAGATACTAACCCCTCCCATCCGCTTTCTATTTTTTTGGAGGGATCTCATTTGCCAAAATCAGTCTTATTTTAGCATGTACTAGCTCTGTAACAAAATCAAGGGCGGGCGGGTGGGGATAGTACTTGACAAAATAAGACTGATTTTGGCAAATCGCATACCCTTGAAAAAGAAAAGGGTGGGAGGGCGGGGCCAATACTTGCCAAGATAAGACTGATTTTGCCAAATGATATACCCTCTACCTTTAATTTTTTTTAGAAAGTAGGTTATTTGTCAATATCTCTTATTTTAGCAGATACTGGCCCCGCCCACCCACCCTCTTTTTTCTTAGAGATAATCTCATTTCCCAAAATCAGTCTTATTTTAGCAGATATTGGCCCTGTAACAAAATAAATGGTGGGCATAGTACTTGACAAAATAAGAGAATTTGGGCAAATAACATACTCTTGAAATAAATAATGGGCGGGTGGGCGGGGCCAATGCTTGCCAAGATAAGACTGATTTTGCAAAAAAAAATATACCCTCTACTTTTCATTTTTTTTAGAGAGTAGGTTATTTGCCAATATCAGTCTTATCTTAGCAGATCCTAACCCCGAGGTTGAGAGGTAATCTCATTTGCCAAAATCAGCCTTATCTTAGCAGGTACTAGCCCCTCTCGTTTTTCTTAGACGATATTTCATTTGTGAAGATCAGTTTTGTCTCAGCAGATATTAACCCCTCCTCTTTTGTTTTCTTAAAGGATATGTCATTTGCCAAAATCAGGAATATCTTAGCAGGTACCTAGCCCTGTAACAAAAAAGGGCGGGCGGGTGGGGATAGTACTTGGCAAAATAAGACAGATTTTGGCAAATCGCATACCCTTGAAAAAAAAAGGGTGGGTGGGTGGGGCCAATGCTTGCCAAGATGAGACTGATTTTGCCAAATGATATATCCTCTACCTTTCATTTTTTTAGAGAGTAGCTTATTTGCAAATATCAGTCTTCTCTTATCAGATCCTAACCCCGCCCACCCACCCTCTTTTTTTGAGAGGTAATCTCATTTGCCAAAATCAGCCTTATCTTAGCAAGTACTAGCCCCGCCCACCCACCCTCGTTTTTCTTAGACGATATGTCATTTGCGAAGGACAGTTTTGTCTCAGCAGATACTAACCCCTCCCATCCGTTTTCTATTTTTTTGGAGGGATCTCATTTGCCAAAATCAGTCTTATTTTAGCATGTACTAGCTCTGTAACAAAATCAAGGGCGGGCGGGTGGGGATAGTACTTGACAAAATAAGACTGATTTTGGCAAATCGCATACCCTTGAAAAAGAAAAGGGTGGGAGGGCGGGGCCAATACTTGCCAAGATAAGACTGATTTTGCCAAATGATATACCCTCTACCTTTAATTTTTTTTAGAAAGTAGGTTATTTGTCAATATCAGTCTTATCTTAGCAGATCCTAACCTCGCCCACCCACCCTCTTTTTTCTTAGAGATAATCTCATTTGCCAAAATCAGCCTTATCTTAGCAAGTACTAGCCCTGTAACAAAATAAAGGGTGGGCGGGTGGGGATAGTACTTGACAAAATAAAACTGATTTTGGCAAATCGCATACCCTTGAAAAAGAAAAGGGTGGGTGGGCGGGGCCAATACTTGCCGAGATAAGACTGATTTTGCCAAATGATATACCCTCTACCCTTAATTTTTTTAGAGAGTAGGTCATTTGCCAATATCAGTCTTATCTTAACAGATACTAACCCCGCCCACCCACCCTCTCTTTTCTTAGAAGGTATGTGATTTGCCAAAATCAGTTTTATCTTAGCAAATACTGATGACTAACTTTTACACAAAAAGATCAAAATTTGGAAACATTGCGAGCTTACTTGTATGCACAAGGCAGGAATTTTGAACATCTTCTCTAGTGTTTAGTTGGTTATGTTTTAATGGATTTTTCTTTTGTTGGTTATGTTTTTGTTTATTATTTATAAATGTTTTATTTTTTTTTTTGGTTTATTTATTATTGCAAAATAAGAGCTTGTTTTATTAATAATAATCTACAACGATTAATGACTACTGGTTGTTGGTCCTAAAAAAAATAAAAGGTGGATTTCAGTCACCATCGTTACTAAGAAATCAGTAAATATTCACGCATTAAGTGCCTGCAGTGTTGTCAATTTTACTTTTATAAACTTAGATTTTTTTCGTCATCTACATGATAACGAATTAAAATTAATAATAATACTGAGAGTAAATCCGCGGTTTTCCGGACACCCGTTATAGTTCTATATTTGTATCATATTATTTTTAGTGTCAAAAATTATTAGACGATTTTTTCTTTGACACTAAATTCCCGAGTCTCTAACGCTGTGTAAGACCTCAACGAACATCTCGTTAGAATTTCGTTGGCCTTGACTACATTAGCATCAATTTATTCGTAGTTCAGTCGTCAACGTGACCGAAAATGTTGTGGTTCAAACTTTTTTGCCTCGTGGGAACTCTTGTTAGTTTGAGTGATAGTTACAAAATTTTAACGATTTATCACATTCCCACCGGGAGCCACTACATTCTAGCTTCCAGACTGGTCAAAGAAATAGCCAAAAAGGGTCATGAAGTTACTTTTATCACGCCCTACCCTAGCAAAACGCCGGTCAAGAACGTAAAAGAAATTCCTTTAGAGGGTCTACAAACTCTTTTCCAAAGTACGTAAACGTGTATTTATTTATTGGATTGTAACTAAAGCAAACTCAGTAAGAATGTGATACTTTTGCACACGACGCGTTGTTTATATTTGGAAGCTAAAGGATGAAGTTTGTGGCACGAGCCGGCCGCGAGTGCCGCAAACTATAATTACTAATGACGTGTTTTTTCAGCTGCAACGACTTCGATGTTCACACACGAAGACACCACACCAATCCAGAAAGCTCTTTTCGTCAACGAAATCCAGTACAACTTCTGTAAATACTTTCTCCCGCACGAAAAAATCCAAAACTTAATAAAATCGCACGAAAAGTTCGACGCAGTCATACTATACTACTATTTGAATGACGCAATGCTAGCACTAGCACACCATTTCAAAGCACCCGTGATTCTATTCGCTTCAATGCCGCTGTACGTTTCTGAAAGTTTTCTTCTATCGCAACCGTCACCATCTTCGTACGTTCCAAACATTTTAACACAATACGCAGGTCATATGACGTTTTGGCAGCGCTTAAAAAATAGTTTTTTTGACGGGTTCATGATACTATATTATTGGTGGTTTATGTTACCCAAACACCAGAAACTAGTGAATGCTTATATACCCGGTAAACCCGACTTGTACAAGCTTGTTAACAACGAAAGCTTGTTGTTGATAAATTCGCACGCTAGTACCACCGAAGCGCTACCTGTAGTACCCAACACTGTCGAAATCGGTGGTTTTCATATCGAAGACCCCAAACCACTACCCAAAGATTTGCAGAAGTTCCTCGACGATTCTGCGAATGGAGTGGTACTGTTTTCGATGGGTTCCATTGCAAGAAGTGCCCACTTCCCCGAAGACAAAAGAAAAGTTTTTATTGAGACTTTCTCCAAGTTGAAGGTGAATGTTTTGTGGAAGTTTGAAGAGAACGTCAGTGGTTTACCAAAGAATGTTAAAATAATGGAGTGGATTCCGGTTTCAGATGTACTAGGTTGGTTCGTCGCAGTTTCGGTACTACCCCTAAACGAGTCATTGTAGCCCACCCGAACGTGAAAGCATTTATTACTCACGGAGGTCTACTAAGTACCACGGAAGGTGTACACCATGGGGTACCACTAATCGGGATTCCCATTTTCGGCGACCAGAAAATGAACATGGCTGTTGCTTCTTTCTACGAGTATGCTATTCAAGTTCCTTATACCGAGCTAACTGAAGAAAACTTATCCCGAGCTATAGATCAAGCCCTCAATAATCCAAAGTGAGTACCTTCATAATGGACACTCACTCGACATACATTTTTTTTTCAAGGTACAAACAAAATATACAAAAACGGTCAAAAATTCTACGAGATAGACCTCTAAAACCTGCTGATAATGCACTATATTGGATTGAGTACGTAATTCGGCATCAGGGGGCGCCACATCTTAGACATCCCGGAGCTGATTTGAACTGGTTCCAGAGGAATCTTCTTGATGTAGCTGCTTTTGTAGCTATTGTGACATTTTTGCCCATTTTAGTACTAATAGTACTTTTCAAAAAGTGCGCAAAATCTACAGTTAAACGCAAGAAGGACTGAAGAAATATTGTCCATAGACATTTTATTTGCTCAGTTGCTCTTTGATCGTGACAGTGCATTGTGAAATTAGTTTTGAATTAGACACGCCTGATCAGAATATAGTGGTTCAGTTTCTTATTGTTTTTTTAAGCGATTTTCAGCCTTGGCAACACTAAAAGATTCCAGTTGTTTTTCATACACCTTCGAAAAGTGACCCGCCCACCCGCCCTATCTCAATTGTGACGATTTTTTTATTCGTTGCGAACCAAGAGGGCGAAGTTTAACTGCAACATATTTATTTTTTTACAAGAAATAAAAACATGTTTTTGAGTATCGTGTCTTTCAAAGAATACTGTGTATATTAAGAAAAACAAGCAAATATAAACCCCGCCCACCCACCCCATCTCAATTGTGGTGATTTTATTATTCTTAGAAACTTAAAACATGTTTAAAGTGGTACATTTTTGTAAATAAATTTGGATTTTGCCAGTAAATTCCGCTCATTTGGCTTTCGACGATAATAAAATATCACAATTGAAATAGGGTGGGTGGGCGGGGTTTATATTACTCAAAAATATGTTTTTAATTTCTTGTAGAGAAATGAGGATTTTGCAGTTAAGCTCCGCCCCCTTTGCTCACGACACATAAAAAAAATCATCCCAATTGAGACAGGGTGGGTGGGCGGGGCACCATTTTGTCCCTCCAAGTGTGTTCATAAAAATGATAAAAGTAAAAATTGTGTCCTATGCACCTAGAGCGTCTGATGACCTCCAATTTCGCTGCTCTATATATAACTTATGTCGGTACCAAGACTACCAATTCAGTGTCAGTTGATCTTTGACCGTGACGGTGATACGTTTGGTTTATTAGTTTTAGATCCGCAACAATGTTGTGGTTTAACCTCCTACTGCTTTTTGCAGTCGTGATTACTAGTGGCGATAGTTACAAAATCTTAACCCTTTTTCACATACCTATCAAAAGTCATCACATTCTAGCCTCAAAACTTGTCAAGGAATTGGCGAGAAAAGGGCACGAAGTTACGTTCGTCACACCGTTTCCAGAAAAAACACAGGAAAAGAATGTTAAAGAGATTTCTTTGGAGGGATTACAAGCCCTTTTTCCACGTAAGTGAGGTTATTTAGTTTAGTAAACACACTGATTGACGTTATGCAACCAGTGATACTAAGCCGTGTGTTTCAGCCGGCACCACCTGCACATCCGAGTTCAAAAAAGAAGACACGTCCCTGCTCCAGAAAGCTATTTTCGTAGACAAAATCCAGTACAACTTTACTAAGTACTTACTCTCGCATGACAAGATTCACGATTTGTTAAAAACCCAAGAACACTATGACGCTGTTTTATTGTATTATTACTTAAACGACGCAATGCTTGCACTAGCACACCATTTCAAAGCTCCAGTGGTACTATTTGCTTCCATGCCCCTGTATGTTTCCGAAAGTTTTCTTCTTTCGCACCCATCACCATCTTCCTACGTCCCAAACATCTTAACCGACTTTACGGGACGGATGACCTTTTACCAACGACTTCAAAACAGCTTCCTGGACGCGTTCATGATTCTGTACTACCACTGGTTCATGTTACCTCAACACCAAGCGCTTGTTGATGCCTACGTACCCGGAAAGCCCGATTTGTACCAAATTTTGAACAACGAGAGTTTAGTACTGCTTAATTCGCACGTTAGTACGAACGAAGCGGTACCAGTGGTACCCAACGCTGTAGAAATAGGGGGTTTTCATATCGAAGAACCCAAACCGCTACCCAAAGACTTGCAGAAGTTCCTCGACGACTCTAAGAACGGAGTCGTGCTTTTTTCAATGGGCTCGATTGTGCGAAGCGCGCATTTCCCGAAGGATAAGAGGAAAATACTGATTGATGTTTTCTCAAAGCTGAAAATGAATGTGTTGTGGAAATTCGAACAAGAGCTACCGGATTTGCCGCCCAATGTCAAGATTATGGAGTGGATACCGATTTCGGATGTTTTAGGTGCGTCTGCAAACTATTTTATTATTATTATTATTATAAGTGATAAATTTTAGCCCATCCCAATGTAAAAGTTTTTATTACTCACGGTGGTTTGCTGAGTACCATGGAAGGTGTGTACCACGCGGTACCATTGGTTGGAATCCCCATTTTCGCCGACCAGAAAATGAACATGGCTTTGGCTGCGTCGTACGAATACGCTGTTGAAGTTTCGTACCAGGAATTAACAGAAGAAAAATTGTCGCAAGCGGTGGATGAAGTTTTAAAGAATCCGAAATACAAAGAAAATATACAAAGACGTTCAAAAATATTACGGGACAGACCTCTTAAACCCATTGATAGTGCTCTTTATTGGATTGAGTATGTGATTCGTCACCAGGGAGCCCCACATCTTAGGTATCCTGGAGCGGATCTGAACTGGCTTCAGAGGAATTTGATTGATGTAGCGGCTTTAGTTGCTGTCGTGGTACTAGTGCCAGTATTAGCACTAGTTGTTGTTTTGAAGCGACTTACGAAAAACAAAATCAAGCATAAAAAAGAATAACAGAAATTGTAAATAAGGCTGTTTGTAATTTGTTGTGATATTAAAGTTTTATGATAGTGGTTGTTTTTTTATTAAATTTAAAACCGTTTGACAGATGACTCGACTAATTGGACTTTAAACATCGCAAATTATCTTTACGTAATGTAGTACTATTATCTCTGTGTACGACACGCGGATCAGATTTAGTTGTTCCCCGACCTTGGCTAGTGGTGTTTGATTACTCGGTCTAGTCAGAATGCTGTGGTTCAATGTCCTACTTTTTCTTGGAATTGGCATTAGTGTGTGTGCTAGTTACAAAATTTTGAGTATTTCCCACATATCGACAAAAAGTCACTATATATTAGCCTCACGACTTGTGGAAGAAATAGCAAAAAAAGGTCATGAAGTTACTTTTATTACACCATATCCAAGAAAAACTCCATTTAAAAACGTAAAAGAAATTGGTTTAGAGGGGTTACAAGATCTTTTTCCAGGTGAGTACCGGTAATTATGGGTTTTCAAAATTCGTTGTGCAATTTTACCATCTATTAAAGTTGAGTTATTAAAATCAATACCCTTATCATTTTTATACAGTGACTATGCATACTGCAACCTAAGAACAGTTTAAATCGATTGTGTACTTAACAATCACTCTTTTATGACATGTAAATTGATTGATAATATACTTTAACAGAACCGAGGGCGAGTGTTATTTGACTTATGACTTTGCGAATATTAAAAATATTGCGTCAACAAAACACTGCACGAGTGTATATTTAATGTTTCAGAGGGAAGTATGTTTGCCCACGAAGGCGCAAACCCGCTCCAGAAATCTTTCTTCGTAAACCAGATGCAATACAGATTTTCCGAATATTTACTCTCTCACGAAAAAATCCAAAATTTAATGAAATCGCAACAACATTTCGACGCAGTCATACTATACTACTATTTGAATGACGCAATGCTAGCACTAGCACACCATTTCAAAGCACCCGTGATTTTATTTGCCTCAATGCCGCTATACGCTTCAGAGAATTTTCTCCTGTCATTTCCAACCCAGTCCGCCTACGTTCCAAACATTGTAACAGAACACACAGGTCACATGGACTTTTGGCAACGTTTGAAAAACACCTTTTACGATCACACCATGGCATTGTACTATCAACACTTCATGCTACCTAAACATGCGAAACTCGTGGATACTTACATTCCCGGGAAGCCTGACCTCTACAAAATGCTTAATAACGAAAGTCTGGTCCTTATTAACTCTCATGTTAGTACCACCGAACCGATACCTCACGTACCCAACGCTATAGAAATTGGCGGTTTTCACATAGACGAGCCTAAACCGTTACCGAAAGAGTTGAAGCAATATCTAGACGATTCTGTTAACGGAGTTATTCTTTTCTCGATGGGTTCGATCGTCAGAAGCGCCCACTTCCCAGAAGAAAAACGAAAAGCGCTTCTTGGCAGCTTTTCTAAACTCAAACTCAACGTTTTGTGGAAATTCGAAGAAAACCTTACTGGGTTACCACCGAATGTGAAAATAATGAAGTGGATTCCCGTTTCGGACGTCTTGGGTTTGTTTCTCTCACTGTTTGTGTTTTTTGTGTTAAATGAAAATTTTAGCCCATCCCAATGTAAAAGTTTTCATTACTCACGGCGGTTTGCTGAGTACCATGGAAGGTGTGTACCACGCGGTACCATTGGTTGGAATTCCCGTTTTCGGTGACCAGAAAATGAACATGGCGTTGGCTAGGTCGTACGAATATGCAGTTGAAGTTCGTTATACCGACTTAACGGAGGAAACATTATCAAGAGCTATAGATCAAGCTTTAAATAACCCAAAGTGAGTTAGTTCGTCAGCGTTGTTTTATAAGTAACTTGGGTTTTCAGGTATAAAAGAAATATAGAAAAACGGTCGAAAATAATGAGAGATAGGACGCTAAAACCTGCTGATAATGCACTGTATTGGATTGAATATGTAATTCGGCATCAGGGAGCGCCACATCTTAGGTATCCCGGAGCGGATTTGAATTGGTTCCAAAGGAATCTACTCGATGTGGTTGGTTTTGTCCTTGTTGTAACACTTTTGCCACTGGTTGCAGCTACATTTGTCATAAAACGAATTGTAAAAAAGAAGGTTAAAAGCAAAACGGAGTGAGAAACATTGTGTTTTCGTTTGAACTTTGTGATAATAAAAATGTAGATACCTAGAATTGCAGTTTTTTTATTAGTCACGCTAATACGTGGTGGGAGGTCTACATTACGTCATCTGAGCTCAGTCGGATGATAAAAATTTGGGTCTTAGCTAGTCTCCGACCGCTGCTAAGTCAACATCAAATTAGTGTTAAATTTAGAAACAATGTTGCCGCTCAATATCCTACTATTCTTCGCGACCTTCATTGGGTTTTGTAGTTGCTCCAAAATTTTATTCCTTTCGCAACTACCCACCAAAAGTCATTACATACTAGCGTCAAAACTCGTTAAAGAAATGGCGAAAAAAGGGCACGAAGTTACTTTTATCACGCCCTATGCTAGCACAACCCAAGTCAAAAATATCACTCAAATACCATTGGAAGGTTTACGGAAAATTTTTTCGCGTAAGTACTTTCGAGCTTCAGGTACTCTTGCCTTCATTTAGACTCGATGAACATTTTCAGCCGAAACAGCACGTGTGTCTATATCGACAACCGAAGATGCTACCCCAATGCAAAAAGCCAAGGAAATAAATCAGATGAACTACATGCTCAGCGAATTTTTGGTTTCTCACGACAAAGTTCAAAATTTGTTAAAATCGCAACAACATTTTGACGTTGTTATCCTTTACTACTATTTCAATGACGCATTGCTGGCACTAGCACACCATTTTAAAGCACCCGTGGTACTATTTGCTTCAATGCCGCTCTACGTTTCTGAGAGTTTTCTTCTATCAAACCCAGCGCCATCGTCGTACGTTCCAAATATAATACTCAAACATACCGGCCATATGGACCTTTGGCAACGTCTAGAAACCACTTTTTATGACGCTTGCATGATTTTATACTACCAGTGGGCCATGTTGCCCAAACACCAGAAACTTGCGGAAACTTTCATCCCCGGGAAACCCGACTTGTACAAAATTTTAAACAACGAAAGTGTAATTTTGATCAATTCGCACGTTAGTGTGAATGAGGCAGTACCTATGGTACCCAACGCTATAGAAATCGGTGGTTTTCATATAGAAGACCCAAAACCGTTACCCAATGACTTGCAAAAATTCCTTGACGATTCTCCTAACGGTGTTATAATTTTTTCCATGGGTTCGATAATCAGAAGCGTTAACTTCCCGGAAGAAAAACGCAAAGCGTGTGTTGATACTTTCGCGAAGCTCAAGCTCAACGTTTTGTGGAAATTTGAAGAAAACATCGCTGGGTTGCCGCCTAATGTTAAAATCATGGATTGGATTCCGGTTTCCGACGTTCTAGGTTTGTTTCGATTTGCTTTTTTGGTGGTGGGATCACGTTTCCTACTTTTAGTTGTTGAAAAATTTCAGCTCACCCTAATGTAAAAGCTTTTATCACTCATGGTGGTTTACTAAGTACCATGGAAGGTGTGTATCATGGCGTACCACTAGTTGGAATACCCATTACGGTTGACCAGAAAATGAACATCGCGTTGGCCGCTTCTAACGAATATGGTGTTGAAGTTTCCTATAAGGAACTAACAGAGGAGACACTGTCGCAAGCACTAGACGCAGTTTTAAATAATCCAAAGTGAGTGTATTGTCGAGATTGTTCCTAGAGATAAATTTTCGTTTTCAGATACAAACAAAATATACAAAGACGTTCAAAAATAATACGAGACAGACCTATGAAGCCTATAGATGAAGCTCTTTATTGGATTGAATACGTTATTCGTCACCAGGGAGCCCAACATCTTAGGTATCCAGGGGCCGATTTGAACTGGTTTCAGAGAAATTTGATCGATGTGGCCGCTTTCGTCGCTTTCGTCGCACTGGTGCCAATATTTGCAGCAATTTTTATTTTGAAACAACTTACGAAGAACAACATCAAGCATAAAAAAGAATGAGTAAAATTGTGAATATAGGAAAGGAAGGTTGTTTGTAATTTTCTTGTGATATTAAAGACGTATGTGATAGTAGTTGGGTTTTCATTAAAATTATCTTACAAGCATTAAAAGATGTACCAGACAGAATGATAAGCATTGTAGTTTTCCTCTCATGACTCCATAGGAAAATTTGTTAGCTGTATCTCACTTCAATTATGCAATGTCATACGATCTTTGTCGAAGATAATTGATTAAAAAAATATTATTTAGAAAAAATCGATGACTGGGTAACCAAATTTTCCGTACAGAAAAAAATATCATCACTTAAAAAATAGTGAAAGACACGAAAACATTTAATTATTATTTAATATTATAACACTACGTTTATCATAAAGCTTATCTTTATTTATAACGCACAGATCAGACTCAGTTGTTTTCCGACCATTGAGAGTATTACTGTTGCCTCAGTAGTGCTTGATTTTCTTATCTAGTCAGAATGCTGTGGTTCAACGTGCTACTATTTTTTGGAACTGGCCTTAGTGCGTGTGCTGGTTACAAAATTTTAAGTATTTCTCACATACCAACAAAAAGCCACCATATATTAGCTTCACGACTTGTGGAAGAAATAGCAAAAAAAGGCCATGAAGTTACTTTTGTTACGCCATACCCAAGTGAAACTCCATTTCAAAACGTAACAGAAATTGGCTTAGAAGACTTGCAAGATTTTCTACCGGGTAAACAAAGCTTTAAATTTATTAGTATTTCATTTCAATTTAGTATGGATTCTTGGTTGGTCGATTTAAATTTTTTGTACTTAAAATTTTCTGCAAAATTATTGTTTTTGGTTATGTATCTATTGTAGCTGAGTTGTTAAAATCAATTTCCTTATCTGTATTACATAATGATTATACATACTGCTATCTAGAGGAAGCATAGGTCAAATCGTGGGCTCAGAAATTATTTGATGAAATGGAAACTGATTAGTAAAACATAACTTAAAAAAACCAGCATTGTTTAACTAGTAATTTTGCGAATATCAAAAATATTTTTTGAACATCATTCGTTCCAGAAACAAATCTTTACAATGACAACAATTTACAAGCCTATATTTAATATTTCAGGCGGAGATATGTTTAACCAAGAAGATACAACATCTTGGGAGAAAGCTATGTTCGTGACCCATCGGCGGTACACATTTTGTGAACATTTACTCTCTCTCGAAAAAATCCAAAATTTAATGAAATCGCAACAACATTTTGACGCAGTCATACTATACTACTATTTGAATGACGCAATGCTAGCACTAGCACACCATTTCAAAGCACCCGTGATTTTATTTGCCTCAATGCCGCTATACGCTTCAGAGAATTTTCTCCTGTCATTTCCAACCCAGTCTGCCTACGTTCCAAACATTGTAACAGAACACACAGGTCACATGGACTTTTGGCAGCGTTTGAAAAACACCTTTTACGATCACGCCATGGCATTGTACTATCAACACTTCATGTTACCTAAACATGCGAAACTCGTGGATACTTACATTCCCGGGAAGCCTGACCTCTACAAAATGCTTAATAACGAAAGTCTGGTCCTCATTAACTCTCATGTTAGTACCACCGAACCGATACCTCACGTACCCAACGCTATAGAAATTGGCGGTTTTCACATAGACGAGCCTAAACCGTTACCGAAAGATTTGAAACAGTATTTAGACGATTCTGTTAACGGGGTTATTCTTTTCTCGATGGGTTCGATCGTCAGAAGCGCCCATATCCCAGAAGAAAAACGAAAAGCGCTTCTTGGTAGCTTTTCTAAACTCAAACTCAACGTTTTGTGGAAATTCGAAGAAAATCTTACTGGGTTGCCACCGAATGTTAAAATAATGAAGTGGATTCCCGTTTCGGACGTTTTGGGTTTGTTTCTCCCACTGTTTGGGTTTTTTGTGTTGAATGAAAATTTTAGCCCATCCCAATGTAAAAGTTTTCATCACTCACGGCGGATTGCTGAGTACCATGGAAGGTGTGTACCACGCGGTACCATTGGTTGGAATTCCCGTTTTCGGTGACCAGAAAATGAACATGGCGTTGGCTAAGTCGTACGAATATGCAGTTGAAGTTCGTTATACCGACTTAACGGAGGAAACATTATCAAGAGCTATAGATCAAGCTTTAAATAACCCAAAGTGAGTTAGTTCGTCAGCGTTATCTTATAAGTAACTTGCGTTTTCAGGTATAAAAGAAATATAGAAAAACGGTCGAAAATAATGAGAGATAGGACGCTAAAACCTGCTGATAATGCACTGTATTGGATTGAATATGTAATTCGACATCAGGGAGCGCCACATCTTAGGTATCCCGGAGCGGATTTGAATTGGTTCCAAAGGAATCTACTCGATGTGGTTGGTTTTGTCCTTGTTGTAACACTTTTGCCACTGGTTGCAGCTACTCTTGTCATAAAACGAATTGTAAAAAAGAAGATTAAAAGCAAGATGGAGTGAGAAACATTGTTTTCGTTTGAACTTTGTGATAATAAAAATGTAGATACCTAGAATTGCAGTTTTTTATTAGTCACGCTAATACGTAGTGGGAGGTCTACTTTAACATTACGTCATCTGAGCTCAGTTGGATGCTAAAAATTTGGGTCTTAGTTAGTCTCCGACCGCTGCTAAGTCAACATCAAATTAGTGTTAAATTTAGAAACAATGTTGGCGCTCAATATCCTACTATTCTTCGCGACCTTCATTGGGTTTTGTAGTTGCTCCAAAATTTTATTCCTTTCGCAACTACCCACCAAAAGTCATTACATACTAGCGTCAAAACTAGTTAAAGAAATGGCGAAAAAAGGGCACGAAGTTACTTTTATCACGCCCTATGCCAGCACAACTCAAGTCAAAAATATCAATCAAATTCCGTTGGAAGGTTTACAGAAAATTTTTTCGCGTAAGTACTTTAGAGCTTCAGGTATTCTTGCCTTCATTTAGACTCGATCAACATTTTCAGCCGAAACAGCACGTGTGTCTATATCTACAACAGAAGACGGTACCCCAATGCAAAAGGCCATGGAAATAAACCAAATGAACTACAAGCTCAGCGAATTTCTCCTCTCTCACGACAAAGTTCAAAATTTGTTAAAATCGCAACAACCCTTTGACGTTGTTATCCTTTACTACTATTTCAATGACGCATTGCTGGCACTAGCACACCATTTTAAAGTACCCGTGGTACTATTTGCTTCAATGCCGCTCTACGTTTCTGAGAGTTTTCTTCTATCACACCCAGCGCCATCGTCGTACGTTCCAAATATAATACTCAAACATACCGGCCATATGGACTTTTGGCAACGTCTAGAAACCAGTTTTTATGACGCTTGCATGATTTTGTACTACCAGTGGGCCATGTTGCCCAAACACCAGAAACTTGCGGAAAATTTAATCCCCGGAAAACCCGACTTGTACAAAATTTTAAACAACGAAAGTTTAATATTGATCAATTCGCACGTTAGTGTGAATGAGGCAGTACCTATGGTACCCAACGCTATAGAAATCGGCGGTTTTCATATAGAAGACCCAAAACCGTTACCCAATGACTTGCAGAAATTCCTCGACGATTCTCCTAACGGTGTTATAATTTTTTCCATGGGTTCGATAATCAGAAGCGTTAACTTCCCGGAAGAAAAGCGCAAAGCGTGTGTTAATACCTTCGCGAAACTGAAGCTCAACGTTTTGTGGAAATTTGAAGAAAACATCGCTGGGTTGCCGCCTAATGTTAAAATCATGGATTGGATTCCCGTTTCTGATGTTCTAGGTTTGTTTCGACTTGCTTTTTTGGTGGTGGGATCACGTTTCCTACTTTTAGTTGTTCAAAAATTTCAGCTCACCCTAATGTAAAAGCTTTTATCACTCATGGTGGTTTACTAAGTACCATGGAAGGTGTGTACCATGGCGTACCACTAGTTGGAATACCCATTACAGTTGATCAGAAAATGAACATCGCGCTGGCCGCTTCTAACGAATATGGAATAGAAGTTTTCTATAAGGAACTAACAGAGCAGACACTGTCGCAAGCGTTAGACGAAGTTTTAAATAATCCAAAGTGAGTGTATCGTTGAGATTGCTCCTAGAGGTAAATTTTTGCTTTCAGATACAAACAAAATATACAGAGACGTTCAAAAATAATACGGGACAGACCTATGAAGCCTATAGATGAAGCTCTTTATTGGATTGAATATGTTATTCGTCACCAGGGAGCCCCACATCTTAGATATCCCGGGATCAATTTGAACTGGTTTCAGAGAAATTTGATCGATGTGGCCGCTTTCGTTGCTTTTGTCGCACTTGTGCCAATATTTGCAGCCATTCTTATTTTGAAACGACTTACGATGAACAAAATCAAACACAAAAAAGAATGAGCAAAATTGTAAATATTGGAAAGGAAGGCTGTTTGTAATTTTCTTGTGATATTAAAGATTTATATGATAGGAGTTGGGTTTTTATTAAAATTACCATATAACAATTTTTTGTAAAATGTAGAATTTACTTTTAAGCATAAAATACGTACATAATAGCTTTTTTTTTCCGACTGGGATGGAGCCATCGGAAAGTTTGTTGGCTAAATAAAGTAATGGAATGTCACATAATCTTTGACGAAATAATTTTATTAAAAAATACTCTAATATTTATAAAAAATAGATGACACTGCCAATTATCTCCCTGTGCAAAAAAATATCATGACATAGAAAAATTGTGAATTTTGTGAAAAAAAAGTATCTCAAGAGGAGCGAATTTTCCGTTTGTGTGTATTTAAATTAGTCATTAAAATATTGCGACAGTACACTGTATCATAAAACTTATCTCTGTTTACAATGCACAGTTTGGACTCACTTCTTGTCCGACCGTTGACAGTATTAACATTGCCTCAGTTGTGCTTGATTTCCCCATCTAGTCAGAATGCTGTGGTTCAACGTCCTACTATTTTTTGGAACTGGCATTAGTGCTTGTGTTAGTTACAAAATTTTAAGTCTTACTCACATTCCAACAAGAAGTCATCATATATTAGCCTCCCGACTCGTGGAAGAATTATTAAAAAAAGGCCATGAAGTTACCTTTGTTACAATATACCCAAGTGAAACTCCACTTCAAAACGTAACAGAAATTAGCTTGGAGGGCTTGCAAGATTTTCTACCGGGTAAATAAAGCTTTAACTTTGATGTTAATTGTACTTAACTTTTTAAACCAATTTCTAGTGAGCAAACCTAGGTTGAATTGTAAGATATACTTTAACAAAACTTATGACGACTATCATTTGACTTCTGACCTTACGAATATAATTTTTTTTTTGGACTCCGATAGTTCCGAAAACAATGAAAACAATCTACAAATTTGTGTTTAATATTTCAGGTGAAGATATGTTTAAACAAGAAGATACAACATCTTGGGAGAAAGCTATGTTCGTGACCCATCGACGGTACAGATTTTGTGAACATTTACTCTCTCTCGACAAAATCCAAAATTTAATGAAATCGCAACAACATTTCGACGCAGTCATACTATACTACTATTTGAATGACGCAATGCTAGCACTAGCACACTATTTCAAAGCACCCGTGATTTTATTTGCCTCAATGCCGCTATACGCTTCAGAGAATTTTCTCCTGTCATTTCCAACCCAGTCCGCCTACGTTCCAAACATTGTAACAGAACACACAGGTCACATGGACTTTTGGCAGCGTTTGAAAAACACCTTTTACGATCACGCCATGGCATTGTACTATCAACACTTCATGTTACCTAAACATGCGAAACTCGTGGATACTTACATCCCCGGGAAGCCTGACCTGTACAAAATGCTTAATAACGAAAGTCTGGTCCTTATTAACTCTCATGTTAGTACCACCGAACCGATACCTCACGTACCCAACGCTATAGAAATTGGCGGGTTTCACATAGACGAGCCTAAACCGTTATCTAAAGATTTGAAGCAATATTTAGACGATTCTGTTAATGGGGTTATTCTTTTCTCGATGGGTTCGATCGTCAGAAGCGCCCACTTCCCAGAAGAAAAACGAAAAGCGCTTCTTGGTAGCTTTTCTAAACTCAAACTAAACGTTTTGTGGAAATTCGAAGAAAACCTTACTGGGTTGCCACCGAATGTTAAAATAATGAAGTGGATTCCCGTTTCGGACGTTTTGGGTTTGTTTCTCCCACTGTTTGGGTTTTTTTTGTTAAATGAAAATTTTAGCCCATCCCAATGTAAAAGTTTTCATTACTCACGCCGGCTTGCTGAGTACCATGGAAGGTGTGTACCACGCGGTACCATTGGTTGGAATTCCCATTTTCGGTGACCAGAAAATGAACATGGCGTTGGCTAGGTCGTACGAATATGCAGTTGAAGTTCGTTATACCGACTTAACAGAGGAAACATTATCAAGAGCTATAGATCAAGCTTTAAATAACCCAAAGTGAGTTAGTTCGTCTGCGTTGTTTTATAAGTAACTTGGGTTTTCAGGTATAAAAGAAATATAGAAAAACGGTCGAAAATAATGAGAGATAGGACGCTAAAACCTGCTGATAATGCACTATATTGGATTGAATATGTAGTTCGGCATCAGGGAGCGCCACATCTTAGGTATCCCGGAGCGGATTTGAATTGGTTTCAAAGGAATCTACTCGACGTGGTTGGTTTTGTCCTCGTTGTAACACTTGTGCCACTGGTTGCAGCAACACTTGTCATAAAACGAATTCTCAAAAAGAAGGTCAAAAGCAAGACGGAGTGAGAAACATTGTGTTTTCGTTTGAGCATTGTGATAATAAAAATGTAGATACCTAGAATTGCAGTTTTTTTATTGGTCACGCAAATACGTGGTGGGAGGTCTACTTTAACATTACGTCATCTGAGCTCAGTCGGATAATAAAAACAGAGAACATAGAGAAGCGACATAGAGGCTGATTTTGCAAAACCACCCTTATTGCCATTGGAGTCCCCAACCGCCAAAGGCAAGCGCCAAATTTAAATAGTCGATGCCAATAAAAACCGTGCTTCACTATAATTGTAATTCGTGTGACCTGAATGATAGTGAAGGAAACAGTAAGCAGCTTGTAATATTCTGGTTAATCTAGTGTCAATTTGTCGAAAATAAAACGCGTCGTTAAAAATATTATGACATTTCTTCTAGTTACTTTTATTCCTAGTTAGAAGCAAACACTGCTACCAACATAAATTGAGAAGTCCTCAACCGTCATTTAATTTAAACTATGGCGCTTCTCTGTGTTCTCTGATAAAAATTTGGGTCTTAGTTAGTCTCCGACCGCTGCTAAGTCAACATCAAATTAGTGTTAAATTTAGAAACAATGTTGCCGCTTAATATCGTACTATTCTTCGTGACCTTCATTGGGTTTTGTAGTTGCTCCAAAATTTTATTCCTTTCGCAACTACCCACCAAAAGTCATTACATACTAGCGTCAAAACTAGTTAAAGAAATGGCGAAAAAAGGGCACGAAGTTACTTTTATCACGCCCTATGCTAGCACAAGTCAAGTCAAAAATATCAATCAAATTCCATTGGAAGGTTTACAGAAAATTTTTTCGCGTAAGTACTCTGGAGCTTTAAGTACTCTTGCCTTTATTTAGACTCGATGTACATTTTCAGCCGAAACAGCACGTGTGTCTATATCTACAACAGAGGACGGTACCCCAATGCAAAAAGCCATGGAAATAAACCAAATGAACTACATGCTCACCGAATGTCTCCTTTCTCACAAGGAAGTTCAAAATTTGTTAAAATCGCAACAACACTTTGACGTTGTTATCCTTTACTACTATTTCAATGACGCATTGCTGGCACTAGCACACCATTTTAAAGCACCCGTGGTACTATTTGCTTCAACGCCGCTCTACGTTTCTGAGAGTTTTCTTCTCTCACACCCAGCGCCATCGTCGTACGTTCCAAATATAGTACTCAAACATACCGGCCATATGGACTTTTGGCAACGTCTAGAAACCAGTTTTTATGACACTTGCATGATTTTGTACTACCAGTGGGCCATGTTGCCCAAACACCAGAAACTTGCGGAAAATTTCATCCCCGGAAAACCCGACTTGTACAAAATTTTAAACAACGAAAGTGTAATATTGATCAATTCGCACGTTAGTGTCAATGAGGCAGTACCTATGGTACCCAACGCTATCGAAATCGGCGGTTTTCATATAGAAGACCCAAAACCGTTACCCAATGACTTGCAAAAATTCCTCGACGATTCTCTTAACGGTGTTATAATTTTTTCCATGGGTTCGATAATCAGAAGTGTTAACTTCCCGGAAGAAAAACGCAAAGCGTGTGTTGATACCTTCGCGAAACTGAAGCTCAACGTTTTGTGGAAATTTGAAGAAAACATCGCTGGGTTGCCGCCTAATGTTAAAATCATGGATTGGATTCCCGTTTCCGATGTTCTAGGTTTGTTTCGACTTGCTTTTTTGGTGGTGGGATCACGTTTCCTACTTTTAGTTGTTGAAAAATTTCAGCTCACCCGAATGTAAAAGCTTTTATTACTCATGGTGGTTTACTAAGTACCATGGAAGGTGTGTACCATGGCGTACCACTAGTTGGAATACCCATTACAGTTGATCAGAAAATGAACATCGCGCTGGCCGCTTCTAACGAATATGGAATAGAAGTTTTCTATAAGGAACTAACAGAGCAGACACTGTCGCAAGCGTTAGACGAAGTTTTAAATAATCCAAAGTGAGTGTATCGTTGAGATTGCTCCTAGAGGTAAATTTTTGCTTTCAGATACAAACAAAATATACAGAGACGTTCAAAAATAATACAGGACAGACCTATGAAGCCTATAGATGAAGCTCTTTATTGGATTGAATATGTTATTCGTCACCAGGGAGCTCCACATCTTAGATATCCCGGGATCAATTTGAACTGGTTTCAGAGAAATTTGATCGATGTGGCCGCTTTCGTTGCTTTTGTCGCACTGGTGCCAATATTTGCAGCCATTCTTATTTTGAAACGACTTACGATGAACAAAATCAAACACAAAAAAGAATGAGCAAAATTGTAAATATAGGAAAGGAAGGCTGTTTGTAATTTTCTTGTGATATTAAAGATTTATATGATAGGAGTTGGGTTTTTATTAAAATTACTATATAACAACTTTTTGTAAAATGTAGAATTTACTTTTAAGCATAAAATACGTACATTATAGCTTTTTTTCTTCCGACTGGGATGGAGCCATCGGAAAGTTTGTTGGCTAAATAAAGTAATGGAATGTCACATAATCTTTGACGAAATAACTTGATTAAAAAATATTCTAATATTTATAAAAAATAGATGACACTGCCAATTATCTCTCTGTGCAAAAAAAATATCATGACATAGAAAAATTGTGAATTTTGTGAAAAAAAACTATCTCAAGAGGAGCGAATTTTCCGTCTGTGTGTATTTAAATTAGTCATTAAAATATTGCGACAGTACACTGTATCATAAAACTTATCTCTGTTTACAATGCACAGTTTGGACTCACTTGTTGTCCGACCGTTGACAGTATTAACATTGCCTCAGTTGTGCTTGATTTCCCCATCTAGTCAGAATGCTGTGGTTCAACGTCCTACTATTTTTTGGAACTGGCATTAGTGCTTGTGTTAGTTACAAAATTTTAAGTCTTACTCACATTCCAACAAGAAGTCATCATATATTAGCCTCCCGACTCGTGGAAGAATTATCAAAAAAAGGCCATGAAGTTACCTTTGTTACAATATACCCAAGTGAAACTCCACTTCAAAACGTAACAGAAATTAGCTTGGAGGGCTTGCAAGATTTTCTACCCGGTAAATAAAGCTTTAACTTTAGTTTTAAAACGTAGGATTTCAAACATCATTTTCAAATTTTCTACAAAAATCATATTTGTGGTTTAATATCAATTGTGCTTAAGTTTTTAAACCAATTGTTTGAGAGCAAACCTAGTTCAAATTGTAATATATAATTTAACAAAACCTATGACGACTATTATTTGACTTCTGACCTTATAAATAATATAAATTTTTTTTTGGACTCCGATAGTTCCGAAAACAATGAAAACAATCTACAAATTTGTGTTTAATATTTCAGGTGAAGATATGTTTAAACAAGAAGATACAACATCTTGGGAGAAAGCTATGTTCGTGACCCATCGGCGGTACAAATTTTGTGAACATTTACTCTCTCTCGAAAAAATCCAAAATTTAATGAAATCGCAACAACATTTTGACGCAGTCATACTGTACTACTATTTGAATGACGCAATGCTAGCACTAGCACACTATTTCAAAGCACCCGTGATTTTATTTGCCTCAATGCCGCTATACGCTTCAGAGAATTTTCTCCTGTCATTTCCAACCCAGTCCGCCTACGTTCCAAACATTGTTACAGAACACACAGGGCACATGGACTTTTGGCAACGTTTGAAAAACACCTTTTACGATCACGCCATGGCATTGTACTATCAACACTTCATGTTACCTAAACATGCGAAACTCGTGGATACTTACATTCCCGGGAAGCCTGACCTCTACAAAATGCTTAATAACGAAAGTCTGGTCCTAATTAACTCTCATGTTAGTACCACCGAACCGATACCTCACGTACCCAACGCTATAGAAATTGGCGGTTTTCACATAGACGAGCCTAAACCGTTACCGAAAGATTTGAAGCAATATTTAGACGATTCTGTCAACGGGGTTATTCTTTTCTCCATGGGTTCGATCGTCAGGAGCGCCCATTTCCCAGAAGAAAAACGAAAAGCTCTTCTTGGTAGCTTCTCCAAACTCAAACTAAACGTTTTGTGGAAATTCGAAGAAAACCTTACTGGGTTGCCACCGAATGTTAAAATAATGAAGTGGATTCCCGTTTCGGACGTTTTGGGTTTGTTTCACTCACTGTTTGGGTTTTTTGTGTTAAATGAAAATTTTAGCCCATCCTAATGTAAAAGTTTTCATTACTCACGGCGGCTTGCTGAGTACCATGGAAGGTGTGTACCACGCGGTACCATTGGTTGGAATTCCCGTTTTCGGTGACCAGAAAATGAACATGGCGTTGGCTAGGTCGTACGAATATGCAGTTGAAGTTCGTTATACCGACTTAACGGAGGAAACATTATCAAGAGCTATAGATCAAGCTTTAAATAACCCAAAGTGAGTTAGTTCGTCAGCGTTGTTTTATAAGTAACTTGGGTTTTCAGGTATAAAAGAAATATAGAAAAACGTTCGAAAATAATGAGAGACAGGACGTTAAAACCTGCTGATAATGCACTGTATTGGATTGAATATGTAATTCGGCATCAGGGAGCGCCACATCTTAGGTATCCCGGAGCGGATTTGAATTGGTTTCAAAGGAATCTACTCGATGTGGTTGGTTTTGTCCTCGTTGTAACACTTTTGCCACTGGTTGCAGCTACACTCGTCATAAAACGAATTGTAAAAAAGAAGATTAAAAGCAAGACGGAGTGAGAATCATTGTTTTCGTTTGAACTTTGTGATAATAAAAATGTAGATACCTAGAATTGCAGATTTTTATTAGTCACACTAATCGTAGTGCGAGATTTATTTTAAGATTACGTCGTCTGAGTTCTATTTGATGATAAAAACTTGAGAGTTAGTTTGTCTCTCATCGCTGCTAAGTCAACATTAAAATAGCGTGTTAAATGTTGCCGCACTACATCCTACTGTTTTCCGTGATTTTCACCGGATTCTCTAGTTGCTCCAAAATTTTATTCCTTTCTCAAATACCCACCAGAAGCCATTACATACTAGCGTCAAAACTGGTCAACGAAATGGCCAAAAAAGGACACGAAGTTACTTTCATCACACCCTATCCCAACACAACTCAAGTCAAAAATATCAATCAAATTCATGTCGAAGGTTTCGAGAGTTTCTATTCGCGTAAGTAGCTTGTAACTTCGGTTGACTACTCATCCACTATGAATATTTTCAGCCGAAACAGCACGCGTATCGATATCTAAAAAAGAAGACGGAAACCCAATCCAAAAAGCTATCGATATAACCCACATCCACTACCTCTTCACGGAATTTTTAATTTCACATGACAAAATCCAAAATTTACTAAAATCGCAGCAACATTTTGACGTTGTTATCCTCTACTACTATTTCAATGACGCACTGCTAGCACTAGCACACCATTTTAAAGCACCCGTGGTACTATTTGCTTCAATGCCGCTGTACGTTTCTGAGAGTTTTCTTCTATCACACCCAGCGCCATCGTCGTACGTTCCTAATATAATACTAAAACACACAGGCCATATGGACTTTTGGCAACGTCTAGAAACCAGCTTCTACGACATCTGCATGATTTTGTACTACCAGTGGACCATACTGCCTAAACAACAAAAACTTGTGGAAAATTTCATCCCCGGGAAACCCGACTTGTACAAAATTTTAAACAACGAAAGTTTAATACTGATCAATTCGCACGTTAGTGTAAATGAGGCGGTACCTATGGTACCCAACGCTATAGAAATCGGCGGTTTTCATATAGAAGACCCAAAACCGTTACCCTATGATTTGCAGAAATTCCTCGACGATTCTCCCAACGGGGTTATAATTTTTTCCATGGGTTCGATACTAAGAAGTGTTAACTTCCCGGAAGAAAAACGCAAAGCGTGTGTTGATACTTTCGCAAAGCTCAAGCTAAACGTTTTGTGGAAATTTGAAGAAAACATCGTTGAACTACCGTCCAATGTGAAAATCATGGATTGGATTCCCGTTTCCGATGTTTTAGGTTTGTTTTGGCTTAGTTTTTTGTACTTTTGTTAGTCTTGAGAAATTTCAGCTCACCCCAATGTGAAAATCTTTCTCACTCATGGCGGTTTACTAAGTACCATGGAAGCTGTATACCATGGGGTACCACTAGTAGGTATCCCGATTATGGTTGATCAGAAAATGAACATGGCGTTGGCCGTTTCCAACGAGTACGGTATTGAAGTCCCTTACAAAGAACTAACAGAAAATAGCTTGACCCAAGCACTGGATCAAGTTCTAAACAACCCAAAGTGAGTGTGTTAAATTTACTAAGTCAAGAATAAATTTGGTTTTTCAGATACAAGAAAAATATCGACAGACGTTCCAAGATAATGCGCGATCGTCCCTTGAAACCTGTAGATAGCGCTTTGTACTGGATCGAGTACGTTATTCGTCATCAGGGGGCACCTCATCTCAGATATCCAGGGGCTGATTTAAATTGGTTTCAACGGAATTTACTCGACGTGGTTGCCTTTGTGATACTTTTTTCTATATTTGGCACAATTATTATTGTACGACTAATCGTACGAAATAATGTCAAACATAAAACTGAGTGACTGATTAAAGTAAATCCAAATCTGTGATTGGTTTTGGGAATTTATTATCTTATGTGTTACGCTATTTTTATCTGGGTCGGGTCGACGATCAGTTGAAAATCGACATTATGAACGTAGTGTTACTGATTACATCATTCCTCTTTCTCCGTGCGGAATGTGCCAACATTTTAGGAATATTTCCAGCTCCTGGCCACAGCCAGTTCGTACTCAGCGATATTTTGATGACCGAACTGGCAAAAAGAGGACACCAAGTTACAGTGATTTGTCCACATGAACCTAAAAATCAACCTCCAAATTATAAAACAATTGTAACTAAAGAATTGATAAGAGATACTGCTGGTGAGGACGTTCTTAAAACCCCATTCTTAATTATTATTTTTGTACTTAGGCGATTTTAGTTTATGGAACCTCGAGTCCCAAAGTTTATTCAAGAACATCAAAGCGACGTACGTTTTCGGGAACTTCATTACAGAAAAGACGCTACAAAACAAAGAAGTGCAAGAACTGCTGCAGTCGAATGAACATTTCGACTTAGTAATAGTCGAGCATTTTTTTAATGATGCGTTGAAAGGTTTTGCTGCTCATTTTAAAGCACCTTTGGTATTGTTCAGTTCGATGGGGTCAACCGAATGGAATCGGGAGTGTATGGGGGCGCCAATGCTACCAACAATCAATGCAGTTACGTACACCCAGTATACCAACAAAATGAGATTTTTCCAAAGACTACGCAATCTATATGGGACAGTTTTTGATTATTTTTATCGACATTACGTTTTTTATCCCGAACAACGCAACTATATGGCCAAATATTTTCCATCGACGATGGATTTTGACAAGGTTTTGTACAACGCTAGTTTAATGTTACTTAACTCTCATGTGACAACGTCAGAAAACGCTCTTTTACCTTATAACATGGTCGAAATTGGAGGGTTTCACGTTGTTAGCAAACCTCTAGACAAAGAAGTGCAGGCTTTCCTAGATGGTGCCACAGACGGTGCGATTTTATTTAGCTTAGGGTCATTTCTACACAGTTCTGATTTATCTGAGGACACACGTGACGCTATATTCAGGGTTTTCGCTAAACTCAAACAAAAAGTCCTGTGGAAATTCGAAACGGACTTACCCGATAAACCCGAAAATGTATTTATATCCAAGTGGTGGAACCAAAGAGATATTTTGGCCCATCGTAATACAAAACTGTTTATTACTCACGGTGGTTTGTTAAGTACGGAGGAAGCCATCGTCAATGGGGTCCCTATGGTCGGGGTACCCATTCTGGCTGACCAGAAGATGAATATGGCTAGAGCTAAAAGCAACGGCGTTGCGTGCGTGGTATCGCTTTCGAAGTTGTCAGAAGAAACACTTTTTGAAGCAGTTAATGAAACACTAAACAATCCTAGGTGAGTAGATAAATGAATTTTATCATTATAAAATTGATTTTTTTTTTGTTTTAGTTATAGAAATAATGTTAGACGGTTGTCTAGCTTGATCAAGGACAGACCTATGCAGCCTTTAGATCTGGCAATGTACTGGATCGAGTACACAATTCGCCACAGTGGAATGACTTTCAAACCTTCCAGTTTATATCTTCATTGGTTTGAAATGTATATGGTTGATATTGTCTGCTTTGCTCTATTTAATCTTTTAATTGTTGTTTTATTTGTTATTTCTGGTCTTAAATTTGTGAAAGGGTGTATAAAGACGTGTAGAAAGAGCGACAAAAAGAAGAAACAATAAACTGACTTATAAACAATGAGACTGACATTCAATAGATAGGTAATTAAGAGTCCACACGTGATTCGAATTCACCTTCATAAAATTTATCATATCCTATTTGTTATGTAATTAGATATTTTTAAAACGTGCTTTTAATTCGAACTAGTGTTTGCCAAGATTAGATAAAAATCAAGGCGTCATGACTAGATAAGGTCGATTTTTAATGCCTCGTTTTAATTTAGTAAGTAAATATATGGTTAAGTGGAGTGTTACAGGATACACAAATTTTTTCAGTCTAGAGTGATTAATCTGGTAGGGTTATCAGCGTTATCACTATAATTTTTCTTAAAAAAAAGCTGCTGGAACTAATAGCATAATTTGCCAAACGCACAAGTTATCTAAAACCTTTTGCTATTTTAGTTGAAGTCGGTGAGTTGTGCGTCCTTGGTAGACAATCGCAAACTAACATTGAGTGAAGTTCAATCGCAGACAAGCATTATGAAAGTAGTGTTATTTATTACCTCGTTCCTCTTCTTTCGTGCGCGATGTGCCAAAATTTTGGGAGTTTTCCCAGCCCCTGGCTACAGCCAGTTCATCCTGGCCGAAGTTTTGATGACCGAACTGGCAAAAAGAGGACACCAAGTTACAGTGATCAGTCCATATCGACCCAAGGATGAGCCGCCAAATTATAAGACCATCTTAACAAACGAAGTGATTGAAGGTACCTCTGGTAAGTGAGTGAATCAAAAAAAGGGTCGTGGTCTTGACTAATTTTTACAGATGTTATTAGTTTGTGGGACCTCGAATCCCAAAATTTGTTAAAGAATATAATGGCATCGTATGATTTTGGGAATGTAATTACACAGAAGACGTTACAGAATAAAGAAGTGCAAGAACTGTTGCAGTCGAATGAACACTTCGATTTAGTGATAGTGGAGCATTTCTTCGACGACGCTTTGAAGGGTTTCGCAGCGCATTTTAAAGCACCTTTGGTGTTGTTCAGTTCGATGGGGTCAACGGAATGGAATCGGGAGTGTATGGGGGCGCCGATGCTACCAACAATCAATGCAGTTATATACACCCAGTATACTAACAGAATGAGGTTTTTCCAAAGAATACGAAATCTATATGGTACAATTTTTGATTATTTGTATCGACACTACGTCTTTTATCCAGTGCAACGTAAATATATGGCCCAATATTTTCCTTCGTCTATGGATTTTGACAAGGTTTTATACAACGCTAGTCTAATGTTAGTTAATTCGCACGTTACAACCTCAGAAAACGCTCTTTTACCCTATAATATGATCGAGATTGGAGGGTTTCACGTCATTACCAAACCCCTAGGTAAAGAAATACAGACATTCCTAGATGGTGCCACAGACGGTGCTATATTATTCAGTCTAGGTTCAAATCTACACAGTTCCGATTTATCTCAAGACACACGAAACGTCATATTCAAAGTTTTTGCTAAACTTAAGCAAAAAATTTTGTGGAAATTCGAAACGGACCTACCCGACAAGCCCAAAAATCTATTTATATCAAAGTGGTTCAAACAGAGAGATATTCTGGCCCATCCTAATATAAAACTGTTTATTACTCACGGTGGTTTGTTGAGTACGGAGGAAGCTATCTTCAATGGGGTTCCGATGGTCGGCATACCCGTTTTTGCTGACCAGAGGATCAATATGGCGAGAGCTAAAAGCAACGGCGTTGCGTCCGTGGTCTCTTTTTCGAAGTTGTCGGAAGAAACACTTTTTGAAGCGGTAAATGAAACGTTGAAAAATCCTAGGTATGTATGACGCGGGTTTTGTTTATAAAGGTTTTTATTTTTTTTTAATTTTAGTTACAGAAATAATGCTAAACGGTTGTCTAGCATGATCAAGGATAGACCCATTGAGCCTTTAGAACTGGCCATGTACTGGATCGAGTACACAATGAGACACAGTGGAATGACTTTCAAACCTTCTAGTTTATATCTTCATTGGTTGGAAATGTATATGGTTGATATTGCTTGTTTTCTTGTATTTAATAGTTTGGTTGTTTTGTTGGTTATTTTTGGTCTCATGCGCATTTGCAAATCTAAAAACAGTGATAAACAAAAGAAGCAATAGACTGTTATTGCTGATATTTTTTTAGTTAATTTAATTTCTGCCTGCGTTGGTTTCTGTTATTTATTGTTTATCGCAAGCAACACAAACTGTAGAAGTTATATAGCAAAAATATAATGTGATTATGTTGTTGTTATGTTTGTATTATTATTAATAAAGTTTCGATCCCTTCTGGCAAATTTTGAAGATTACCTAAACAGATTTTTTGTGTAGATTTGTATTTTATTCTTTGAACAACATGATACTTAAAAACATGTTTTTAATTTCTTGTAAAGAAATAAATATTTTGCAGTTAGGCTTCGCCCCCTTGATTCAGTGCGAATAAAAAATTCATCACAATTGAGACAGGGCGGGTGGGCGGGCATACATTTTGCCTTGTAGTTTTAATTTCGCCGTGAACCAAGAGGACGAAGATTAATTGCAAAATATTTATTTCTTTACAAGAAATTAAAAACATGTTTTTAAGTAGGTATGGTGTTGTTCAAAGAATATTATGTATATTAAGAAAAAAAAAACAAGCCAAAAATTAAGCTCCACCCATATCCATTGCAATTTGATTGGTTGAAAACCCAACGTCAGCAGCGAACAGCAACGTTGGCAGACCAAGGGGCGGAGCCTAACTGCAAAATCCATATTTTCTTACAAAAATTTACCATTTTAAAAGCGTTTTAAGTTTTTGAGCATAAAAAAAATCATTACAATTGGGATGGGTGGGTGGGCGGGGTATATTTTGCCTTTTTTTCTTAATATACGTAGTATTCTTTGAACAACACGATACTCAAAAAGATGTGTTTAATTTCTTATAAAGAAATAAATATTTTGCAGTTAGGCTTCGCCCCTTGATTCAGTGCGAATAAAAAATTCATCACAATTGAGATAGGGCGGTTGGGCTGGCATTCATTTTGCCTTTTTGTTTTAATATGTGTGGATTTTTCTTCACAACATGAAACGTAAAACATATTTTAAGTGTAAATTTGTATAGGGATATATCGATTTTGCAATTAGGCGCCACCCAATATCCCTTACAAGAATACGCCATTTTAATCATATTCTAAGTTTATTGTTGTGAAAAGATGGCTATGTATATTAAGGAAAAAAGAGGCAAAATATAAGCCCCGCCCCCCCACCCTGTCTCAATTCTGATAATTTTTTTATTTGCCGTGAACCAAGAGGACGAAGATTAATTGCAAAATATTTATTTCTTTACAAGAAATTAAAAACATGTTTTTAAGTAGGTATGGTGTTGTTCAAAGAATATTATGTATATTAAGAAAAAAAAAACAAGCCAAGAATTAAGCTCCACCCATATCCATCGCAATTTGATTGGTTGAAAACCCAACGTCAACGGCGAACAGCAACTTTGGCAGACCAAGGGGCGGAGCCTAATTGCAAAATCCATAATTCCTTATAAAAATTGACCATTTTAAAAGTGGTTTAAGTTTCTAAGAATAAAAAAAACATCACAATGGAGATGGGGTGGGTGGGCGGGGTTTATATTTTACTTTTTTTTCTTAATATACATTGTATTCTTTCAATAACACGATACTCAAAAACATGTTTTTAATTTATTGTAAATAAATAAGTATTTTGCAGTTAAGCTCTGCCCACTTGGTTCACGGAGAATAAAAAATTCATCACAATTGAGACCGGGCGAGTGGGCGGGCATACGTTTTGCCTTTTTGTTTTAATTGTGTAGATTTTTCTTCACAACATGAAACTTAAAACATGTTTTAAGTGTAAATATGTATAAGGAAATATCGATTTTGTTAATAGGCTCCACCCTATAATTTCAAAATCTATATTTCCTAGCAAGAATGTAGTTTCTTCTTGTTAAAAGATGGCTATATATATATTACGAAAAAACAAGGCAAAAGACCAAAGGGCGGAGTCTAATTGCAAAATCCCTAATTCCTTACAAAAATTTACAATTTTAAAAGTGTTTTAAGTTTCTGAGAATACAGAAAAATCATCAAAATTGAGATGGGTGGGTGGGCGGTGTATATTTTGCCTTTTGTCTTAACATACATAGTATTCTTTGAACAATACGATACTCAAAAAGATGTGTTTAATTTCTTATAAAGAAATAAATATTTTGCAGTTAGGCTTCGCCCTCTTGATTCACTGCGAATAAAAAATTCATCACAATTGAGAAAGGGCGGGTGGGTGGGCATACATTTTGCCTTTTTGTTTCAATAGTTGCAAAATCCATATTTCCTTACAAGAATGTGCTGTTTTAACCATGTTCTAAGTTTCTTGTGGTGAAAAGATGGCTATGTATATTGAGAAAAAAAAAGGCAAAATATAAGCCCCGCCCACCCACCCTATCTCAATTCTGACGATTTTTTTTATTTGTCGTAAGTCGAGGAGCGGAGCTTAATTGCAAAATCCTTATTTGTCTACAAGAAATAAAAACCATATTTTTAAGTGTTGTGTTGGTCAAAGTATATTAAGAAAAAAATAAGCCAACAATGAAGCCCCACCCATATCCATCGCAATTATAACTCTTCAGAGCTAAACTCAGCCCCGCCTACCTCTTTTCTCTATTTCATTGACTTGTTTAATTTACTGTAAAATTGATATTTATTTTTATTTTGACAAATGATAGAGTCTAAGATTGAAAACAGAGTAAAAAGTGGCCCCGCCCACCTACTCGTATTCTGTTTTGATCCTTCATTCTTATTGGCTCTGAAGAACGGAAGTTGGATTTTTATATTAATAAATAATAGAACCTAGGATTAATACATTTTAATTTTCACTAAACTGTTTCATTGCGATTTTTCGGTTTTTCATTTTTTTATTAGTTCTTGCTAGGATAAGACTGATTTTATAGATTTCGACTTCCTGAAGTTACTTTCGGCCTCATTTCTTTGCACACTCCTACAATTTTTCCAAGAGGGCCCAACGAAATTATAGCAAAATTTAGGATTTTTGAAAAAAAAGACTTTCAAATCGAATATTTCCAAAATTTTGCTCCGTGACAATACTTTTTGAATCAGAGATCTATGTCACAAAATTTTTTGGGGATTTTTGAACAACTTGTCCAAGAGCTCAATCTTTCAAATTTCTTTTATAGATTTCGAATAATTCCTGAAATTATTTTCGGCTTCATTTCTTTGAAAACTCACTATTTTTCCAGAATCGCCCAACAAAATAAGATTAGTGTTTAGAATTTTTGAAAAAAAGTCATTTTCAAACTCAATATTTTCAAAATCTTGCTCCAGGCCCAAAAACACGGTTTATATTTCGAGTCCGTACGTCGAGATCTACTTATATCCCAGAACTTTCTATGGATTTTTGGGAAATTTTTCAACACTTTTATGAAATTTTCAACCATTTTTTGACCACTTTCGAAAATTAGCTTAGCTAATTTCTTTGACGATTTTCAATTTTCGGTATTTACGTTGAACAACAGCCTTTAGAACTGGCCATGTACTGGCTGTATCGTTTTGTTCATAAAATATATATTCAAAAATCGCAGTAAAGAAAATAAAAAAAGAAACAACAATCAATTAATTTTTCTTTAATTTCTTGGAGCTAACTCTCCGACAAACTTTCCGTAGAAGCAAACGTACTAAATATACACCCATTAACAACAATCCTGCCACGAAAGCGATGACGTCTATTAAAAGATACTTGTACCACGGTAAATCAAGTGCCGCTACTCTAAGATGCGGGGCCCCTTTATGGCGGATGACATAGTCAACCCAGTACAACGCAGTGTCAAGTGGTTTAACCTGACGGTCATGGAAAATCCTAGACCTACTTTTAGCGTTGTCACCATACCTACAAAAACCACACACCCAAAATTCTTCCAACCATCGTCACTACATAGGTACTTACTTCGGATTATTTAAAAGCTCATCCAACTTCTCACCCAGCGTCCTTTCACTCAATTCTTTGTAAGGCAAAACAAGCCCAAAACCGTTACTAACAGCCGTCTGTGCGTTCAATTTCTGGTCCCCATAGACGGGTATCGCTAAAACCGGAACCCCGAAGTAGACGGTTTCCGTGGTACTTAAAAGACCACCATGGGTTATAAAAAGTTTGACGTTTGGGTGTGCTAGAACCAAAAACTAGCAACAGCAACTTCAGTCAATAGCACCTAATTACCAAGAATGTCTTGCTGAGGCAACCATTTTCCAAGTTTGACATTTTCAGGCCGCCCCGGTAACTCATCCTCTTCCCACTTCCACAACACCTTCTGTTTCAATTTCGCAAAAGTTTTAAGTATCCCGTTGCGTTTTTCTAGAGGTAGATCGGCACTCCGTAGATTCGAACCCATGCTGAAGTAGATAACACCGTCTTTGGCACCGTCTAGAAATTCCTGTAAGTCTTGGGGTAGTTTCTTTGGGGGTTTAATGTGAAACCCACCGATTTCGATCATGTTGGGGACGTGAGGAACGGGTTGGTTGAGACTAGGGTGGGAGTTGAGAAGGATCAAAGAGGCGTTGTAGTTGACATCGTGGATACTGGGAGCATTCGGGATATATTTTGCACCAACAGAGTTGTGCTTGGGGTATAAATAGAGACCATGAACAGCGACGTTCAAGAGGTAGCACAACGTATTAATAAGTCTCTCACCGAACGTCATGTGAGGCGAATAACTTAAAAATGTGTCAGGAATATAAGCCAACGGACTTGGATTTCCGACTAGATTGTTCACCCAAAAGTTTGCTCCAATCGTACTAAAGACGACTTGAATGCCCCCAAAATGTGTGGCTAACATTTTATGAGCGTCATTATAAAATTGTTCGATGATGACAATGTCGAATTTCTCGTTGGAGTGAATGAGTTCTTGCACGGTTTTCTCTTTTAGTAGCATTTCGTCGATCTCTGACATAAAATACGCTAGAACTGGAATATTGACAAATGGGCCCAGATCACCCATTTCGAACATGTTGACTTCGTCCTTACGATCTATGTATAAGAGTGACATGGAACACGTTTTCAACTAGAAACTGGTACTTACTTTCGACGCTTTCTATTATTTCGGTTAATAGAATGTCCCTGTATTTTCCTTTAGGGGGGTTTTTCTCTCCGAAGGGATTTATCACGGTGACGTCGTGGCCGTGTTCCGCTAGGGCTCTCATTAAGGAGCTGCCCAGGATGTAGTGGCTTTTGCCAGGAAGTGGAAAAATTCCCAAGATTCGGGCACTTTGTACTGCGCATAGTGTAGCAGCGAACACAAATAAGGTTATTTGGGTTTTCATTTTGTTGTTTTGTCAAATATTTAAGTTGTACTAAGTAGTCATGGTGTGGAGTGACACGTATCACTTTGACTGAGTTGATATATGATAAGGAAACACTATAAATACACCTTTATACGGTATTAGAAACTGGAAATGATGCTTTTATGTTTGTACTAGGTACGTTGTTGTATAGGTGGGGATAATAATCCAGCTGTTACATCTTTAAGGTTACGATGATGTGATCATTTTTATTCGGGTATGGTTGGACTGTTCTTTTGATGTCCACTGTTGTTTGAATTGTGCGAATTTAATTAAATCCATTTTCTATTCAATTTCGATTTTCCATTTTTCTTGTTTTTTCAAGTTTTAAATTTTGCTATTTTTCGATTTTTAATTTTTGATTGTTTAATTTTATAATTGATCGATTTTTCAATGTCGATTTGCAGGTTTACGAGAGTTCAATTTTTAATTTTTCGGTTTTTCGATTTTTCAGTTTATCATGTCTTCTGTCTCTCTTCTTTTTCGATTTGCATTTTTTCGTTACGGTTTTTGTTTTTAAAATTCTCCGGGGTTTTCAGAGTTCTTTTCTATGTGAAGTGTTTTAATTTTTGGATTTTTCCGTTTTAGATTTTTCAATTTCATGTTTCTTCAATTTTTCGTTTCTTCAATTATTGATTAGCAATTTTTCTAGTTTTCATTTTAAATTGTAAAACCTTAAAAAAATTTATAAAGAAATAAATATTTTGCAGTTAGGTTTCGCCCCCTTGACTCAGTGCGCATAAAAAATTCATCACAATTGAGATTGGGCGGGTGGGTGGGCATACATTTTGCCTTTTTGTTTCAATAGTTGCAAAATCCATATTTCCTTACAAGAATGTGCTGTTTTAACCATGTTCTAAGTTTCTTGTGGTGAAAAGATGTATATGTATATTTAGAAACAAAAAAGGCAAAATATAAGCCCCGCCCACCCACCCGATCTCAATTCTGACGATTTTTTTTATTCGACGTAAGTCGAGGGGCGGAGTTTAATTGCAAAATCCTTATTTTTCTACAAGAAATAAAAAACATATTTTTGAGTGTCGTGTTGGTCAAAGAATACTATGTATATTAAGAAAAAAAAAATTGGTCTAAAGAGTTTAGACAGTACTTCCCTCGCTGTCGGAAACATGACGACTGCATGCCTATTATGTTTTTTTTTCGCAATGGATTTCAAAGAATTCGGTTTTATAGTTCCTGAGTAAATCAATAAAATTAATTTACGCATTCATTAATTTTTTTGAGTCACCCTGTATATGCAAATCCTAAAAATATGAATGGAGTGATAAATTACAAGTACAGACTCATCATATTTTGTACAGTTTAGATAGGATTTATTCGGCAAACTTTTGAGCTGACGTCATCAATTTTTTGGAGGGGATAAGCAAATGTATTTTGACTAAACACTTATTATGCTCTTTATAACCTTAAAACATCTTCAAGATTTCAAAGCATTCGGTTTTGTAGTTCCTGAGTAAATCAGTAAAATAAATTTACGCTTTCATTAATTTTTTTGAATCACCCTGTATTTGCAAATCCAAAAAATATGGATGGAGTGATAGATCACAAGTACAGACTGATCATATTTTGTACATTTTAGATATGATTTATTCGGCAAACTTTCGAGCTGACGTCATCAAGTTTTAGGAGGGGATAAGCAAATATATTTTGACTAAACATTTATTATGCTCTTTATGACCTTAAAACATCTGCAAGATTTCAGAGCATTCGGTTTTGTAGTTCCTGATTAAATCAATAAAATATATTTACGCATTCATTAATTTTTTTGAGTCACCCTGTATATGCAAATCCAAAAAATATGAATGGAGTGATAAATTACAAGTACAGACTCATCATATTTTTACAGTTTAGATAGGATTTATTCGGCAAACTTTCGAGCTGACGTCATCAATTTTTTGGAGGGGATAAGCAAATATATTTTGACTAAACATTTATTATGCTCTTTATAACCTTAAAACATCTGCAAGATTTCAAAGCATTCGGTTTTGTAGTTTCTGAGTAAATCAGTAAAATATATTTACGCATTCATTAATTTTTTTGAGTCACCCTGTATATGCAAATCCAAAAAATATTAATGGAGTGATAGATCACAAGTACAGACTCATCATATTTTGTACATTTTAGATATGATTTATTCCACAAACTTTTGAGCTGACGTCATCAAGTTTTTGGAGGGGATAAGCAAATATTTTTTGACTAAAGATTTATGATGCTCTTTATAGCCTTAAAACATCTGCAACATTTCAAAGCATTCTGGTTAGCAGATTAAAAATTAAATTTCAAAATGTTGTTTTATAATTTTGATTTTTTTTCCAAAAATCTGGACGTTTCGGGTGAAAAGTCGATTCAGAGTTGTAAACTACATGTGTAGGACTATGTTATTTTATACAATTGAAAACCCATTTACTATGTACAATTTTGAAGTGACGTCATCGCATTAGTGGTGGGGATGATTAGACAAATTTTGGTTAGCGTTTTACCATCTACATGATATTCTTAATATAAGTACAAAATTTCACAACAATCGGTCGAGTACTTTCGGAGATTATCTGTCTAATAAAAATCCGGGACAACAGACGGACAGACGGACAGACGGACGGACAGACGGACAGACGGACGGACAGACGGACAGACGGACAGACGGACGGACAGACGGACAGACGGACAGACGGACAGACGGACAGACAGACGGAAATGGGAGACCTATTTCTTCGTCTTCTAGGGGTCATGAAAGATCGAGAAAACGTAAAAGTAGAGAGTCGGCCGACGGACTCGATTACAATACTTCCTTTGCTTACGCTCGGGAAGTAACAAGGCAAAAATTAAGCCCCACCCATATCCATCGCAATTAGAACTCTTCAGAGCTGAACTCAGCCCCGCCTACCTCTTTTCTTTATTTCACTGACTTGTTTAATTTACTGTAAAATTGGTATTTATTTCTGTTTTGACAAATGATAGAATCCAAGATTGAAAACAGTAAAAAGTGGCCCTGTCCACCTACCCCTACTCTGTTTTGAACATTCTTATTGGCTCTGAAGAACGGAAGTTGGATTTTATATTAATAAATAATAGAACCTAGGATTAATACAATTTAATTTTTATTACACTGTTTCATTTTTAGATTTTGTAATTTTTCTTATATAATATTTCTTCCATTTTTCGATTTGCGATTTTTCGGTTTTTCATTTTTTTATTAGTTCTTGCTAAGACAAGACTGATTTTATAGATTTCGACTTCCTGAAGTTACTTTCGGCATCATTTCTTTGAAAATTCCTACGATTTTTTCAAAAATCGCCAACGAAATAAGATTAGTTTTTAGAATTTTTGAAAAAAAGTGATTTTTATATTCCATATTCCTAGACCTAGTTACAACATTTATTTCTTCGTTCGGATTCTTATTAATATAATTTATCGATAAATCGATTAGATTAGACCCACAAGATAAATTTAGTACTATGTTTAAGGTTAACCGATCCTCAAATAACTGAAATAAAATGATTGATATAATACTTAATCTTCATTTTTACAACTTCACACGTGATCCAATTGCACTTTCATAACTTTCATTGTATTCATCCTATCTTGTTTGTGGTGTAATTAAATAGTATTATATAACCAAATCACGCTTTGAATTCGAACAACTTGGGTTCACCAAGATTAGATAAAGATGAATTATTTTTGAACGAATCTCACTTTTTATTTTATAGTTAGAATAATCCAGTGTGTTACGTCGGTCAAATTTCTTCACTTTGAAGATTAATTTAAGTAACTTTGCCGCTGGGACTGAAATACCACCTAAAGCTACTGGATGTTTTTGTGTATGTGGTTAAATCCCGCGTCCTTGGCAGACAATCACGGCTGAACGCTCGGTGAAACTCAGTTGAAGACAAACACTATGAATGTAGCGTTATTTATTGCTTCATTCCTCTTCGTCCGTGCGCAATGTGCCAAAATCTTGGGAGTTTTTGCCGCTCCTGGCTACAGCCAGTTCATCCTGGGCGAAGTTTTGATGACCGAACTGGCAAAAAGAGGACACCAAATTACAGTGATCAGTCCATACCGACCTAAAGATGAACCTCCGAATTACAAGACCATCTTAACAAAGGAAGTGATTGGAGATACCAATGGTAAGCGACCTACTTAAAAATTATCGTGCTCTGAGTTACATTTTTCAGGTGACGATAGTTTATGGAACCTCGAGTCCCAAAGTTTATTTAAGAATATCATGTCAACATATGATTACGAAAACGGAATTACTGAAAAGACGTTACAAAACAAAGAAGTGCAAGAACTGTTGCAGTCGAATGAACATTTCGATTTAGTGATAGTGGAGCAGTTTTTCAATGACGCGCTGAAAGGTTTCTCTGCTCATTTTAAAGCACCTTTGGTGTTGTTCAGTTCGATGGGTTTGACAGAGTGGAATAGGGAATATATGGGGGTGCCGATGCTACCATCAATGAATGCAGTGTCCTATACGCAATATACAAACAGGATGACATTTTTCCAACGAATACGGAATCTATATGGAACCATTTTTGATTACTTGTATCGACGCTACTTTTTCTATCCAGTGCAACGCAAATTTTTGGCCCAATACTTCCCGTCGTCTTTGGATTTTGACAAGATTTTATACAACGCTAGTCTAATGTTACTCAATTCGCACGTTACAACGTCAGAAAATACTCTTTTACCCTATAACATGGTCGAGATTGGAGGCTTTCACGTCATTAACAAACCCCTAGACAAAGAAATACAGACATTCCTAGATGGTGCCACAGACGGTGCTATATTATTCAGCCTAGGTTCAAATCTACACAGTTCCGATTTATCTCAAGACACACGAAACGCCATATTCCAGGTTTTTGCTAAACTCAAGCAAAAAATTTTGTGGAAATTCGAAACGGACCTACCCGACAAGCCCAAAAATTTGTTTATAGCGAAGTGGTTGAAACAGAGAGATATTTTAGCCCACCCTAATGTAAAACTGTTTATTACTCACGGTGGTTTGCTAAGTACGGAGGAAGCCATCTTCAATGGGGTTCCTATGGTCGGGATACCCGTTTTTGCTGACCAGAAGATGAACATGGCAAGAGCTAAAAGCAACGGCGTTGCATCTGTGGTGTCTTTTTCGAAGTTGTCCGAAGAAACACTTTTTGAAGCAGTGAATGAAACGTTGAAAAATCCCAGGTATGTATGTTGAGGATTTTGTTTTTAAAGGTTTTTATTTTTTTTTTAATTTTTAGTTACAGAAATAATGCTAAACGGCTGTCTAGCATGATCAAGGATAGACCCATTCAGCCTTTAGAACTGGCCATGTACTGGATCGAGTACACAATGAGGCACAGTGGAATGACTTTCAAACCCTCTAGTTTATATCTTTATTGGTTTGAAATGTATATGGTTGATATTGCTTGTTTTCTTTTAATTAATAGTTTGGTTGTTTTCTTGGTTATTTTTGGTCTCATGCGCATTTGCAAATCTAAAAAGAGTGATAAACAGAAGAAGCAATAGTGGTGATATTTTTTTAGTTATTTTAATTTATGCCTGGGTTGGTTTCTGTTATTTATTGTTTATCCCCACCAACACAGTCTGTAGCAGTTTTATAACAAAAATATAATGTGATTATGATGTTGCTGTTATGTTTATATTATTATTAACAAAATTTCGTTCTTTTCTGATAAATTTTGAAGATTACCTAAACAGATTTTTTGTGTAGATTTGTATTTTATTCTTTGAACAACACGATACTTAAAAACAAGTTTTTAATTTCTTGTAAAGAAATAAATATTTTGCAGTTAAGCTCCGCCCCTTTGATTCAAGGCGAATAAAAAATTCGTCACAATTGCGATAGGGCGGGTGGGCGGGCATACATTTTGCCTTTTTGTTTTAATACCTATGTGTTGATTTTTCTTCACAACATGAAACTTAACATGTTTTAAGTTTTTTGTTGTGAAAAGATGGCTATGTATATTAAGAAAAAAAGAGGCAAAATATAAGCCCCGCCCACCCACCCTGTCTCAATTCTGATGATTTTTTTATTCGCCGTGAACCAAGAGGACTAAGCTTAATTCCAAAATATTTATTTCCTTACAAGAAATTAAAAACATGTTTTTAAGTATGGTGTTGTTCAAAGAATACTATGTATATTAAGAAAAAAAAAAGCCAAAAATTAAGCTCCACCCATATCCATCGCAATTTGATTGGTTGAAAACCCAACGTCAGCAGCGAACAGCAACGTTGGCAGACCAAGGGGCGGAGCCTAACTATAAAATCCATATTTTCTTACAAAAATTTACCATTTTAAAAGTGTTTTAAGTTTCTAAGAATACAAAAAAATCGTCACAATTGAGATGGGTGGGTGGGCGGGGTATATTTTGCCTTTTTTTCTTAATATACATAGTATTCTTTGAACAACACGATACTCAAAAATTATGTGTTTAATTTTTTATAAAGAAATAAATATTTTGCAGTGAGGCTTCGCCCTCTTGATTCAGTGCGAATAAAAAATTCGTCACAATTGAGATTGGGCGGGTGGGCGGGCATACATTTTGCCTTTTTGTTTTAATACTCATGTGTAGATTTTTTTTCACAACATAAAACTGAACATGTTTTAAGTTTCATGTTGCGAAAAGATGACTATGTATATTAAGAAAAAAAAAGGCAAAATATAAGCCCCGCCCACCCACCCTCTGTCAATTGTGACGATTTTTTTATTCGCTGTGAACCAAGGGGACGGAGCTTAATTGCAAAATATTTATTTCTGTACAAGAAATTAAAAACATGTTTTTAAGTATGGTGTTGTTCAAAGAATACTATGTATATTAAAAAAAAAAACAAGCCAAAAATTAAGCTCCACCTATATCCATCGCAATTTGATTAGTTGAAAACCCAACGTCAACGGCGAACAGCAACCGTGGCAGACCAAGGGGCGGAGCCTAATTGCAAAATCCATAATTCCTTACAAAAATTTACCATTTTAAAAGTGTTTTCAGTTTTTAAGAATAAAATAAATCATCACAATTGAGATGAGTGGGGGGAGGGGGGGGTTATAGTTTGCCTTTTTTTCTTAATATTGGTGAAAGTATTTTCTTGAACTATAGTAATGGTGTACCTAAAATTGTAAATACAAAAAACTAACATCAGATCAACAGTTAGAATTAAGTTATGTTAAGTTCTATTACCAAAATGTTCGTGGTTTAAAAACAAAGACTTCTGTATTTTATAAAAATGTTCTTGCATGTGATGATTTTGATGTAATCTTGCTTACTGAAACCTGGGCTGCTGATGATCTGTTGAGTTCTGAATTATTTCCATCTGCATATGATGTTTTCAGATTTGATCGTTGTAATGGTATTGGTGGTGGAGTTACTATAGCTGTTAAATCTGAATTTAATTGTAGTTCAATTAAATTTGATAATGACAATCTGCTTCGTGAATATAAAATTGATTTTGTAATTTTAAAGCTGCAATTGAATTTTAAATCCATCTCTGTTGGCGTTGTTTATGTTCCACCATCGACGCCATCTTTTGTATATGACCATTTTCTTCATAAGTTGGAAATGGCTGAGTTGTTTGATGACAGTTTTCTTTTTGCTGGTGATTTTAATGTGCGTTGTATTGACGATGTAACTTGTTCAAAAGCCAGAAGTCTTAATAATTTTATAAACTCTGTTAATGCTATCCAAATTAATGATGTAAAAAATATTAATAATAGGTCATTAGATTTAGTTCTCTGTTCACAAAATATCTCCGCTAAGTTAAATCGCTCTGATATTGCATTGGTTCAAGAAGATGTTCATCATCCGGCCATTGTGTTTGATATTAGTTATCAAACTTACATCCATGTGAATTTTAAGAATGCTGCATCACGGACATATAATTTTAAAGCGGCTGATTTCAATAAATTGTATAATCTTATTCTAAATACGAACTGGGAACCAGTATTGATACATGATGAGGTTAATATGGCTTGTGAAACATTCTATAATTTACTCTTTTCCCATTTAGACTGTACCGTTCCGTTATGTTTTCCGAAAAAATCCTCGTTTCCTGTATGGGTGTCATCTAAGACTAAGCGATTAATCAGAATTAAAAAACATTACTTGAAAATGTCACGTAGGCATAGAGTTGATATTTTTGTTGGAAAATTTAAATACTATAGAAAATTAGTTAAAACTAGTCTAAATAATGATTATGATGCATACATTGCATCCATATCTCATTGCATTGAAGAAGATCCTGGCAAATTGTGGTCATTTATTCATAAACTTAAGGGGCAAACACGCATTCCTGGTTGTATGATAGGTGTAAATAATGAATTGCTTAATACTCCTGCTGATATTAATAATGGTTTTGCGACACAATTTGAATCTGTGTATCAGGATGACTTGGGGAACAACTGCGAATTTGACAAATACTGTGTAAATGACACCTGCATTATAAAAAACTTTGACGAGTATGAAATTCTAGAGGCTGTCGGTCGTCTAAAAGACAGTTGTGTTATGGGACCTGACTCAATACCAGCGTTTTTAGTTAGGGACTGTAAAAATGTTCTTTGTCAACCATTATTACATATTTATAATTTAATAATTCGTCACGAAGTTTTTCCCGATTGTTGGAAACAATCACGTATTACGCCGGTTTTTAAATCTGGAAATAAAAATGAGATAAAAAATTATCGACCGATATCTCTCATTTGCAATTTTGCCAAAGTCTTCGAAATTTTAATTTACAAATCAATCTATCCTCATGTTAGTCATCAGTTGTCGCCAAAACAACATGGTTTTCTCAAAGGAAAGTCAACTGTTACAAATCTTTGTTCCTTTACTACCTTTGTTTCGTGTGTGTTGGAAAATAGAATGCAAGTTGACGCAGTTTATTGTGATTTTTCTAAAGCTTTTGACATGGTTCAACATTCGTTGCTTTTGCAAAAGTTGCATCGCTTTGGATTATCTGATGCTATAATACAAATTCTTCGTAGTTATCTGACAGATCGTGTGAATTATGTGGAATATCAGGGTATCAAATCTCGGTTATTTCAAAGCAAAAGTGGTGTTCCTCAGGGTTCAGTACTTGGTCCGTTGCTGTTCCTACTTTTCATTGATGATATTATGAAATGCTTCCTATCAGAATACTTATTCTACGCAGATGATTCAAAGCTATATCATGTCATAAAAACTGTCTCAGACTGTGAGACATTGCAGTCTGATCTGCAGCGCTTATTTCAATGGTGTACCCTCAACCGCCTCCAACTGAATAAAGACAAGTGCACGGTGATGACATATACTAGGAAAAATACTCCAATTATCAATGATTATAATATTGATGGTCAGATTCTTAAGCGTTGTACTACATTCAAGGATCTAGGTATCACCTTTGATAGCAAACTGACCTTTAATGCTCATATTGAAATATTGTGTTTACAGTGTTATAAATTATTGGGTTTTCTTTTTAGAAATACTAGGGATTTTGACAATAGGGTGCTTGTTAGATTTTTTAATGCTTTCATTCGAAGCAAATTAGAATATTGTTCTTGTGTCTGGAATCCGTATTATGATAAATATATACATATGATTGAAGCTGTACAACGTAAATTCTTAAAAACCCTGTATTATAGAAAACATAAAACTTTTCTGGAACATGGATATGCTTATCAAAATCTGTTGGATGAATTTTTATACCAGTCACTGCATGATCGTAGGATATTGTCTGAGGTTATTTTTCTCATTAAACTTATACAAGGTAAAATTTCTGATGGGTACTTACTGGAATTTGTAAATTTCTTAGTGCCCCGTGTGAATTGTAGGGCTCCTAAGTTATTTTATTTACCTACGGCCTCGACGCGCCATTATGCACAATCACCGATTATTTCTATGTGTAGAAGAACTGATCAGTTTTGCGCTGAAATTGATATTTTTACAGTTAGTTTAGATAGAATAAAAAAATATATTATTTCCAGGTTTTAGTTTAGGGATTTTCGTTTTCTTTTTCTTTTTTTTATTTGTTTAGCTTCGCGTTTCTTTCTTTCTTTTTTGCTGTAATATTATCCTGTAATGAGTTGTAATAACTGTTGGATAATAAAGGATTATTTATTTATTATTTATTTATTTAATATACCTAGTATTCTTTGAACAACACGACACTCCAAAGGTGTGTTTATTTTTTCTTATAAAGAAATTAATATTTTGCAGTTAGGGTTAGCCCTCTTGATTTAGTGCGTATAAAAAGCAAGAATGTGCTGTTTTAACCATGTTTTAAGTGTCTTGTTGGGAAAAGATGGCTATGTATATTTAAAAAAAAAAGGCAAAATTTAGGATTTTAAAAAAAAAAGACTTTCAAATCGAATATTTCCAAAATTTTGCTCCGTGATAATGCTTTTCGAATCAGAGATCTGTATCACAAAATTTTTTGGGGATTTTTGAACAACTTGTCCAAGAGCTCAATTTTTCAATTTTTTTTATAGATTTCGAATAATTCCTGAAGTTACTTTCGGCTTCATTTCTTTGAAAACTCCTACTATTTTTCCAGAATCGCCCAACGAAATAAGATTAGTGTTTAGAATTTTTGAAAAAAAGTGATTTTCAAACTCAATATTTTCAAAATTTTGCTCCAGGGCCAAAAACATGGTTTATATTTCGAG